GAGGCGTTTTTTTAGCTCCCCCCAAACGGCACTTTGCTCACTGAATGTTTGGCTGCTGTCAAGGAGAGGCAAAATTGTACCTTGGTGAAGGGGAAACTGCTGGATTTGAGGGGAGGAATGAGGAATGATAGCTGGTGTAGGGAGAGCTTTAGGGAGGGGTTTTAGTAGGGAACTATTTCCAAAGGGGAAAAAAGGATTTAATCTCCTCAGTGACTTCCATCAGCTCTTGCATAAAGAGCAGTGACGTGGTTTGGGTTGATTCTGGGGGGAGAAATGTAACTGGTGAAGGGTTCTGAAGCTGCAGCTGGCATTTTGTGCCATCAGTGCCAGGCAGAGAACAGAGGAATTCCACCAGGAAGGAGGAGAAGGAGCATCACTAATGGTCTGTTTGATAAATGGACCCTGAGACAAAACCCAGGAGCTGAATTTTCTAATCCAAGCTGTACTGCAGCCTTATTTAAACTGCAGAAGGCACAGTTGCTGTAGATCAGGGCAGGTTTGGGTGGATTTCCCCCCCTTTTATGGCTTTTTGGTTCTGTTTCGTTGGTTGTGTGCTAGAGCTCATCCAAGCCCAGCACAGAAGGCACAAGTTTGGCTTCAGTGACGTGGAATCCATTTATTTTTAGATTTTAATGAAGAGCTCAGGGTTTGAAATTCCAGCAGCTTCAAAGGCACAGTGGAATTGATACATCAAATTTTGCATTTCCTTGAACTTCAGCGGCTGCTGCTGTGGATTTGAGAGTGTCCAGAAGTGATTGATTCCTCCCCCTTCCTTCCCTCACTGCTGGTCCTGTGCTGCCCACCCTGCTCCTTGTCCTTCCTACTCAGCTCCTCACTGTTGCTTGTACTGGTTCTGATAATGGTGTGCTGGGACAGGGAATGGGATAAAAGGGATCAAAAGGGGTAAAAGAAACCTGGAAAAATGTGGTGGGGGGGTTTTCCTGGGCTTCCATTGGATCCTTTCTCGCTGCACCCTGCAAAATGCAGCAGTTAAACAGCCAAGTTCAGCCTTGGGAGGGGCTGATGAGTTTCTGGTGTCACGTTTGCTGCCAGGGGGGTGACTCTTCTGGATTCCCAAGTCCTGAAGGGACATCCAGCAGTTTTAGAGGATGGCAGGGATTTCAGGGTGTGTCTGTTGCAGGTTTGCCCTCAACTGGTTGTACTCATGTGCCTGCTCTGTGCTTGTAGGCAGAGCTGGGTGTTACTTTCCACTTGCAGCTTGTGCTTGCTGGTGCTTGGTCTGTGCTGAGAGCTGGGAAAATAACACCCTGTTCCTCCAACACCCCTCAAATGGAGCAGCACCCTGGGCAGGCTCCTTTCCTCCTGTTTCTTTTTTTTAATGCATCCTTCCAAAGCTTTATTTGAGAGGATTTTGGGGTGGTTTTGGTTGTTGCTGCTGCCCTAAGGTTGTTCTACCACAGCCTGACGTGGTGTGGGAGGAGTTTCACAGCCCAGCACAGTTCCCTTTGGGCTTTGGCCACTGAAACATGGGAATTTTTCTTCTCTTTTCTCTCAAACAAATGGGTTTAGACCCAAATTTCCTGCTTGCTTTCTCTGGCTGCTGGAGGTGGGAGAGCTTCCTAAAATCTGCTCTGTGTCTCTGTGGCCTGTGCTCCCTTTAAGGTGCTTTCCTATGGTGGTGTTGTCTTTGAGTGAGATAAAGGCAAATAGGAGGGAATTTCTCCCTGTGAGGGGCTGGGATGGAATTCCCAAAGAAGCTGTGGCTGCCCCATCCCTGGAAGTGTCCAAGACCAGGTTATAAGGCAGGAAATGCCTTATTTTTTACCTTAAAATCAGGTTTCAGCACCAGCAAACAGAGCAGTTTGGTCATTTTATAGGTGCAGGATAAAATCTCGCAGCAGTCTGGTTTCACCCAAACTTAGGTGGAACTTGTTTCAGTTGTGTTTTTTCCCGTGAAATTTCGGGACTGACGAATCAAATAATTTTACACCAGATAAATTTGCTTGGAATTCTGTGCAGTAAAGAGTTTCTGAGCCCCCTTGTCCATGCAGTGCACGGGATCTCAGATAGGAACACCAGACATGTGGATTTGCCTCTTGTTCCTTGGATCCCCTTCAGAAAAGAGCTGCTTTATCTAGAAAATCTTGTTCTCCTTCATTTTTTTCCTGGAAAAGCTGCCATGTTTGGTGCTCTCTGGTTTCTGGTAACTCCTGTGTGGGGCTGATGACTTATTTTTTGCCCTGTCTTTGGTCTCTTTAGCAGGTGGTGCAATCTCAGAATTGTTGTGAAGACTCTTCTTCGCCTCCCTGTTCTCTTTGCTCTGTTGGCACCCTAGTGTGGAAATAGCTGGAATGCTCAGTCCGAGGGACTGCCAGGCCCAGCAGACTGACTGCTCATGGATTCAGGGAGTGGCTGTGCTCAGGAGGGGCTCTGCAAGAGGAAGGCCCTCCGTGGATCAGAGGGGGATGTTGGCTCAGGCCCTGCCACTGGAGAGGGACTCGTTGGACTGTCCTGGTGGTGACAAACCCTGGTGTGTCCCCCTGCCACTCCAGAGCTTCCCAGCCTTTGTCTAAACCCTTTTCTTCATTCCTGGACTGAAGAGCACCCTGAGTGTGTGTTTTTACTGCTGATGCCCCGTGACTGTGTGTCCTGCAAACTGCCCTTCCCCTGCTGGGCCATCCTCCCTGCGAGTCCTGTCATTCCTGACCAGCTTTCCCAGGAGCTCAGTGCTCCCTGCTGACCTCAGTGCTGCTGCTGGGCCAGGCCCTGGGGCATCTCCAGTGGAGAAGAGTCCAGACACCTCTGGAGTCTGCAAAGGATGAGCCTTCACTTGGTTGTTTTTAAGACTCTGCTGGTGGGAGAAGGAGCTCTGATAAAACATTGAATTTATGTGTTTTCTCCCAGCCTGTGACACCAGAAGCTGTGTTGGCAGGTTCTGTCTTGTCCTTGGCAAGTGTTTTTATTCCCTTCCCTGGGAGGTGCCCTCCCAGAAATAACTGTGTTCCTCCTTCACTGGTGGGGACTGGGATGTGCTTAAAAACAGAACCAGGATTTCTCTCAACTGAAACAGGGCTTTTTCAGAGGGTTTTTTTTTGTTGTTTTGGTTTGGTTTTGGTTTTTCCCTCCACTTCTGGTTAAAAATGGCAGAAAGGTGGATGTTGACAGCTCATTCCAGCCATGCTCTAACCTTTTATTCCTTAAGGGCAGTTGGAATATTTTCCTTGTAGGAATGGGAAGAGGCACTTTCTCTGTCAACACCCACAGCCTGAACCTCTGGTACTCCACCAACCTCCTGCTAAAAGGAAGTTTTCATTCCTGAGGCCCCTTGTTTCACAGACTTTATTCTAGTTCCTATGCAACACTTCCAGTTTCTCCCCAGTGTAATTATTGGGATTATCATGATTATTTAAAGTCTCAGAGTGTCCTGCAGACACTGAAACCAGGGAGTCACAAAGAGATTGATTCACTTGCAGCCAGAAATGTGCAGTGGCTGCCTGGGAAAGAGGGGGGAGACATTTTGATTCAGAAGGTTTTAAAAACTTGTTATTTTCATTTCCAGCTTTGGTACATTTGCTTCATGTAATGGAATTCATTACCAGTATTAGGTTTTTGTGTTCTTTTCTGCTCGTTGGATGACTCTGACGTGTCAAATCCACCCGTGTGTGTGGTGTGACTGACTCCCCCACACCCTCAAGCTTTAAACCTGCCCAGGTCGTTGGTTTGAAGCGTTTGATTTGCCCCAGACTGAGCTCCTCTGTACAGTGTAAATGTCCTGGGTTTATTTTTCCTGCAGCTCTAATTTTATTTTCCGGTGTCTGTAGTTTTGTACAGTATTTGTCAGGTGCTGGCCTGGTGGTGGAACAGGGCGGTGGTGTCAGCTTTGTGTTTGTAAATAAAGAGGTACCTCTGATTTCCTAAAGTCCTGGGGGTTGTTTGGTGGTGTCTGGGAGTCCCACAGCGCAGGGGGGAGCTGGACACAGAGCTGGGTGTGGAAAATACAGCTGCCAGCTCCCCAGAATTCCTCATTGTAAGTGAAAGGGCGCTGGGAACAGAGATGTGTGTTTATGTTGAGGATCTTGGTAATCCCAGCTCAGGCATTGGTTGGGCTGGTGATGATTGAACTGCCTTGGTCAGGAACTGGAGACAGCACAGTTCTGTGGCCCATAAAATGTGAGTTACCCCTCAAACCCAGGAACTCTGGGGTTTTTTTTGGTGAGGAACAGGAGTGTGTTGTTCCTTTGGGATGGCTGAGCTCGGAGTGAATCCCACTGGGGTTTGGCTGCTGTGGCCTCTGCCTTAGAGGAACGTGGAGATTTTGGGGTCAGGTCCCTTTGGAGTGGTGGCTGTGACAGAGCAGGGGCACCCCTCTGATGGGGGGTGTCCAGATCCTCATCCCAGAGGATTTGCTTTGCCTTCCCTGTGTTCCCTTGGAACGTTTTAGGCTGTGTTGTGACCCGGCAGCAGGGCTGTGACATCAGCTCTGCTCCCCTGGAAATGGATCTGGGCATCATCAGAGACAAAACCTGCTCAGACTGCCTTGGATTTCAGTGGATCAGACTGTCTAGAGGTTGGAATGTTGGGTTGGAACTGGGGGAGTGCTTTAGATGTGGGATGGGGGTGTGTGCAGGTCAGGGCTGGGCAGGAACTGGGATTCCCTTGTGCTCCACAGCGTTAGTTTAAAGATTACTGTTTAATTCTATCACTTTGTAGCTCGGTGGGGAAATTAAAGTGGACCTTCTTTACAGTGGAAATCCACAGAAAGCCTTCCAGAGAAGGGAGAACATCATCTCCTGTGACTGTTAGATACACCCAAACTGCTGGAATGTGCTGGGTGGGAACATCCTGCTGCCTTGCTGAAGGAACTGGGGTTCACGAGTCACGTCCTGGGGGACATGGGGAGGGGTTGCTCGTGTCTCCTTTAGCAGTGCTGGGCTTTGAGCCTGTCAGGATCTCCTCTGGTGGAAGGATCTCCCCTGGTAGAAAGATCTTCCCTAGGGGAAGGATCTTCCCTAGTAAAAGGATCTCGTCTGGTGGAAGGGATTAAAAGACGGTGCTGGTGGGATTTCAGAGACACCGAGCCTGAAGATTTACAGAGGACGATTCTGAGGGGTTTTGGCTGCTGACCTCAGGTGGAGGACCTGCCATGAAGCCCCTGGAGCAGAGGCAGCTCCCCAGGACGGTGCTGTGTGCCCTGTGCGTGCTGGCCGTGCTGTCCCCGGCCGAGGTGCCCTCTCGGAGGAGATCAAGGAGCAGCTCAGGGCGTCCGTGGCCAGGATCGCCGTCAACTCCACGCCCTGCAGCGTCACCTGCGGGCCGGGCCTCAGGGTGGAGGAGATGTGTGAGGTGACTCCAGCCGGGGAGAGGAGGAACTGCTCCCTGGTGGGCTCCTACTGCCTGGTGGGCTCCCTGTGCGGGCTCCGGCACCTCCGCGCGCCCGCAGGGCGGCCCCTGCGCCTCACCTGCCTGGCCCCCGGCGCCCCCCGGCCCGGCAACCACACCTACCGCTACACCTGGGGCCTGGCCCGAGGCCTCATCACCACCAACGACCTCCTGTTCCAGCCCCTGAGGAACTCCAGCCCTGCCCTGGCGTTCTCCCCGGCGCGGGAGGCGCACGCCGGCACCTACCGCTGCGACGTGCGGCTGCTGGGCGGCCCCAAGCTCGTCAAGAGGGTCTACTTCGGCCTCAGGGTGATCCCCGGGGACCTGGTGGATCTCAGCTTCCAGCAGGCCTCGAGCTGGGAGCAGAAGTTGGTGGCCCACCTGCAGGAGGGGAACGGCAGCCGGGAAGGGCAGGAGCGGTTCTGGCGGCAGGAGGAGTTTTACGAAGCTGCGCTGGGGATTGGGAGCGGAGTGGTGGGGGGAATCCTGCTGAGCCTCCTGCTCTGCTGCCTCCAGAGGCTCTGGAGGAGGAGAGGAGCGGAGAAATGAACTGGGATTCCACGCAATGGCTTGTGTTTGCCTCTTTGTTGGTGTTAAGGGGGAATTTGGGGGGTGGTTCTTGGGCTTGTCTGTGTAGGGCTAGGCTGGACTTTGGTGATCCTTGTGGGTCCCTTCCAGCTCAGGAGGTTCCACTGATTCTACAGAATTCTATTGATTCTCTTGATTCTGTGTGATATTTCTGCTTTATTTTCCTGACACAATTTACTCTGGAATATTTTCTTGCACTTTGCTGCTGAGTCAGTGCAGGGTTTTAGAACAGAGCCTGGGCCTTAACTGGAGCAGTTATTTTACAGGAAACTACTCCATTTACTCTCTGTTTCCTTTGTTTTCCCCTGGATTACAGGAGTGCAAAGCAAACCCAATCCCAGGGAAAACAACCATATCGAAGATTGAAACACTGCAATTAGTTCTTCTTTTTAGCAGAACAACACCAAAAATGATTTAAATGGATTTACAGAGGGAAATACTTTTATTTGCCAGTGAAAACTGAAATAGGCACTTTCCACCCCTGGTTTACAGAGCTCTTTTTGCCTTCTGAACACGAAGAAAATGGGGCAATTGGGAGTGACCCACCACGGGGGAGAGGGCTGGGAGCTGATGCTTAAAATCAACCAGGAGCTGCCCCATCTGGGCACCTTCTCTGCTCTTTGTGATGGAAATTCGGGACTCAGCATCCTGGGGGCAGCTACTGATTTAAAAACCCGGCCAGAATGACATGAAAGCTCCAGCAGAGCCTATTTCCCCCTCAGCTCAGCTGAGGAGGTCAGAGGGGGAGCCAAAAGGCTCCTTCATCTTTTTATTATGTCTCTTTTTTTGATTTTTGGTTGGTTTTTTTCTCTGAGGGGACCCAGGTGCCCAGAGCAGGGAAGATTAATATATATAATTTTAATGCTTAATTTGAGATGGAAGGCTGGGATGGACAGTGTGGCTCCAGCTGTCAGGAAAAGGAGGGGACTGGGCTCTTCATGGCACTTTCCTTGGGTGCTTTTTGACTTTTGAAGCGATATTAAGTATGTTGGGAAGGGAATTAACTAAACAGGTCCGTGGGGGCTGGAGGAGAAAGGAGGGAAAAAGGGAACAGGAACCTTTCAAACAGCATCTCCCCATCCCTGCTTCTTCCCATCTCTTCCTGGAAAATGGGTGTTTTCTCAGGCACTGCCCTCGTTCTTCCCACCCTGAGTGGCTGAATTGCAGGAAGAAAACAAACCAAACAAGGTGTCTCTTTTCTGCTGTGAGTTGGTAACTCGGATTTTCACCCTCACCTGGAGGAGGGGACGTGCAGACCTTTGGTGCTTCCAGTTCCCAGCTTGGTGGGGAGTTCTGTGGAGCAGACTCTGACTGTCCATGACCCTCAGGAAGCAATTAGTGCTGTGCTGCTCCAGGCAGGTTGTGAGTGGTGTGTTCTCCCCACACACAGGGGGTTTCCAGCAGCTCCTGCCTGTTTGTCAGCCTGGATCCATTTGTCTCTTTGGTTGATGCCATGTGCAGCACGTTTAATGATGGTTCTTGGGAAGGCAGCAGTGCCCCTGTGGGCAGGGATTCATCCCAATCCTGGCTGCTCCCTGCTGGGGTCTGTAATGATGCTGCCCCTGCCCTGACAGAGCCCTTGGCAGCAGAAATCCCTGAGCTCAGAACACGAGTGATGGGTGGAATCTCTGCAGATCCCTCCTTTTCCCTTTTCCCTTTTTCCTTTTCCCTTTTTCCTTTTCCCTTTTCCCTTTTCCCTCCCTCATCCCACCCTGGGAACCCACCTGGGCATCTCCCTCTTTGCTTCCAGGGCTGGGGAATGGTTGTGATGGGATACTCTGGATATCTACAGTAGGCATCACTCTGGGAGACCAGGGGTTTATGGAATCACTAGGGTTGGAAAGGACCTTGAAGATCATCAAGTCCAAAGATCAGCACATCTTTTGGATAATTCCAGGGATTGTGAGTCCCTCACTGCCCTGGGCAGCCTGTGATCTCTCAAATGCTCCCCAGGACTTGGGACACAGCAGTTGAAAATGGTTAAAAAGGGCAAGGAATTGGCATTTAGTGTGGAAATTGTGTCAGGGCCTTGGCAGGGCTCAGTGCTGCAGCTGCAGCCCTTTTGCCAGGGAATTCTGGGGGCTGGGAGTGTTGTCCTTGGGGCAGGAGGGAGGGAAAGGCCCCTAAAAGCACCCTGGGGGTCAACCCCGCAGCAACACCAATCAATCCTCATTAACTTTGGTCATCTGCTTTACTGGGAGGCAGAGATTTCAGCAGGAGCATCCATTCCCAGCCAGTTCAGTGAGTGGGGCATCCCATCTGTTCCCAGCTAAAGGTGCCCCCTCAGCTTCCCTGTGCTTTGGGATGTGCAGCAGCTGCTGAGCCTGAACACCAGAGCAACCTCTTGGGCTGGATCTCAGTCCTGCAGCCCCAGGCTGGGCCTGGCTGGCTGAACTCTGTGTGCAGGGAGATGAATCTGAGTCCAGACTCTTCCTTCTTGTCCCAGTGGTGGCTTCCTCAAGTCTCCACTTCTTGTTTTAATTATGTAATTTTTTTTTTCCTTCCTCCTTCAAGCCCCTCTATTGAACTGGGATTTATTGACACCTCCATTTTTTAAGCAGAACTACTTTTTTTTTTTTTCCCCTAGAAAAACATCTCCTTTTCCCTGCTCCCCAGACAGGGAGGAAAGAAGCAAACAGGGTTAACGAAACCACCCCAGAAAAGCACGTGGGATGTGGGGAACGCTGAAGTTGCACCTCAGAGCAGCTGAGACAAACCCCAGGCTGGGGCAGAGATCAATCCTCCTGTGGCTTTAGCTCCTTGGGCTGGTTGCTGCAGAATCTGGCTCATGTTACGGGGAAGGAGGAGTAAATCCTGTCCCATAACTCCTCAGAGGTGGATGGGGCTGGTGTGGAATGTGCTCACCAAACTCTCAATCCCTGTCCTCCCTGTCCCTCCCCTCCCTCCCCAAAAAAATTCACTGTACAGAGTTTAAAAAAAAAAAAGTCCAATTTAGCAGTCTGGTTATTTCATACATGGCTTCATAAGGCAGAAAACCTACTGGGTACCGTGGGGATGGGGGGTGGGGAGGGGCAGTTGGCTGCAGAATTCCCGGGGAATTCTTCCTTTTACTCCTTTCTTTAAAAAAAAAAGTTTAATCGGTTAAAGAGCCGCGTCTCGTACGAAAACCTCACGTTCCTCCAAAGCAAAAAAAAAACCAAAAAGCTGTTTCTTTCCTCCTCCTCCTCCTCTGCCAAATCCTCTCGCTGTGGTGCTGCTCTGGTATGAAGTGGGGGTTGCAGCAGCCAAGTGTTGTGGTTCCCCCCCGGCTCGGGGTGGGGGTAAATCGTGTCCCGAGTCCCGTGGGTGGCCTCGGTCAGAGCTCCAGGGAGCGGATCAGGGCCACCATCAGCAGGGAGTGGGTGGTGATCACCATGACGTGGGGCGCTGGCCTGGCCACAGAGTCTTCCACCATCATACTCGTCCCTGAAAAAGAGAGGGAGAGGGAAGGAGCAGCTGCACGAATGGTGGGTGCCCGAGGGGAAGGGGCTGGCTGGGGGCCATTTCTGGAAAAGCCCAATTCCAGAATCTCAATAATACTAAAATACTGGTGTGGGATGTTCTCTCGTGTCCCTGGAAGGGAGAGTGGGATTGAAAAACACCCTGGCACTGCTGGCTACACCGTGCTGTCACCAGCTGGGGGAGGAGGTGTGTCTGGGTCATCCTTTGTCACAGCTCAGAGGTGGGAAGGAAGGCAGGGTGGATGAGCTGCAGGTGACTCTGAGCTCCAAGGAAGCACCTCGTGAAGGGCTGTTTGTGCCTGGGGTGGGTGTGGGCAGAGGGATGAGCCTACCACTGTTCCGCAGGATGTGAACCTCTGCCGGGGTTCCGTCGCCGCCCGGCCCCGTCACCCGGATCTGCACGAAGGCGTGGGTGAAATCCTCGGGCACCGGGATGTCGATCCGGCTCTTGCTGGCCAGGTACAGGGTGGGGGCAGAGTGGGAATCCTGCCTGTAAAGCATCTGGTGGGAGAGGGAACTCTGAGTTTGTGCTCTCCTCGGGGTCACCCGCCCCGGAGGGGAAGCCCAGCCTGTACCTTGTACCCCGTCACTGCCGACTCATCCGCCCTCGCCACCACCGGGTCCCACTTGATGGTGACTGTGGACCCGGAAAAAGTCCAGGAGATGTTGCCAGGTGGCCTTTTTGGTGCTGAGGGATGCAAAGCGAGACAGGGGCTCAGCGATTTCAGGCTGTGCTGGTTTACAACCGCCTCCTGAGGCTTCTGTGACCGGGGCTGATGTTCACCAGGGCTGGGGCTGGCTTAAAGGCCACCAAACGTGACCCTGAGCACAGAGCTTGGGTGAGGGATGCACAGATTTCAGGTGAGGGATGCAGAGACCTCAGGTGAGAGATAGAGACCTCAGGTGAGGGATACAGAGATTTCAGGTGAGGGATACAGAGATTTCAGATGAGGCATGCACAGATTTCAGGTGGGGGATGCACAGAGATCGAGCTCAGACAATTCAGGGAACCGCTTTAGGGATGGCATAAAATGGCCTCAGAGCAGCAGGACAAAGGGTGAATCAGCTTTTTGGGGACCCTGGGGAGGAGGATGTGCAGCCTGGGGGGGGTCAGGGTTCACTCACGTGGTCGGGTGGTGGTGACGTTGGTGGAGGCGCTGGGCGGGCCGGTCCCAGCCCGGTTGTAGGCTCGGACCGACACGTGGTAGTTGGTGTTGGGGTTCAGCCCTGTCACGTGGGCAGATGTGACCAGCCCTGCTGTCCTCACCCTGTCAGCTGCCTCCTCCTTGTCCCCGTCCTTCCAGTACCGGATCTGGGCAGAAAAGGACTGGGTGGGTTTAGTGAGGACGGAGGCACCTGCAGAGCCACAGCCCCAGCCAGGGCTGGAGACCCTCTGGTATTATTTAGTGTGTGCTGTGCTTGGTGTGTGCCTGGGATTAAGGTGGAAAGGCAAACAGGACAAATGGGATGTTTCTCTCTTAGTCTCTCCAGTGAGTCCCAGCCCCACCAGAGCCACTTGGCTCTTCACTCTCCTCCCCCTTTGGCAACAAAACGCTGTTTCCTTCCACCTCACTTAACCCCGGGGGAGTTTTCTGTGCTGGGCTCTCCCATCTCAGCCTCAGTGTCTCCCATTCCAGGCCCGTACCTCATAGCCCAAAAGCACTCCAGCCACATCCCCCTGCTCCACGGGCTCCCAGGACACATCCATTTCCGAGGACAGAACGGACTTGGCCACAACTCTGTAAGGAGCCACTTTGGGTTCTGAAAAAGACAATGAAAGGGAATAAAATCCTTCTGCTGGCTCTGGCAGCATCACTTGGGCACCAGACAAAGGGCTGTCCTGCAGCCCCATCCCCCTGCAGGCAGACAGCTGGTGGTGTGGGACAGAGCAGAGAGAGGGGAAGGGATTCAGGGACTTAGGAGGACAAGCAGGGCCACAGCTGTGTGTGCTGGGGATCTGTGTCTGCTCTGAGGCTCTGGGGCAGTCGTGGCTGGGCTCAGGGAACATCTCTGGGTGTTTGAAGGAGCAGTTGAACGTCACAGTGTTCTGGGAGTCAAAGGAACCCCTCCTGTCACTGAGCTCCCAGACAGACCCAGCAGGGACCTGGCTGAGGACAGAACAGGGTGAATTCTGAGTCTCTGCAGGCACAGAATGGTTTGGGTTGGAAGGGACATTGGAGTTGGTCTCGTTCCACCTTCCACTATCCCGGGTTGCTCCAAGCCCCATCCAACCTGGCCTTGGACACTTCCAGGGATGGAGCAGCCACAGCTTCTCTGGGCAACCTATGCCAGTGCTTCTCCACCCTTAGAGTAAAGAATTTCTCCCTAATATCTAATCTAAACCTGCCCTCCTTCAGCTTAAGGCTGTCCCTCCATCCCTTGTCCCGAGTCCCTCCCCAGCTTCTCCTGGAGCCCCTTTAGGCAGCGGGAGGGGCTCTGGGGTCCTCCAGGCTGACTCTCCCCAAGCTTGTGCAGCCCCTTTACCTTCCTCAGCCGAGTACACGATGGCAGTGAGGCTCTCAGGCCCCTCTCCCTTCCTGTTGTAGGCCTTGATCTTCACCTCGAAGGGGGTGTAGGGCGCGATGCTCTCGTTGCGGTACACGTAGTGCAGCGACTCGGCGTGAGGCACCCGCGCCATCAGCCAGTCCTGGGAGCCCTTCCTCCGGAAGGACACGATGTACCCAAACCCATCCCCGTTCTGGTAGTCCCTCAGAGTCGGCTGTGAGGGGAGAGAGTGCCTTCAGACTCACCAAAAATGAATGAAACCCCCAAACCCCACCTTTGAAGGGTTGGTGGACCTGGCCAGAGAGAGGGAGTAAATTCTTCCAGCTGCCTGTGCCCCTTTCAAGAATTTTCACACATTTCTATTCTATTCCTAGTTCTATTCCTAGTTCTATTCCTAGTTCTATTTCTATTCTATTCCTAGTTCTATTCTATTCTATTCTATTCTATTCTATTCTATTCTATTCTATTCTATTCTATTCTTATTCTATTCTATTCTATTCTAATTCTATTCTTATTCTTATTCTACTCTTATTCTATTCCATTTTATTCCACTCCATTCTATTCTATCCTATTATGTTCCCTTGCATCCTGTTCTATCAAATAAAGAAATCAGCGTTCATTGGCTCTAAGTTACACAATTACCCTCATTAATTAGTGTTCTGTCCTTCACTGGCTGATTTGCTCTGTATTATTCTTTGCTCCCCTTATCCTCAGACTGAGAGTCTCCAACTCCCAGGCTTTGATGTCTCTGTTAATCCCCTCTGGATCTTCTGATTACTCCACCATGTCTCTGAATGGCCACGAGTTTAACATCCCAGATGTCCAATCTTCAACTGCCTCAAGCCTTGTCTACTAAAGCCTATCAGAGCCATTCCAGAGGAACTCAAAGCTTCGGTGGCTTAAAGGTCAAACCGACAAGAGCCTGCAAAACCAAACCCCTCAACTCGCTGCCACTGATCAAAAATTTAGGGAATTTCTATCATTTCCAGCAAAAGCAGCGAGATTTTTGGCCAAGCACGGAGTTTGGCTCAACAGAATCCTAACTGGAGCAGGGATTTCCCACAGGGAACGGCACAGGCTCCTCCCCTGGGCCCCCAGCCAGCACTCACCGTCCAGTTGATGATGAGCTCGTTGGGAGCCCCTCCACCGCCGCCGAGCCCAGATGGTGCCACAGTAGGTGCTGTCAGGTCCCCCAACAAAAGCAGACAGCACAGGGTGGGTTAAGGGGGTGGCAGTGATGGGGGCGAGCACAGCTCCCGTGGGAGGGCTGGTCCCTCCTTTTTCCACCCGTGGAAATCAGCTCTGCAACACTGGCTCGTGCCTGACCCACCCACCCGGGGGCAGCTCCTCTCCGAGGGGACAGGGGTGAAGCTCAGGGGCAGGGATGAGGAGGAGGGGGGAGTTTTTACTGGAAAGGACTTGGTTTGAATGTGGCACACTGAGAGCAGTTCTGCTGCTGCTCCTCCAGCCCTTGTGCCGGCCCGTTCAGGCAGCCAGAACATTCCCAGAATGAACATTCCCGGCTGTTTGCTGGGAAATCCGCCTTGTTTTCGCAGAACTGTGCTCTGTGATGTAATAGTTCTTTCCCCTTCCTTGCCTTGCTGCCCAGAAGGCTCAGGGTTTGAAGGTAGGGTTTATAATGCTTTCATATATTGGCTCTAATTCCGGGGAGGTCACTGCCAGCTCTGCCACTGCTTCGTGTTTGACACGGAAATGGGCAGAGAGGAGGAAAATCCTGGGATGGCCTCACCTGCAGGAGCACTCAGGGGGATGATTAATCCTTTGGGACCAAGCCAGCCTTCCCCCTCCAGCAGGCAGGGAGGGATCCCTTGGGTTCCCACGGGTGTCTCCACACCTACCTGCTTCCTTGGTGCGGATTTTGCTGGAGGGTAAACTCGGCTCCCCCACTCCCAGGATGTTACTGGCCAAGACCCGAAACTCGTAATCCATCCAAGGGATGAGGTTCACCACCTGGGCTGTCTCTGCATTGCCTTCAATGTTTACAGGATCTATATAATCCAATAACACCAGAGGAGGGCCAGTAGAGCGAGTGGCAGCCCAGAGCAAGGACTCATCAGCGCCTGGTGGCCCTCAGGGGCCGTGTCCCCGGTGCTGCCATCGAGACACTTACTGGTCCTCATCTGCTTCCACTTGCTGGAGAGGAGGGTCCTGGCCTCGATGAGGTACCTGGCAATGGGGCTGTGGTTGTCAAAGCCACGGCTCCAGCTCAGCTGGACGCTGGTGTCACTGATGTCTCTCACCACCACCCCCCCGGGGGGGCCTGGGGGCCCTGGGAGACAAATGGATGCGTTACTGAGACGAAAGATTTGGAGGTTCATTGCTCTTTGCCTTGTGCAGGTCATGAACTGACATCAGGCCTTTCCCTTCTGGAGGCTGGGAGGCCTCACCTCCGGTTTTACCCTCCAGAAAAGCTCCTTTCAAACCTCACAGAATCACTAAGGTTGGAAAAGACCTCCAAGACCATCAGGGCCAACCTGTGACTGAAAACCACCCTGCCCAATGAACTTTGTCATGGAGCTCAGGTATCAGACAGTGGGGTGGCTGCAGGGGAAGGGCAAACTGATGCCTTGCAAGGGCCATGCTGTTAACTTAGGGCCTGTAAGGAGCAGGGAACCTCCTGCCAGAGCAGTTACCCCTGACGGTGAGCGTGGCTGACTCCGAGGCGCTGTCCACCACGGTCTGGGCTGTGCACGTGTAACGCCCCGAGTGCTTCAGCTGCGCGTTGGAGATGCTCAGGTCCCCGATGGTTTCCTTCTGCAGGGGACAGAGAGCACACAGTGGGGAGGGAGGGTGTTTGAACCCCATCACAGGCCACCCAATTCGTGGTTTGGGTTTGCATGGGGTGGGGGGTGGAGGTGGGATCTGTGAGGAGCTGCTGGAAATTCCCTCATGTGGGATGGAGCCAGTGCCAGCTGGCCCCAAGAGAGGTCTGTGCTGAGTCTGTTTTGCTCGTGATGGTGATCTCTGGGTGATCTCTGAGTGATCTTTGGGTGATCTCTCGGTGATCTCTGAGTGATCTCTGGGTGATCTCAGTGATCTCTGGGTGATCTCAGTGATCTCTGCCTGTCTTTCTCTCGACCCACGAGCCTTCCCCTCTCCCTCATCCAGCTGAGGAGGAGAGTGATCACAGAATCCTGGAATGGTTTGGGTCGGAAGGGACCTTAAAGATCATCCCATCCCAGCCCCTGCCACGGCAGGGTCACCTCCCACTATCCCACGTCGCTCCATCCAACCAGGCCTTGGGCACTTGCAGGGATGGGGAGTTCAGAACATCTCTGATGGAGTGGCTTTGGTGGGCGCTGATGCCCAGCCAGTCTCAGCCCCACCCCAGACACACAAACAATGAGGCTGACAGTAATTCCCTGTCCCTTTTGGTGGCACATGAGTGCCCCCTCCCCTCACCACGCTGGCTCGCCGGTAGTGCCCCTCGGACTTGTCGAAGTCGATGGGGAAATCGTCCAGGGCCCAGGTGAAGGTGAGGTCCATGGTGGGGTCGTGGGACGCGTGGCACTGCAGGGTCAGGTTCTCCCCCACGTTGATGTCAGCACTGGACGGTGCCAGTGTGATTTTGGTGGCATCTGCAGGGAAAGAGCAGGGAGGGCTGTCAGCTGTGCATGTCCACGTTCCAGTATCCCAACCAACAGACACCTCCCAGCTGGTCCTCCCTCTGGATTTCACAGGAGGAAGAGGAGGGATGGCAGTCATTAGGGAAGGGAAGTGCTCGTCTCAGGGTTGGTGGGGGATGTGGTGGGTCAGCAGAAGGTTTTGCTGCTCCACGGGCTGAAATGACTTTGACTCCCTGAGTACTGCATCGGTTTTGGGGGTATAAGGAGAGGAGAAATATCCCCATCAGTCATTCTTAGACGTCTCTTGCTCGACTGACCCCAAATCAAGGCAAACAGCTCTACCTCGAACAGAGAGGATTCCAGTGCTGTTGGCTTTGCCCATGAAATTCTCAGCAAAGCAGGTGTATTTTCCCTCATCAGATTTGCTGATGTTCTGGAGGATCAAGGTGCCATCTGCAGTAATAGTCACCCTGGAGAGGGAGAGGAACCACACAAGAACAAAGTTAAAATGGCTGTTCACTCTCTACCCCTTGGTAATTTCCAGCACTTGCTGCTTTTAGAGAAACCGGGAATAAAGACAGACAGAAAAATATTATGTAGGAGTTTTCTAAAGAAGAAATTAGAGGAACAACAAAGCTCAGGGACGGAGCAGCACATTTGGCTCATCAAGTCCAGTCTTCTGGCAAGAAAAAAGAAGTGGTTTTAGCTACAGTTTCTAGGTAGAAGCTGAGTCTGTGCTGCTACCTGCTGCTGTTGACCAGAAGTTCAGTCCCCTTGGTCCAGAGCACAGTGGCTTTGGGTGCTGCCCGTGGCTGGCAGGGGATGATGACCTTCCCACTCCGGGCTGCCGGGATCAGCCGCTTCACTGGGTTTAGTCTAAAATCTGGAGCTAAGGCTACAGGGGGGAAAAACAGGATTAGGGAATGGTCAGAACCCCCTGTTCTGGGGGCATCTGAAGTGCTGTGTGGCTGGGTATTGATTTGTTGTTGGATGACTTGGTAAGAGAAGCGAGAGCAGGATGAAGGGGTGGCTCCTCGGCTGCTGGGTGGGTTCTAACACCTGCCAGGGCAGGTGTTGGGTGACACACCTGAGGCAGGTGTCGTGTGCCACACCTGTCACACGCAGCGATGGGAATGGCCCTAACAAGTGCAAGGTCTTGGAGAGGCACAAGAACAGCTGCTTTGGAAAGTGTCGAGGATATTCTCTTCAATATCCTGCCCAAAGTCCCCAGTGCAGACATCCAGCTCGTCCCAAACTCCTCCCAGGACTGCAGAGAGAATTGGGATTGCCCTCAGTGTCTTAATGCTGAGCTCAGGGCCTTTAATTTACCTCTGGAATCTCCTGACCACGAGGAGATAAACTTTTAGACTAATGTGGAACAGGTTTGGCATCGGTTCAGCTCCAGTCACCATCTGTCAAGGCAGGCTGAATGGATGCTGAACTCCTGTTTTTTTGATCTTTTTCCCTCCAAAAAAGAGGAGCTTGTAGTGGAAGAGAATTTTTAGTGCTGCTGCTGGGTGCACACTTTCTGTGGCTAAACAGATGTCCTTGTTCTCTTTTCAGAGTTACTGAATTTACACAGGATTTAGATTTTAAAGGGTTGTAGAGTGTCTTGCTGAACCAGCAACCACGTCTCAGTGGCGAGTGAAGCAGTTTTGGTCTGCTCCCATCTTGACTCTGGGATTGTGAGCACCAGGACGAGTCTGAAATGCTTCAGTGTCCCATTGAAACCCAGAGCTCTGGGAAGGGAGGAATTACCTTGCACTGTTAATTCAGCGCTTGCATAAACTGTGCCATGCTTGTTCTCAGCCACACACTGATACATGCCAGAGTCCTCCAGGACTAGCTTGGAAAATCTCAGCTCTCCACCGCTCACTTCGATGCGGTTCTGTGCAAACAAGAGGATGAACCCGTTAGATGAGAAAAACAAAAAAAAAGGCAACTCAATCCTCGGGTGGTCAGGGTTGAGTTTCATTGCAGGCTCTCAGGAGCCAGCCTGGTTTTCCATGGGAGAAAACTCAGGGTGTGTTTTCATGGCTGTCCAGTCTCTCCCCTCACGTCGCCGTGCTCTGTTTGCTGAGACCGCCGAGCAGCAACGTGCAGGTCACCCCAGGACAGCTATTTGTCTGCCCTGATAACTGGCTGTGAGTCCCTGTAGTTGCATGAAGCAATGGCAGTGCCAGGAGAGGGGAACTTGGGATCGTGGCATTGCTTTGCAGCCTCATGGGGGCACATGGAACAGGGATGCGGGGTGAGAAACGGGCTGGAGATGCGTTTGCAGCGAGGCAGGAGGAGGGGCTGGGGCTGGAGGAGCAGGGTCAGTGCTGGGAGCTGGTGGGGGGCCTGGGGGGCTGCCAGGGGTACCTGGGAGGTCAGGGGCTGCCCGTCCCGGAGCCACCTGACCGTGGGCCGGGGTTTGCCGGCGGCCGCGCAGCTCCAGCGCAGGTCGGAGCCGATGTCGGCCTCGGTGTCCGTCATCACCTTCAGCCACTCGGGCTGGGCTGCAAGAGAGGGGCAGAGCCAGGGGCTCAGCTCAGGGGGCAGTGCTGCCAGGCAGCCAGCGGGATGCCCGTGGCACGTTGGCTGGCACGGTGGGTTCGCAGCCTCGGCCTCCTGTGCAGGGAGGCAGAGCCGAGTCCTGCAGGGCTGCGGCTGCTGCTCTGGGCTGGCTGCACTGGAGGAACCCACATCCAGCAAGAACTTGATGGTTTCTCCTCTTAAGAGTTAATGCAGCCATTCCTGAATCATGGAGTCATGGAATCCCAGACTGGTTTGGGTCGGAAGGGACCTTAAAGATCACCCAGTGCCAACCCCTGTCATGGGCAGGGACACCTTCCACTAGTCCCAGGTTGCTCCAAGCCCTGTCCAACCTGGCCTTGGACACTTCCAGGGATGGGGCAGCCACAGCTTCTCTGGGCAATCTGTGCCAGGGCCTCCCCACCCTCCCAGGGAACAATTTCTCCCCAATATCCCATCTAACCCTGCCCTCCTTCAGCCTAAGGCCATTCCTGAACCTCAGGATAAGAGGCAGGATTCCAGGTGGTGGCTTTGCTCCCAAAGCCTCAGTTGGTGCTGTGCTCCAGAGAGGCACATGTTTAAATGAAAGCCACATGTTTCTGTGTGTTCCCTGGGGTGAAACACGTTCAGGGCTCACCTTGGATGATGATGCGGCCCTGGTGGGTGTCCCTGCCTTTGATGTTCTCGGCCTCGCACTCGTAGGTGCCCTCATCCTCGAAGCCAACGTCCTGGATCTGCAGGAGGGGCTCGCTGCCAATCCACTTGGAGGACTGGGAGCCATCCAGCTTCCTCCACTTTATCCGGGGAACAGGGCTGAGGAAAAGCCAGCCTGGTGAATCCGGGTGACACCACAGCCCAGAGCAACCCCGTCCCCGTGTCCCTGGGGTCCCCTCCCTCCCAGCTGGGCCCTGGCCAGCAGCACAGATGGCTGCAGCCACTTCCCTTTTCCCATTCTGCCCCCCTCTCTGCCCTTCAGCAGAGCTGTTGTGAAGAGAGGGGGTGTGAGGCTGCAGGTTCTGCCATTCCCTCCCCATCCCAAGTGACACGGACACTGCACTCACTTTCCAAAGGCAAAGCACTCCAGAGTCACCACCTGCCCTGCCAGGGCGTAGGTGTCTGCAGGGAACCTGGCCTTGATGCTGGGGGCGAACTGCCGGGCATCTGCCAGGGGGGAAACATGTTGAGGAGTCCTGGAGGGCTTCAGAATATCCTGGAGGGCTTCAGAATATCCTGGAGGACTCCAAAATGTCCTGGAGGACTCCAAAATGTCCTGGAGGACTCCAAAGTGCCACCTGGGAGGTCTCAAAGGGCAGAGGGACCTGACTTACCAAAACCTTTGTGTGTCTGGGTAAGGGGGCAGAGGTTTCATTTGCTTTTTACAACAGTATCTAAAAAATCTCTTTACAGCATCTCAGGGCTATTTCTCCTTGGTTTCCTAGAGCCACAGAACCCTGTGATGGTTTGAGTTGGAAGGGACCTTAAAGCTCATCCAGTTCCACCTGCCCTGGGCAGGGAATCTCCCACTAGCCCAGGTTGCTGCAAACCCCTCCATCCAGGCCTTCCTGCCTGTTTAACTCCCTTTCCCTGCCCCAGAAGCACTTTTTAAAGATAAAAACCTCAGCCATGGGGGGGTTCTCTACCTGCACAGGGAAGCCTGGAGAGAGGGCTGCCTCTCCCCCATTTCCAGCCCATCCATATTTTTATAAGCTCCTAAGCTCCCCTGAGAGCCTGGTAGGTGATTTGGGCACTGCTGGCGTCCCGTGGGGTGGCTGAATTTTGCATTTCCCACCCCAATAACTGGCGTTATCCTGCTGATCCAAGAGCCCTGATCCAGCAGCACTGACCCTCTGCCGCGAGGCTGAGCCGGGAGAACTTGCTGAAGACGCTCTTGGTGATGAAGTCGATGTGGCTGGTGGCAAAGCAGGAGTAGTTGCCCAGGTCAGAGGCCTCTGTCTTGGCGATGTAGAGGTTCCCTGTGGTCTGGGAGACGAAACGTCTCCCATCAGCCGGGATGAAATTGGGGAACTCGTTCAGGAGCCACCGGTAGGATAAACCTGGGGGGAAGGAGGGAGGGGAGGAATGACCTGCACGGCTTGTCTGGGCTCTCCCAGGAGGGATGAACCCAGCCCAGTCCTTGGATTCGGACACGCCGGGTTCTGCCTCTGCTTTGCTGCTTTACGGTCTGAATAAACCTCAGATCTCCTTCCCTGAAATCCCCCAGGAGAGGCAGGGAGGGATTCCCATGCCCGGGAATCCCTTGCTGTGTTGTGTGTCCCCTGCCAGGGGAGATGTGGAGCTGCAGAGCCTTACCTGGGTAGTGGGGGGGAGGGCTGCAGGCGAACATCACCCCCCAGCCCTCGGTGATCTTCACGGGGTCCCGCTCCTCGGCCGAGAATTCCTGCAGAACTGAAGGGGCAAAGTGAAACCCGGCCAGGGAAAGCTGGAGGGGTCCCTGTGCTTTACCTCTGGGTCTTCTCAGTGGTGGTACACAGGGAGATCCCAAAGGATCACTGGTTTTGTCCACGGCACACCAAGTTTCTACGGCACCCTCGTGGAAGTGCCGGGGGGGTTTCTCCATGGGATGGTGTTGGGGGACAGGAGAGCTGCTCCCCCACATTTCTGCATGTGAGCAGGGGGGCTCAGTTGGCCCCCAGCTGCATTTCCTTTACCCTGGGGAGTCAAACTTACAGCCAAAGCGGAGGGAGGCCTCCCTGCTGACCACGGTGCCTCTGGAGTTGGATGCCAGGCACTGGTAGGATCCAGCATCCTTGGCTTTCACGGGGTTGCTGATCACCAGGTCCCCTGCAACCAGCCTGTAACGGGAGTCTGGCTCCACCTCTATGTCTGTGCCGTTCATCTTCCACCTGCCAAGGGCGAGAGGGGGCAGAGTGAGGGGCCAAATCCTCGTGGCCACACCCTGGGGCTGTGCTGGTTGGTGTTCCAGCTCTGCTGGGATTGGAGCTGGACTTGTATCCTGGCTGTGCCCTGGGAGAGATGGCACAACTCAGAATCACTGAGGTTGGAAAATCCCTCCAGGATCCCCCCTGGGCTCCCCCCTCCTGTCAGGGACTTGCAGAGCCCAGAAGGTCCCCCCTGAGCCTCCTTTTCTCCAGGCTGAGTCCCCTCAGCTCCACCACGTGTGGACGAGGAGGCTCCTTCCCATGCCAATAATTGTCTGTACATTAAATCCCGGCCGGTTTCGTCCCGTGCCGCAGCAGAGGGAGCAGCTGAGCTCACCTGTAGGTCGCGGGAGGGTTGGCTCGTGCTCGGCAGGTCAGAGTGACCTTCTCCTCTGCTGAGCCTTCAGGGAAGAGGGTGTGGGAAGGCTGCTCCTCGAACACCGGCCCGTAGCTCCTCGTGCCGCTCTGGGCTTGGCACCAGACTGCAAAGAGAGGGAAAACCCGCTCGGCTGCTCTTGCCTTTCCCTAAAAACTCGCTCCTGTTCAGCCCCCTAGGGTGTCCCCGGCAGCAGCGAGACCAGGAGGAGCAGCGTGAGAGTCACAACCCCACCTGTCAGCACAGCCCAGCCCCGGCTGGGGGCTCCCAGCCTGCTCTTCCCACGGAGCATCCCCCCCATCCCGCCCTGCCAGGGAGACGTGCGGATGGAGGACACGGACACGCGCCCCTTGGAAAACCACCTGCACACAGCACTGGGCTGGGAGGCCCTGGATGCCCTCCCTGGTTCCCTCCTGTGTCTGCACAGGCTGGGTGGTTCCTCCTTGTCCTCTCCAGGATGAGGGACCAGGGAGGAGAACCGAGATCTTCTTGGCTCCGACAGCCCACTCAGCCCCTGCAGCATCACCAGCTCCTGACCACTCAGACCAGTGGGTTGCTGGTGCTCAAACCAGTGCAGACCATTCTATTCCATGGCTGGGATGAGCCTTAAGCTGCTTTTGTGGCGTTCAGACACGGGGTTGATTCCCATCTTGCTGTTGCGGGTGCGGCTCAGGCTGAGGCACAGGAGGAACATAAGGACCCTCCTGGCTTCTCCCACGCTGTGTCTGGGCCCCCCTCTGGAACCACCACCCTTTGGTGACCCTTTGTCACTGGGAAGTGCCATCTGTCCTCGCTGAGGGACTCGTGTCTCAGATAAATAACAAATCCTAGCAGGGCCCTTTCCACGCAGACTGCATGGAAACCAGAATCCCAGGATAGCTGGGGCTGGGAGGAACCTTAAAACCCATCCAGTTCCACCCTCCTGCCACGGGCAGGGACACCTTCCACTAGCCCAGGTTGCTCCAAGCTCCCGTCCAAAATCTAGTCTGGAAATGACACTGTAAACAAGACCAAAGCAGAAGCTGCCTGGAAATCTCTTTATTGCAGGAGCAGCTGGTGGGATAATTGCCAGCAGGTCTGTCTTCTCCCTGGCATTGGAAATGCCTGCCCCTTATCAGGGAAGGAGCCACCAGCACAGTCCCCTGTTCTCTGATAAGCTCCAAGATGCTCCTGTAGCTCCAGGATCCTTCCATGCTTCCTAATTGAATTAATAACTGTCTCAAACCCACAATCTGTCTCCTTCCCTCCGCTCCCCAGCATGGGCACTCCTCAAATTAAGCGGCTCCAGTGAGTTTGATGTTTTATGCAGGAGCAACTTGCAGCAGGGAAGGGCCAGCTCAGCTCTCTGGGAGCAGGGGGAGCAGCCCTTTCTTTACCTGTGGCTCAGGCTCCGTGCAGGGAGCAGGGTGGGATGGGAGAGGGGCTCTGCTAATTGGCTCCGTGGCTTTGGAGCAGCTGTCCCAGCACCAGGCAATTATCCCAGAGCTCGGGATGTGCTGCTGGAGGAGCCTGCTGGTGCCTGGTGTCACACGGGGAGGGGACTGAGCCCGTGGCTGGCTCTTTGGAACGAAAGAAAAGCAGCGTTTTTGAGGGCTGTGTCCCCTCCAAACCAGTGCCATTTCCTCCTGGAACGCCTGTATTCCTAAAGGAAGAGCTGGTGGAAGCTGGAAATCTCCTCCCAGTTGGGTCAGCAGTGGCTGTGCTGAGCAAGTCCCAGCTGGAAACAACACTGCTGACCAGCAGGGAAAACAACCACGAGTTAACAGGGAATTAATAAGAAATTATTAATTGTGTTCTGACAGGTGTGTTAACTGTGTTCTCACAGATGGCAGTGGCTGGGCTGAGGTTTAACAGCTTTACATTTTGAGATTAACGGGGAGCACAGGCTAAATAATTTCTATTTATTTAACAAATAAAATATATATTGTTACCACTCCCATCCGTGCCCTTTCTCGTGGGATGCTCTTTTCCAGTCGAGCCAAATGAGGCTCATCCTCCCCTCGGCTCCCACCCAGACTCTCTGTCCCTTTGCTCTCCTCTGCTGTCCCTTTTTTCCCTGCCAAGGTTGTGGACTGCAACTGGGAGGAATTGATTTTCCCATCCAAAATCAATGCCAGGAGTTCAGGTGAGTTTTTATCTAGCTCCAAGGTGTCTGGTTGGTGCTGGGGGTGAAATGCCTGGAGCTCACTCATTAAACAAACAAGGGTTTGTTTAATTCAGATCAAAGCCATAATTAAACAGTTACAAGATGGGGACAAGGGTAAGAATCAAGAACTGAGAGTAAACCAGGGTGGTAAATCTCAGAATCCCTGAGACTGATTGTCTGGGCCACTTCTGTCCCCTCAGAACTCTCATTTTTGATGTTGCCAAGACATTCTGTCCTTGGGCTCTGTCTGTTGGATGACAGGGAGAACAGACACAAAAATAAAGGTCTCCTTCAACCTGCCAGGAGCAAAGTGACCTGCTCAGGATCTCCTGTGCTGCATCCAGCCAGGAGAGCAGAAAGGATGGCAAACACACCCCTTGCACCCCCACAAGGACCTTCAGTAAGAGTGAAAAATCAATATCTGCACCAAAAATAAATAGAAACAGGTGAAGGTGGAACATCTGAAAATGAAGATTTGGAAAAGCAGCTGCGGGGAGGTGACTCCAGAGCCTCCCTGGGCACTGGCCCGTTTCTGGCATTATTTGTGGTGTATTTTTAGGAATATGCTGAGAGCCAGACCTGGAAAGCCCAGGTGTGCAGGAGGCTGAAGCCTTGCCCTCTGTGCTGAGCCCTGAGGCAGCTCTGGAGAGCAGGGGGTGATAAATTGGCTCAGCTGAGAATGCTTCCCAAGCTGGATTCCAGCTCCCAGGACACGGCCACGGCTCCCCAGCACTGACCACAGCCTGGAGCCTCAGCACACCAGGGAGCTGGGCAATTAATGGTGTGTGGGGCAGTCTGAGCACACAACCCCAGTGGCTGTTTTTGAAGGGCAGGTCCCAGAGGAGCAGAGGGTTATTTTTAACGAGAAGCTTTGCGAGGAACAAAGGGTCAGGCCTTTAACCAGCCTTAGATCTCAAGGTTTTCCAGAGCTTTCACCAAATGAACAAAGGCCAGGGAGGTGTTTAGATTTTAGAGAGTAGTCCCTGTGCACTTGAGAAGTTTTAAACCTTTGCATTTTCCTCCAGACCTGGAGGCTTTGGCTCTGTGGTGTCTCCTTGAGCCTCATCCCTCGCTGCCATCGCTGTGTCCCCAGTCCCTCCCTCCTGTCCCCAGTGAGGATTTCCCTCTGTCCCAGCTGGCTCCTGAGATCCATTGCATCATCAGCCAGAGGTCAGAGAAAATCACCCTCCCCAGGCCTCCCAGTGAGGCAGTTTTGGGGGGCTCAGCTTGGACTGGGAGCGAGTTGGCCTGAACTCAGGTGGTTAATGGGAGAACCCAAGTCCATCTCCATGCCCAGATTTGGGTCAGACCAATTTCCAAACAGGATAATTGCCTCCCAATCTAGGGCAGCCACCCCTCCTTCTGCCTCCTTGGGGATCCAGAGAACATTAAAAGGTAATTAGATATTTATAAGGACAGGCGAGCAGTCTCTGCCCAGGATGATGAATTAGCTTGAAGACATTATCTAATTCTCAGCTGGCTGAAATGAAATGTCTCCCTGCTGAAAAGGGACCTGCAGAGAGCAGCCTGAGCCTCCCTGAGATCCAGAAGTGGTCCCTGAGATCCAGAAAAGGTCCCTGATGAACAGGAACCTTTGCAGTCAGGGCGTGGCCAACAAGGCATCCCTAGAAAAACCAGGAGGTGAAGCGGCCTCGCCACGAGTGACTCCCACTGGCAGGAGGAAATTCCTCCTGCATCTCCTGATTTCACCTGAATCTGGATTTAGAAAGGGGGAGATGTGTGTCAACCCTTCCTGTCCTCTTTGAGGAAAACTGGGAATAACACAGACACAGCCCCGGGCAGCACAACCCAACCCTCCAAGGATTGAGCCCCGGCCCAGGGAGGGCTGATCCCAACTGCTGCCTGCCCAGGGCATGTCCCCCCTGGCACCTCCCACCCCTCCCGAGCACAGCTCTTACCCAGGAAGGTGCTGACAGCCAGGGACGTGTGGACAAACCCGCCGGTGCCTCCCATCCTGTGCCGGCTCAAGGCCTGGAGCCTCTACGGGGACGGCCCTGGCAGGGACAGAGAGCGGGGTGAGCTGTGAGGAGCTGCGATCCGAGCCCCTTCCCAGGGGCATTCCATGATCCTGTGACTCCAGAGGCTCTGCCCGAGGGCTCAGCGTCCAGCTGTGCCACCCTGCTGGCCACAGGCCCAGGGCAGAGTCACATCCAGCTGTCCCAGGGGGGAGAACAGCGCCTGAAGGAGCTCTTTTTCTCCCTGGCATGGCAGATCTGGCTGGGGAGTTGTTGTTCCTCCCCCCCTTGTTATCTGCTCTCCTTCCCCCCACCTCCAAAAATAACAGCTCCCTTCTGAGCGTCTCTGATTAAAAACCACAAAGCCAGAAGCACACAGGATGTTGAGGGGGGAGGGATGATCTGTTACTTTGTGAAAATAACAGATATTGGGAAGAAATTCTTCCCTGGGAGGGTGGGCAGGCCCTGGAACAGGTTGTTGGGAGGGGCTGTGGACTCTCCATCCCTGGAAGTGTCCAAGGCCAGGTTGGACAGGGATTGGAGCAACCTGGGACAGTGGAAGGAGACCCTGCCCATGGCAGGGGGTGGCACTGGGTGACCTTTATGGTCCCTTCAACCCAAACCAGTCAGGGATCCTGTGATTCTATGAAAAAAGCATCTTTAATGGACACTCCTCAGGCATTACCTGATTTTGGGGGCTGTGCCAGCCCCGAGTCCCTCGCTCTGGAGGGGTTGGGGGGCTCAGCTTCTCACCACGTGCTGCTGCCCAGCCTTTAGAGCACCAGGCAGGGAGCTCAGGCTTGCAGGGGGACGTGGAAAGAGGCAACACAGGGGCTGGGTCCTTTCCTGCTTTTCCCTTAAGTTCAGTGCATTTGAATAGTTAATGAAGTTAACGAAGGGATGGGGAGTGCCGAGGCATTTCCCGGTGCTCCGGGATGCATTAGCAGGGGCAGCAGCGCTGTCCAGTCCCCTCCACAGCCGAGATCTCCCAAAAATTACCAACCACCACCCAAACCCTGAGCCGTTTGTGCTGCCCTCGGTCCCTGAGCTCTCCCGGCGGGGGAGCAGCTTCAGCACAGGCACCTCTTCCCCTGGAACTCCAGCAGGGACATTAGGGTGGGTTTTTTCCCCTTCTTTGTTAACGAACCGGGCAGGAGGAGGAGCCCGGGCTGCCCTCCCGAGCGCGCAGCCCGGTGAGCCACAGAAGATGCTGCCAAGAGCTCCCGGGGCTGCCCGTGCTGCTCATCCCCCTGCTCCAGCTGGTGCTGCTCCGCTCCTCTCCCTGCCCATCTGTCTGCCCGAGCTGCTCCCGAGCTCCCGGAGCCGGGATTAGCCGCTGTCCCGGGGGATGCAGCCCCAGCTTTGCGGGTTTGCAGGACCAGCAGCCCCCGAGCTGCACCTGAGCAAACAGGAGAGCTCCCCCCAGACCCCTCCGGGGGACCCTGCCCGCTGCAAAAACCGCCTGGCCTCTTTGTGTCCTCACCCAGAGAGAAGGCTTAACTCTCCCAGCAGCTTCCCAAATCCTTGATTTTTATCTTGCTTGGGTCAGGGGGCTGCATCCCCTCTGCCCCCAGCGAGATTCGTTATCTGCCAGGCCCCAGAATGAGGCTGGAGCTTAATTATGGTGTGTGACTGGGGGAGGAGGAACCCCTGCCTCCTTTTCCCCCTGTTTCCAATCAGGCCGTGGCAGCTCCTGGTGGGAGCTGCGTTATGGGCAGGGAATTTGGGGATGAAGCAGGAAGGGCGTGGGGCACATCCACAGGGAAGCTGCTCCATTTGTTCCAGCAGTCCTGGAGTGAGTCAGTCACATGAAATCACTTGATGTCACACCCCAAACTGTGTCCTGAGCCCACGGCCTTCCAGCAAACACTGCCCCTTTGTTCCCTGCCCTGTCCCTCAGCCGGGGGTGCTGAGCAGGCAGAGCTGCCTGGGGGGTCTGCAGGCCATGCCTGCTCTGCACTAATTAACGAGTTGACTTTTCCAGGTCTCCCCAGTTTGCTTCCTTGAGGGTTTGAGGAAGGCAGGGAGCAGTGGAGCTGTTCCTGCACCAGCAGCAGCAAATTAAAGTCAGGGAGTCTTTGCTCCATCGCTTCCAGCCCCGATTGCTGGGCCTGGATCCTCCATCTGCAGCCCAGGAGCTGCCCCGGGAAGCTCTGATGGGCTGCAGCTCTGCTTCCTTTACTCCTTTTCCCTCTCACTTTTAAAGCAAACAGGAATGACAGTGGGAAAGTTCAGTTTGGTTATTTTTTGTAGAATCACAGAGGGTTTGGGTCAGGAGGGATCTTAAAGCCCATCCCATCCCATCCCATCCCAGCCCAGCCCAGCCCAGCCCAGCCCATCCCATCCCATCCCATCCCATCCCATCCCATCCCACCCCTGCAGGGGCACCTTCCACTATCCCAGGGCACTCCTGGCCTTGAGAATGGGATTCATCCCATCCAGGGATGGGGCAGCCACAGCTTCTCTGGGCAACCTGTGCCAGGGCCTCCCCACCCTCCCAGGGTGGGAATTTCTTCCTAAGGTCCAACCTAAACCTGCTCTCTTTCCATTTAAATCCATGCACTAAAGAGGAGGCAGCATGAGGAGGTCAGTGTGGGCCACTGTCCCTCCTGGAGAGCTGGAGGCTCCTCTGGGCAGCTCCTGCCACCTCCCTGGTTTTATCAGCACTTCACACTTGCTGTGTTTGATGTGTTTGTTTGAGCAAGTTGCATCCTGCCTGTCCCTGTGCTTCCACCTAAACGGGAGGTGGTGCAGGACGAGGGAAGGAAGAGCTGTGATGCCTTTCCATGGGACTACAGCCCTCAGTACCCCCCTTTGGCTTCACTTCCTGCAGCCCAGCTAATCAGGCACGGTGTGAAAATCAAGCTGATCTGAGTTACTGAACTATTCGTTGATTCATTATCTGTGATGTCAAAGCACGGCTCCCATCCCGGTTCTGGGCTGGCTCCGGCTCTGCCTCCTCCCACCCCGCTCTCCCCATCTGTTCTCATCCCTTTTATCCACTACATTTTCTCTTCCCACTTCCCTGTGCTCATCCCCTCCACCTCCCCAGAGTCCCCCTCACAGGTGTCCTTTCCTGGAACACCAAATGGAGACGTGGGAGAGTAACAGAGGAATTTCCACGAGTGCTGACACTGAGTTTATGTGCAATCAGAGACTGGATGAACTCATCCTCTTGGATCCCGCCTTCCCTGGTCCTGGCTGCCTCGTCAGCCAAGAGCCACGATCAAATTGTGCCTGAGGGGCTGCTCTGAGATCACACCTGGGGCTGGGCTGGGGCCTCGGGGGCCTCTCCGAAGCCTCGACCCCCGAGCACCCGACCTTCTCCAAAGCATGGCCAGACACTTTGCATCTCATGTTCAGACCTGCCCTCTGTCCCTAATTAGAGGAGGGCCACAGGGACCTGTTCTTTCCCCTCTTGCTGGGGTATTTTGACAGTCACTCGAGAGCCTTCTGTTGTACTGAAAGGGGATCTGCCATCCCTGCTAATGGATGCTGTCATTAATACCTCCAGGAGCAGGGCCCAGGGGGGAAACCACGTGCATTAGCCCTTTCCTCTGGAGCCCCTGGGGTCTGGGAACGATCCATTATCGTGGAGACAAGAGTTAAGGAGCTGCAGAGAGGCTGTGAGGAGTCCTGAGCCTCCTCCAGGAGAGGAGGCACTGCCTGGTCCTGGTCCAGCTCCGCTTCTGGCTGTGGAGCAGCATCCCCTGGAGGGGGGGACTCCAGCAGGATTTTGGGTGTGGGGAGGCCAGGGGTGGCTTTTGGTGGGAGATGGGCTTGGGCAGGAGGTGACAAGGCCAGCACAGCACTGTCCATCACTGGGATAAATCTGTGGAATTCCATCTGCTGTGCTTGCTGACCAGAGGAGCACTTTTAAGTGGGGCAGCTCCTCGTGCCCTGCCTTCCCCAGGGAAGGATTGCTCCTGAGGGTGGGTGATGCTGCAGCTCCTCCTGTGCTGAGTGCCTCTTTTATTCAGGACCCTGGCAAAGGCTGGAAAGGGCAGGCTTTTGATGTTCCCTGGATTTTGACTTGCAAGCCCTCCCCAAGGTTGGGAACACTCTGTCCGCCCCAGCACAGCGTGTTTCAGGGAGTTACAAATGGGTTTGTTGTAATGGATCTGTCCTCCTGTAAAGCTGCCTGTGCTCAGGAGATTGATTTAGAGGCAAACTCTGAATTCAGCCTCTCCTGAGCTTCTCTGGGGTGGGATCTGTTGGTGGCTCCAGGACCTGCAGTGAGGTTGGAGCCAGGAGCTGGGAGAAGAGCTGCTGCTCTGGGGCTTCCCTGCGTGGATGTCCTGGGTGCTGGGGGCTCAGCGTGTGGTGAGGCAGCCCTGGCACCCAGGAGCAGCTCCTGCTGAGAGCAGGGAGAGCTTTGGCCTCACCTGGGGGATAAAAGAAGCCCTTCTGGTCCTGGTGTGAGGGGCAGCCGGGCTCTGGTGTGATCCCAGCAGGAAAGCTGCATTCAGGCACGGGCTCCTGGCGCTCCCTGTTTTCCCTGTGCCTTTTAAGTGCTTTTCCCTAATAATTGGCTGGTGCATCCACGGACATCATGGGTCACAGCCCCTCATTGTCACAGGGGCTCAGTGGGAGTTTTCTTTTGGTTCAGCCCCATCCAGGCAAACCCTCCCTTTTGTGAGGAGACAAAGCCTGGATCTGCCTTCGGCCCGGGGACATGGAATGGGGGGGACATGGAATGGGGGGGACATGGAATGGGGGGGACATGGAATAGGGGCGTGGGGGGCACGGGCTGGGCTGGGCCTGGGATCCCTAGGGGGGAAAAATCTAATTCTGACAAAAAGGGTGATGTTACCAGGGGGCCTTTCCTGCTCTTCTGTTGTGTTGGGAAGCCTGAATTTTAGATCTGAGCTTTGCAGTCAGCGGCTTTGCCTTCTTCTTCTTATTATCATTATTATTATTATCATTATTATTATTATCATCATTATTTTCCTTTTATCCCACCTGACCAACCCAGTTCCCATCTCTGGCTGCCATCACCTTGGTGCCTTGGGGCGCCTGATCCCCTGCTCTGCTGCAATAAACCCTTGGAAGATCCTCAGGGTTCTTGGGGCTGAAGGTCTTGCTGGGGCCTGGGGTGTCCCCACAGCCAGACCAGGCTCGTGCCACCCCCAGGAGGGACCTCGAGGCAGCTGCAGCAGCTCAGCCCCGAGGAGATGCCTTGGGGCAGGAGAGAGAACAAAGCAGAGCTGCAGCAAGAGCCGGGAAAGCTCTCTGTGCATCTGCAGACCCCGGGGCGGAGGGGACAGGGGAAGTTTGGCTGGGGAGGTGAATCCCCCACGAGCTGGGGGTGTTAAGCCAGGCTGCAGCTCTGAGCTCTCCCTCCAGACTCAGTTTCAATCGATAGCTCAGTCCACAGCAGCTGGGAAGATGCTCAGAGTTGTGGAGAACAAGGCCACGAGTGGCTCCAGCTGAGCACAGGGAGGGGATGTCTGCCCAAAATCCCCCTGCGTGCTGAGGCTGGTGGGGAAAGTTCCAAACATTGGGTCCTTCTCACAGAGGCTCCCCTGCACCCCCCCAGCATGGCTGGGCACAGCCTGCCCCTCCTGTCCCTGGGAAATGCTGCTCATTCCTCTGGGCTTGCAGGGGAGGGGATGCTCAGACAGGTCAGGGGTCGGGCAGGCTGGGTGGGGGTCGAGGTCACCTCCTCCCCAAAATAAAACTCCAAAATAAAGCTCCCCACTGCGGGTTTCCCTTTCCTCTCCATGCCTGGAGCAGGCAGAGCTGAGCTGTGGGGAGCTCTGCCTCAACCCTGGGCCATCCACAGCTCCTCCAGCCTCGCCAACCCACCCACTCCCTGCTATTAGAGCTCCGTGGCGTCAGCAGCAGAGACTCTTTGATGTGGCACAGGTATAAATAGCTCCCTACCTGCACCAGAGCCTGCTCCATCCCCTCCCCGCTGCTGCCTTGGCAGGAACTGGTGCTGGGAGGGAGGAAAAACAAGTGGAGAGCTTTGGGAAAGCTTCTGGCTGAGGCAGCCCCGGGGAGGTGTCGGGAGGGGAAGCCCTGATCCCCCAGCCTGCTGCTGCTGCTGGCTGACACTGGCTGCTGGTGGGACCTTACCCAGAGCCTTCCTGGGCATCTTTGCCAGCCCCACAGAGCTCCTCAGCCCTCACCTTGGCCCCACTGCCCCACTGGGTTCTTGCACAGGTCGTGCTGGGGAGGTGCAATGTCCCCAAGGGGGGACCTTGGTGTCCAACCCCCTCCCTCCCAGGACAAGGGGAAGGGATCCCCTGCAGTGATTTTGCTCCTGGGAAGGCACCACCCCACTGTCCAACCTTCTCTTCTGCCTTTGCTGAAGTGGTTTTGGGGTTCAGCCTCCAAACAGTGCTGCTCTTGTCTTCCTGAAAACAAGCAGGAATCAACACTAAACACTTATCCCTCTTCCTTCCTGTTTTATGGCTCTCTGGTGCAGGACTGACAGCTCCACAGGCTGTACAATAAATAATACATGTAATAATTTAGCATCCAGGCTGCTGGGGGTGGGGGGGCTGGATTTGGGATTTAGAGCTGGCTCTGGGTGGGAATTCCTCGTGTGCTCCCTGAAGTCTTGGGACACCTCCCTGAGGTCATGCTGAACACCCCTGGACCCCACATGGTGGCAATGGGGACAGGAGTGTCTGTCATGAAATAAAAAACATTTTGGGTTCAAGGAAAGGGGTTTTTGGGTGGCTTGAGAGCAGACTCTGTTTCCTTGTCTGCTGAGAGCTGTTCCTGCTCTCCAGCTCCACGAGAACCCGAAGACACTGAGTGTAGGAAAAGGCAGAAAGTGTCTAGAAAGAGCCTGATACATCCTGTCAGCACATCTGAACCGTGTTTCTCCTCTTCCATCCATGTTTTTTGGCTCTTAAAGGACTCCCCAAGGAAGTCTCTCCCCTTTTTCCCTGTATCTGTGCTCCAACACCTCCAAAAGTCCCTGCTGGGGCTTCCTGCCTGCAGTGTTTGTTTGTGCTGCAAGTTAACCTGGTGTGAGTTGGGTCCCACTGCCACCAGCCCAGCCCCAAAAAAAACCTCCCTGGGAAGGTGCAGTTCCTCATCCCTGGGAAGCAGTGACGGTGCTGATTTAGGAAGGAGAGGGATGTGCTGAGCAAACCCCCACGAGACAGAGCAACCCCCATCCCTGTCCTGAGCAGGGAGAGCTCCGTGCTGGCCATCCCAGAACCAGGAGATATCCCAGAGCCAGGAGCCACCCCTGAGGCCACAGATCCCACCCTGCCTCCCCCAGCTCTGCTCCACTGAGCAGGGAGCCCCGTGCTGCTGTCTGGGAGCTGTCGGGAGATCCCTGGAGGTGAGATGTTTTCCAGGTGGCTGCGTGGGTTTGTGTCATCCCAGCGCCTCCAAACCTCCCGCTTTGCTGGGGGTTGGCACAGCCAGTGCCAGGGACAAAGTGCTGTGGAAGAGCTTGGAGCTCTCAGGGGTTGCTGAGAAACATGGGGAGGTCTTTGCTTCTCATCAGGATCCGGGAGTTTTCACGGCTAATTTGGATTTTGGACGATACAAAGCTCTCAGTGTGGCTGAACAGCCGGGCCGTGCTTTACTGTGAGCTCAGCTCCACGTGGGTTCCCAGCTCCAGGGACCCTCCCTGTGCAGGTGGAGCTGGTGGGAGTGTGGGAAATGCCTCCCTAATGACACCTTTAGGTTCTGCCTTTTCTGATTTGTCTGTGGTAAATCTGCTGAGAAGATGATAACCCGGGTCATTAAACCCCCTGCAAACATTCTGGGTGACAAAAGTGGTTGCTCTGTTTGGTGGGAGTTGATCGGGGGATGGAGAAGAGCTGTTGGCATCCCTTTGCCTCCATCTACCTGTGCCCCAGGAGCAGCTGGGCTGGACATGACCCTTTTGCTTTGTTTCCTTCACTTTTGGGTGATTCTGATCTACCCCTGAGAATCACAGCTATTTCTAGAAAGTTTGGGACCCGCTGCTTCCCTGTATGAGCAAAGCAAGTGGCTTTTGGGGCTGTTTTAGCTGCTGGGTGTGCTCAGTACCAACTATCTGGCCCTGAGAGTCTTGTTTTTGGATGCAAACCTGCTCCTAAATCTCATGCAAGAGCCCGTGCTTGAGCTTTGTGCCCTCAGAGCTTCCGGCAGGCCCATTTTGGGGTGGCCTGGGAGGAGCTGAGCCGTGCTGGGGGCCTGGGGAAAGCCTTGGGCTGGGATTGCTCCCAGCACTGGGCTGCAGAGGCTGCTGCCTCCCATCCTCAAAGCAACCAGTGTTTCCCTGGAGAGAGGACAATCTCCTGTGAACAGTCCCCAGTGCAGCCAGAGGGACGATGCTGGGGGTGGTGGGAGTGGAGTGGGGCTGGACGGAGCCGGTGGGGCAGCGTGGGTGGGATGAGGAGAGAGCTCGGGAAGTTTAAAGGGGGAGCCTCATGAGCCACCTGGAGCCTCCCCATCCCAACATCCATCCTGTGTGAGCAGGGAGAGAGCACAGGGATGCCCTGACTGCCAGGTGCCCCCCCCCCCTCCTGCCATGGGGTGGGCAATTCATCCGTGACTTTGCAGCTTCCCCACAGCCCTGAACCTCCCTGACCCAAACCTCAGCCTCACAAATCCCCTCCCTGTGCCCGGAGCACCCCCCTCTCCCTCCCCTCCCCTGGGACCTGCCCTTCCAGGAAGGTGAATTTGGACACCACGGCCTCCCTGCTCCCTCCCCGGGGAGGAAACTCTCGGGTGCTCAGGGCTCAGCTGCAGATGCTGAAGTCCTTCAGCGCAGCAGAAGCCCCGCGGACCCCAAACCCCCTTCCCCGACCCCATGCGTGGGCTCTCCGAGTGCCTCGAGCCACGACGCGCCAGGAAGAGCAGGACAGCGGCAAATAATAATAATAATAATAAAATTATTCCCAGGCTCATGCCACAGGAGACATTCCTGCTGACAGCCGCGGCCGCCTCGGCCGCTCGGCCCCTGCCACAAGTGCCACAGCCGCGGCCCCTCCGATCCCAACTCCACCCCCGGCTCCTCTCCGGCGCCGGCACCGCCCGCCCGGGGATGCCCAAAAACACCCCCCGCGCCCGAGGCCAGCGCGATCCGGCAGGTTCCCCCTCCCCAGAGCAAACCCAACCACGAGTTGTCTCCGGCGGGCGCAGAACGCGGTGCCCCGGCACGCAGAGCCCCCTCCATCCCCCCCGGGCCGGAGCGGGGCGGGGGGAAAGGCTCTTACCTTGTGCGGGGCGGCCGCCTGGGCATGGGCCGGGGGGCTGCGGGGCCTCGGCGCTGCCGGGGGGCTCGGCTGCGAGGCAGCGCTCGGCTGGTGGCTGCCCGAGTGGGGATGTGTGTGCCCAGAGCCACTGCAGCATCTCTGCATTAGGATGTGCTCCTCCCTCCCCTCCCTCCTTTGCGTGCGCGCTCCCTCGCTCGCTGCCAACCACCGCGCCGCTCCCCGGAGAGCGCAGGGGGGGGAGTTTTTGGTTTTTTTTTTCCTCCTCCTGCCTTTACCTCACTTGCCACAGTCCAAGGACCAGTCAGGGAGGCAGAGCGACTTGCAGCATCATGCATAATTCATCCCCCCGGCCTCCTGCCTGCTGCTCCCCCCAGCCCCCGGCAGAGCCCCCCTCGCCTGCTCCGATCGCCGCCGGCTCGGCCCGTCCCTGGGGCCGGAGCAGGTGTAGGGCCTGGGGGGCAGGGGGGTTTGGAGGGCTCCGAGCCCCTCTCTGTGGGGTGGAAGCAGGGAAGGGATCAGCCCCAGGTGGGGGGTGACAGGCAGAGACGCCCATCTCTGCGAGGTATTTCTGTCCATATGCACTCCCTGTGCCTAAATATTCAGATACATTATACAATAGATCCATATATATTATACAATATCTCCAGATTTGTTATACATATATATATATGGATATCTGTGTATATATGCACCCATCCTGGCTGGTGTTCCCGCTGAGGAAATTGCTGCACGGCAAAATTTTGGGATGCTCCGGCTGTCGTAGGTGGTCCCCGGCCTCCTGCGCGGGGAGGACGGGGTTCCCTCGGAGGGGGCGGCGCGGGGGTGGCACCGCGGTCGCCTTTGGGGTTTTTTGGGTGAGCCGGAGCCACCTTTGGCCGTGCCTGTGGTCCGAGGAGCTCGGGGCTGGCTTTGCCCCCCACGGGGCTGCACCCGGAGCCTTTCCCGGGAATATTTGCAGCCACGAGAGCCCGGCACGGGGAAGAAGGTCTGTCCCGATGGAGAGATGCCGTGGGATGAGGCAGGGAGGACGCTCCAGGACTTCCCTGGAAGGCAAGCACTGGAGTTTGGAGGGAGGAGATGCTGCCGATGCCATCACCGGGGTTTTGCCGCTGGGCAGGTCGCTGCCGGGCTGTGGGAGAGGAAGGATTTGGGAGCGTGTCAGGGACCACCGTGCCCTCTCATCCCTCCCAGCGCCAGCCCAGACCTGTTAATGATGTGAGGAGATCAATGGGCGCTGGGGCTGTCCACAGGTTAATGGTCTGCAATTACAGAAGAGTAATTAAGGCATTAGCGTCTCCATTGATTGGCAAAGCTCCTGCTGGCCGGGAGGCTGCCTGCGATCGAGTGGGGCCCGTTGCTGGTCCCACCTCCCTTCCCCTTGCCCGGTTTGTCCCAGTTTCTGCTCCCCGCTGCCGTTTTGGGGTGAGACTGGAAGAAAGGGGCCACGGACCTTTGCACAGCCCTCACCTGGGAGAGGAGGGGTCTTGTTGGACAGAAAGGAAGAGCAGGGCTGGAGCCTCTGACCCCCAGGGAAAGGATGAATGGAGCGAAATCCAAGGCAGTTCTGTCCCAGTGAAAGGAGAGGGACCCGCCCTCTGCCCCCTCTCCTTTGTGTCCCTGCTCTCAGCAGCTCTCTGGGGGTCTCTCTGCAGGTGACAAGGACATCAGTGACCCTCTGGGTGTTTGCCCTGGTACAAACATGGACCAGGACAGCAGTGAGAGCAGCTGGGGGGGGAAGGCAGCTCTGTAAAGGCTCCCTTGGATATTCCCGGTGCCAGAAGGGAAGGCAACAGGCTGGAGCTGCCTCTCCGAGGAGCAGGAGGGTAACTGGAGACACTCTGCCGGTATTGATCCAGCCCTGCTGCCCCCGGGCAGGGATCAGGGTGTCATTATCGTGGGATGTGTCCGTGTCTGCCCCGATCGATCCCGAGCATGGGCACGGCCTGTCGTCGCCCCTTCCTGGATGATGGAAGCACTCCGTGTCCAGTGGGAATGGTGGGAGCCGCCTGCACAGCCCTGAGAGAGGCCCAGACCTTGGGCTTGGTGGTTCCCGCTGGCTGTGGGCAGCGGGAAGGGGTGGATTTGAGGGTTTGGAGCAGTCCCTGCATTCCAGGAGCTTGGAATTTCTGCACCAAGTGCAACTCCTCTGCCATCCTTCCCTGGGGCAGAGACTGAGCGTGGCTGGTGCCTCCACTACCCCAGTCTGCACTGGGGAGGGGGGGTCTACACTGGGCAAAAAGGGCTTTTTTTCCCCCTCCCTGCTGTTGCAGTCGGGGTGGGGAGGGCGTGGGGGGAGCTGCTGCAGGAAACACTTAGACCTTCATCCTCTTAGCCAGCAATTCCACCTTCATCATCCATCCACAGAGCTCTGCTCTTCCCCTCCCCGCAGCCCCTTCTCGGCAGGGCTTGGCCCCAGGGAGCCTCTGCCAGGAGCAGGGAGGGCTGGGGGGCAGCAGTGCCAGGAATGGGGGGGCTGGGTGAACCCCCCACGTGGAGCTCCCACGTCTGCTGGGCCTTGGGGGCTCCTTCTTCCCGCATATCCAACATATCCAACATATCCCGAGGGTGTGGGGAGCAGGGGGTGCAGCTGGGGTGGCCAAGGCCACTCGGGAGCCAAAGGGAGGCGTCTCGTGGGCTCAGCGTGAGTTTTGAACAATGTTTTATTATATGTTTAGTGTTCTCTATACAAAAAAATCCCGTCTTTTTCTTTTTACAGTGATTCAAAAAAAAAAAAAAAAAAAAAGATATCTGAGTATTTTGGCCTTCTTTCATCTCTCATGCAGTCGGTTTATAAGTCCTTATATTAAACTTTTTTTTTTTCCTGTAGTCCATAAATCTCCTGGCTGTAAACTGGGGATTTTACAGCCTCAGTTTTCCATTTCTCATTGGAACAGGAGGGTTAATGCAAAGGTGGTGGGGCCTTTTTTTCCTTTTCTTTGCTTTAAAAAAAAAAAAGGCAAATAAATACATAGAATACTTCAGACCAACCAGGAGGTTTTACAGAGAGGACGGATGGATTGTGATATATTTACAAATTAAAGAGAAACAAAACAGTCCAATACTTTCTGTCTGATGTGAGCAGGAGGGACAGACGTGGAAAACCTGGTGCTGTGAAGGGAGGACTCTGGTCTGGGGGGGGCTGACACGGCGTTCTGGGGGTTTGACGTGGGGTTTTTGTGGCTTTGACGTGGGTTCAGACTGTGTTGGACAATCAAAGCCCGATGCCCAACACGAGGACACACAGACAGCGCTGCTGGGCAAGGGGAGCTACTGATGCAGTGGGTGATTTTTTTGTCAGGACCAGAAAAGCATCGTTATTCTTGTTAATAAAACAGGTTTTAGTGCAAGAAATAGACTTTTTTTCCCTTTTTTTTTCTTATTTTTTCCTTTTTTTTTTTTTTTTTTTCCTGTTTTGTTTAAATAAGTTTCGTTTTATTGCTTAACTGAAATCGGTTGCTGCTGAAGCCTGGCACGAGGGTGAGGCGTTGCAGGGTGAACTCGCAGCTCTGCCGGGACCTGTGCAACGAGGAGAGGAGGTGGGATGTGCCAGGAGGAGCAGTGGGACGTGCCAGGAGGGGTGGAGGTGGCACGGCTGGATCGAGGGGCCCGCGTGCCAGGGTGACAGTGATGGTGGCACTGCCCAGCCCTGCCCTCCACCCTCCCTGCTCCCCCCCAGGCGGGTCAGAAGTGACTGTGACATGTGAGATGGGGGTTTTCACCCAGGAGAAGGCAACGCTGGCGGGGGGACACCGTGGGCACGTCGTGTCCCGCTGGGTTTCTGTGGATTTCAGGGCTCGCTCAGGCCAAAACTCTGGTTTTTTCCCGCTGCTTTTTCCGCCTCTTGCTGCTCCATCACTCCAGGGAGAACGGGAGCAGCCCCAGGATCAGGGGCCCAGGGCGGTGTCCCCCCACATCCTGCACTCCTGGGGTTCCTCTCAGCTGTCACACACGTGCAGGGCCCCGGGCCGGGCACCAGGCAGGGCAGGCTGTGCCCGCCCAGGTAAATGATGGTTATTTTTTTTAAGGGAGGCATTTGCACTGGATCTGGATGAGCAACCAGGCAATTAAGCTGCATCCTTCCATGCCATTTTCCCTGTGGGATCAGCAGCAGGAGCCACACGGGTGCTGCCCGGGCTCCTCGTGCCACGGGCAGCCCAAAGGATGTGGCCGAGTCCCTCTCACCAACCCCCGGCAGCAGAAAGTGTTCCTGTTACAACATGTCTTTCAGAGCCAACCAGCTTGAAAGCTGAAAGGATAATTGCATTAATCCTGTGGCAATCGATCCACTATGCTGAACACAAAGAAAAAACCTCCTCATTGGGGGGGGGAAAAAAAAAAGGAAAGGAAACAAAAACCCCATCCCGATGTCCGTGGTTCGGAGGAACCCTTGGATCTCTCTCAGGGAAGGTACCTTTGGTTTCGGAAGTGCAGGGAGTGGGAGGCCACTCGTGGCATTGGCCACTGAACACGGGGCTGGTACAACACTCTACCCCACTCCTGCGTGATCCACGCTGTGCCAGCCGGGAATGCTGCCTGGGTGTCCTGCTCCTGCTGCCCTGGGGGCTGGATGGGGGGGATACGGGGGGAGTGCCAGTTTAGTGAACTTCCCAGGAAGTCCCAAGCTGTGTAAGGCATGTGGAGGAGCACTCCTACCCGAGCTGGGGGGCGTTAGGGGGGGTCACTGACATCGCAGGGGGTTGATATGTAGAGAAGACAGCATGGGGGGCTCGCTCAGGCTGATTGATGGAGGGGGGAAAGGCCACTGTCAGAAATGAGGAGGGGGTTTAGTGGGACACACTGTCCGTCTGGCTCGGCCCAGTGCCTGGGGAGGTGTGGACTGGGGTCCTGGGTTCCCACCATGGGCCTTCCTGGTGTGTCCCTGAGCCCTCCGAGCTGCGGCTCCGGGGGATGCTCCACCCCAACCCGGGGGGTTCTTCCATCCTCACCCTCTGCCTTTGATTCCCTTTCAAGTACAAGTGATTTCCACCCCCCTCATCCCATGTTAATCCTGGTCCTGCTTCCGCTCCCTCTTTGCTACATAAGATTTATGGAGTTGCCTTTAAAAGAAAGCAGGTGTGGGCTGGGGGCAGGTACCCCCCAAAAATCCTTACAAGGCAAAGACTGAACCCCAGTGGTTTGCCTGCAGTGATGTTCCCCTGGGGCTCAGGGGGTGGGAGGCACCTCACTGTCCTTCCACCAGTCCCACCAGCTCTCCTGCAGCCTCTTGTCCTTCAAGGATGCTCCTGGTGAGCTCCCCGTGGGCTCTGCAGGGGGAAGGGATGGTGGAGCATCAGCATCGCCTGAGTCAGGTGCTGGGGCAGTGCTGGGGACCTGCTCCTCCCTGCAGAGGTGCTGCTTGACCTCTGGGGAAGGAGGTTGTGGCTCTGGCTGCTCTGGGAGAGGCTCTGGGCAAGGTGCTGCTGTGAGGATGGATGGCTCAGTAGTACAGTGTGTTGTCACCCAAAGATCCACCCCCTTCCTCCTTTCACACGTTTGTGCTGCTCTGCCCAGGCCCCTCTCACCCCTCTGCCCTCCCCCAAACTCTTCACTTTATTTCTACCCCTCCCCTCCCCTCCGATCCAGAACCTTCCTGCCAAAATTAAACGGAAGAATTTTCAGCTCCCTCCCCAAAGGACAGAAAGGGCCCTGGGGGAGCCTGGGCGGCCCAGCCCACCCTGCAGCCCCTCGGGGCTGGCTCTGGGTGCTGGGGCAGCCCCAAAACTGGGGTGCAGCCCCCCCCCCCTTCCCCCAAGCTGGGGTTCACCTCGAGCATCTCCCCTCCCAGCCCCCTCTGGCTCAGCCCAGATCTCCAACCCCGCGAGTCCCGGCCGTTGGCTTGTTTGCTAAGGATAAATGGCCTGGGCAGCCTCCTGGGCCGCCAGTTTGCTTGGATTTCTCTCTTTTTTTTTTTTTTTCCGGTCTTTTTTTTTTTTTCCCCTTTTTTTTTTTTTTTTTTTTTTTTTTTTTGTTGTTGCTGTCGTCGTTGTTGGTTGGTTCCATTCCCACGTTCCCATCACGGGGGGTTGGCGGCGGCTCCCGCGGAACCCCACCCCCTGCGGGCCCCGTCCGGCTGTCGGTGCTCCCCGGGCACTGGGCTATGCCAACGAGTAGATAGCGTTGACTGGGGAGGTGGCCTCGGAGCTCTCGTTGCCTTCGGTCTCCTCCTTGTCCTTCTTCACCGTGTACTGGCCGATGAAGGAGCCGTCCTCGTTGAACTGCCCCTCTCCCCCCTCTCCGTAGTCCACCAGGCTGTCGTCGCTCTCCTGCTGCTTTATCGTCCCGTCCAGCGACGTCTGGCTGTTGGGAAGAGGTTTGTTGTCTTCATCGCTGGGTGGCAGAGGACAGACAGACACAGTGAGGGTTGAGAACGGGGGGCTTGGATGGAGCCTCCACCCGAGGTCTGGGAGCTGGGGGAGCAAACCCAGCCCAGCCGAGGGGGCTGCTCGGGCTGCGGGGAGCAGATCGTGAGGGAAGGGGGGGGTCTGATGTGCAGGTGAGAGGGGGGCCCACAGCTGCCTCTGCACGCCCAACCTTCACCCTCTGCCTCTCTAAAAACCAGCTTTTTAACCTCTATCACGCGCAGTTCAGGGCTCAGCCCGCCTGGGTGTGTGTTAGAAATGCCCTTCCCCTGCCCTTGCTCTGTCACAGCTTTTATTCTTCCTTTCCCTCGGCCGGTTGGGTGGTTTGTTGCCAGATTTCCTCGCAAAAAACACACCCTTTAGAGAGTTACATGCAAGGGGAGGCACTCCAAGCACTGCAAGGGGGCACGTACAGGATGCCAAGTTCTGTGCAGCTTCCAAAACTCGTGGGAATTTTACCTTTCTGAGCTTATTTCTGAGCTCCTTCGCTCAGTTCTTTATGCTTTTCTCTCTCTTTTTTTTTTTTTTTCCCTCCCACTAGAAAGATTCAGCCAGGTCACTGGAAAATAAAGAGTTTGACCCACAGGAAAAACAAAACACTTTAAAGAAAGCTTTTTAACAAAAAAAAACTAAACAGGGAAAAGCTGTTTTCCCTCTAGAGGGGAAGGGCTGGGATCTCATAAGTAGAGGTGATATTTTGTGGAGGATGAGAGTGGATTATATATATACATATATATATATATATAAAAAATAATTTTCATATCAACTAGCCCTTAGTTCATGTTTGATCTCATGTCCAGCTTGCAAATTCTGTGGTATTCTGGAAGATATCACTTAAATATTTGTGCTCCCACCTCCATACCTGTCTTTTTGCTGTTGTTGTTTTGGCTTGGGGCTCGTCAGACTCGCTCACTCACTGCTCTGCTCCTTTATTTTCCTTAAAACTGGTAAAACTACTGGGCTTTTTTTTTTTTTTTCTTTGCACTTTGCTTGGGCCAGGGAGCAAACTGCTCTTCAGCTGGGGAAGGCATCAATTCTCCCTCATTCCATCTAATTAATGGCATCAGCTCCACAGTGGGAGAGGAATTTGGTGTCCCACGGCACAACAGGCGGCTTTTCCCCCCCGGGTTTCCTCGGATCAGCACTTTGGGAATGAAACAGTAACACAAACCCAAGACTGGAGACCTCGTGTTAACTTGGCATCACAATGGGAAATAACTTGTTAGCTCTGAAAGCAGCTTTTTTTTGGGGGGGGGGGGTGAGGGGTTGGTGGTGGGAGAGGAAGAGCTCAGTCTGCAAGCGGGACTGAAGGTTAGAAAGCCCCAAAAAACGCCGAGTAGAGAGCGGCAAAACCCAGATCCCTCTCTTTGCAGGATCCTTTCCCAAGGTTTGGGGGGCAGGTGAAGCTCAATCCGGAGCCAGATTTTTCCCTCAGTGCATTTCCTGGGCGCTGCCCCTGGTTTTTACCTCTCTCCAGGACCATTTCTCCCGTTAGTGCATTAGGAGGGTGCAGCAGAGATCCATCAGCCCCTCGATGTAACACAACCCCAACAAATGGATCTCCCAGGCTCTGCCCAGTGTGCATCAGAGAACCAGATGGAAACCATCTGGGAGACGTTGTCCTGAGGGCCATAAATCCTCGGGAAGAGGGGGAGGCTTGAGCCACAGGGAGGGTTTTTCAGGGCTGAGACGAAATGCGTCTCAGGATCCAGCGGTTCGGGCTCGTGTCCCTTGTCCCCATCCCCTGGGTGCTGAGGGCACCAAGGGCATCACTCCCAGGTCCAACCCTGCTACACCAGGAGGGATCAGCAGCTCGAGCTGGGGGAAGGGGTGGCCTGGCTGGCTCCTGGGGGTACCCCCAGCCCGCTGAGCATTTCCAGGCAACCTGCTGGATGTGGGGGTACCCCCAGTGCCAGAAGGAGTTAGAGGGGACTTGTTTAATGTGTTAGGTGAGGCAGGAACACAGGAACAGGGGGAGGGGGAGGGAGATTGTTTTGGCTGTCAAGAAATCAGTGGGTAGAAGGAAGGAAAATAAATTTAAAATAAAATAAAATTAAAAAAAAAAGCTAAATGTGCCGGACTTCTGGCAGCACGTGGTCCTACCTTTCAAGAGACCTTCATGGTCCATGTGGATAGACCAGGTGAAAAGGAGAAGAAAGAATGGGAATAAAACAGAGAGAAGCAGAAAGAGCCTGATCAGAGAGAGAGATATGATGAGCTCTGCATTTACAGGGGCAGTGCTAAAAAAACCAAAAAGGAAATGCCCGCGTTCCTCAGGGGAGCCTCGAGTGCCTCGTTATACCAAACACAGCTGGGACAGCTGCTGGGAGCTGGGTGAGCCTCCCTGGGATGGCCACCAAGGGCTGTGCTTGGAGGCCACCAGGGAGCAGCTGCAGGTGGTGGCTCTGGGGACCGACATGCAGCAGGACAGGGGCCAAGGGAAAGGGTGGCTCGGGTTCCCCTCCAACCTTCTGCTGGATCTCCGTGACACGGCCTGGGTGGTGTCACCTGCTCCCAGACCTGCACCAAGGACGGTCCTGTGTCCTCCTGCCTTGCTGGGGTGGCCCATCCTGGCAAGCTGGCGCTGCCTGCAGTGTGGGACCTCTGCCAGGGGGCTGCCCTGAAGCTCAGCTGGAATCCAGCAGCTAAAACCGCTCCAGCTGCCCTTCCCAGCATCCCGGGTTTCCAGCTGACTCCCCCACGCGCAGCACCGAGCGTTTGGTATAATGAGGCACAGCCACTGGCACAGGACCTTGTCCAAGGATAATGGTCTCCTGCTTGGAAAAGAAGCTTCCCAGCTTAGCCTCTGCTCAGGAAAACCATTATTCCGTTAGTGGGACAGAAAGATGTGACAGTGTCTCTTAATTACGGGCTGCAGAGATCTGAGAGTCGCATGCACAGGGCATTGAGGACGTGAGGTGTGATGAGAGCACATCAGACATGCCATGTGGAGGTGGGGAGGGGAGCCACTGAAGGACTCACGTCAGCTCAATTCCTGTCCTTGCCTGAAACACTAATTGCTCCCCTCCTTGAGCCCAACATCACAATCATTTCCAATCTTAATCAGCCACCAGCATTTCGCAGCAATCCTTCAGCTTCACCTTCCTTTCTGCCTCCTTGAGGGGAAGCCTCCTATTACTTCTCTCCCAGGAAACCTGTTGTTCCTGAGGAGGGGGCGAAGTTTATGGGTTGTTGGGGTTTTTTGGTTGTTCTTCTTTGATTGGGGTTTCCCTCCCCCCTCCCATGTTTAGTCCATAGGACAATGAGATCCATAGTCCATAGGAGCATCTTGGAGCTTGCTTGTCCTCCTACTGGCCCGTGCCTTTAGCCTGCAAACTTTTGGGAATGGGGCTGTCAGTTGAAGATGGAGCCTCAGCTAAAGCAAGGAGGGTGAAGGATTTACCCCATTCCTTCCCCTTGCCTGGAAGTCCATGTGCCTTGGATGGTGCTGGGGCAGCAAGTGCAGCACTGCTGCCAGCCATGCCAAGAGCTTGGGTGTCCTTCTCTGGCATCCATGGCCCCTGGCAATGGATTTGCCTCGGGAGAAGAGGGATGGGGGCCAGGAGGCCCTCGGTTGGGACCACCCTGGTGGCCTCTTGAGAAGCAGAGCCGTGGAATGGGGGGGTACTGCCAGAAGCTCGGCTGGGGGGCCTGGGCTGAGCTCCAGGGGATGAGCTGAGCCCCGGGCACAATGAGGAAGGTGTTGTCCCCGGGTGTTGTTCAGGGCAGTAAAGAACATCAGCCTTTCCCTATGACATGCTGCTTCCTCTGGGCCCTGCTGGGTGTATTTGTGTTCTGTATTGTGCTCTCAGAGGGCTGGGGAGCTTTGGGCTTTGATGACATCCTTGGGAGAGGAGGAATCGCTGCTGAAATGGAGTTTCTGTGGCACCGACAGCAGCGGGGTGGAGTTAACCCCTGCTTTAAGTCAGGAGAAAAAAATCCTGCTGGCCTGATTGGGCTTTGGATCCAGCTCAGACGGGGGAAAAAGTGCATTTTAGTTCTGTAAAGCAAAGCCAAGCCCAGTGGAGGTGCTGGAAAACATCCCCTCACCTGTCAGGGGTGGGCAACACGATGAGACCTGACAGCGGGACCTGCTCCCGCTCCCGGGGGCAGCCACGGAGAGCAGCAGAGCTGGGAATGCCTGGGAACGTGCCTGTCCCTTCCTGACACATCCTGGGAGTTTTCCCGGGGTGGAAAAGGGCTCTGCTGCTCTTTAAAGGGTGACATTTGCGTGCAAGCAGTGGAGTGGAGCCAGGGAAGTCGGAGAGGTTTTGGCTGAACCCCTGCTGGGCTGGGCTGGAGCCCTCCAAGGGGGTTTTGGAGGGGTTACCTGGGGACCTCACAGAAAATTCCTTGTTTGGGATGCAGGCAGACCCCCACATCAGAGTTCCTGTGTGCTTTCAGGACTGATCCAAGCAAAATGTGGGCATTTCTCCCCTGGACACTCCCTATGGGCAGGAGAGAGGCTGAGCTACAGGGTGATGCTCCAGAAATACCCTCGGGCTGATACAAAGTTCGGTTTTTGGGGTTTTTTTTGGAGGGGGGTTTCCTGTGTTAGGAGTGTCATCAGGGTTGGTCTGCTCCTGCTGAGAGCTGTCCCGAGCAGCTGATGCCAAACCCCAGCTCTGCCCTGGGCTGGTCACACCAGGCTGAGACGGGGGAAGGAGGAGACCTGAGCAGCATCCTCCCAACCTGGTCCCTCAGGAAGTGCTTCCTTTGGCAGAGGACTCTCAGAGGGAAGGAGGCAGGAGGAGGAAGGTGGGAGGAATCATTTCAGAGGCTGAGTGGCCCCAGGGGGGCTGCAGTTACGGGAGGAGAGCGTGGTGAGGGCTGTGATGGCTGGGGCAGGGGCTGATGGGGGGCTGGGGTGGGGGGGGTGTCCACATGCCATGGAAACGTACCTGTAGTCAAAGGATCCATCTTCCACATTCTTGTCTTCAGGATTTAGATGCTCATCTTTATTGTCTCGGACTGGAAACAAGCAGAGCCCCACCACTCATGTTAAAATCAGTGCAGGAAATCAAAGCTTTATGAGGCAGCTGGGGTGGGGGTCTGTGACACCCCTGGGGGGGTTGAAAGGTAGCTGCTCATGGACAGGTTAAAAACCTGCACCTGGGAGGGCTTGCAAAGGGTTCCCAAAGGGTTCTCAAAGGGTTTGCAAAAGGATTTACAGGGGGTTCTCAAAGGGTGCTGCTGCCTGGCACCACAAGCACTGCAGACAGGGTGCATTAATTTTAGGATTCCCTTCAGTCCTCTCTTTGCTTTGCGAAAATGTGATGAGATTTTTGCCTGAGAAGCTCTTTTCCTAGCTGAGGACAGGGAGGATGTGCAGAGCAGGGGGGCTGTGCACACAGCCCAGCTCTAAACCTGCACAGAGCCCTGGCCCAGCCTCGAACCAACTGAAACTCTTCCCACCAACAGCAGAGGAAGGGAATCCCAGCGATCCCAGCTATCCCAGAGCCACACAACTCAGCCCTGCCCGCCCCAGGAGCGTGCAGATGTCTGAGCCAGCAGCAGCCATGGCCTCACCTGGGTATTTGCCCCCTCTGCTCCTCTTGATGAAGCAGACGATGAGCAGGATGAGCACGAGGAGGGCGATGGCGCACATGAGCCCGATGAACCAGCCCTGCGTGGCGATGTCCACCTGGTTCTTGGTGTAGGCTGGAGAGGGGGGGAGAACGAGACAACACAACAGCTGTGAGGGCCAGAGCAGGAGAACGGAGGGAAGAGCTGAAGAGCAGGACAGGTCACGGGTTTGGGGGCTCCCTGTGGCGCTGCCTTTGGGTGTCTCTGGGTGTGTTGCCCGAGCGGACCTGAGGCTGTAGCCCAACACATTGGGGGGGTTGGTTTTTGGGAGGCTTTATTTTCCATTTCATGCTGGTTGGTCCACTAAGGTTTCACCAGGAGCTACAAGGAGTGAAGGGGCACAGCGTAAAGTGGAAGCTGGCACAGAGCAGGGGGGAAAAGGGGCACTGCAAGTCCTGGCAGAAGCAGCTGGGTGACAGATTTGATCTGTTGTCTGATGGGTCTGGACACTGCCCTGGGAAGGGAGAAGGTCTTCCCGGGCCAAGAGGATCCACGCCTGGTGTCTGATGCAGCACCACTTGTCCAGGGGGTCGCTGAGCCCTGAGGGATAAACTGGAGTCCTGCACTGCAGAGGGGGTGGGCAGTGGCTCTGCCACCCTTGGGTGGCCACAGAGGGTCCCCAGGGCTCGCAGGGGACTTGTGGAAGCCCACCAAGACCTGGCTGGGGAAGGAGGGGGGATGCAGCAGTTGGGAACAGCTTTGAGGAATGACATCTGGGTCCCAGGGAGCTGAGAGGTGGTTTGATGGCACAGGAAGGTGTTTCCTCCCCGGGGCAAACCCTTTCTATGGCTGTTTCCAGCACCCTCAGGAGGCTCATGACTATTGATGGGATTAACCCCGAGCAGGGAGGTGTCCTGAGCCCCAAACAGCTCCTGACTGCTGTGTCCTCCCTGACGTTCCCTGGCTCCTTGTTTGCAGCTCTCCTGCACGGTCAGACAGACAAATCTGTGTCCTATAAATAGCTCCACGCTGCCATTTTCTGGCTCTCATTGACATGCACTTGGTATTCAGCAAGACAGAGCAGAGGAGAAAATAACCTTCAGCGCAGCAGGGGGGGGCTAAATTTAACCAGGAGAACACAGAGGTGTTCCTGGGGGGAGAGCTGGGCTGCCTGGCATCCAGCTGGGCACTGAAACAGGCAGGGGGCAGCCCTTTGTCCTGACAATCTGACAAGAAGGAAAATGGTGTAAGGAAAGCACCAAAGAGCCCTCCCTGGATGTGTTCTCAATGGAAGGCTCCTGTGGGAGAGACAGCACCTGGAAAAACGGGTGGAGTTGGTGAACTTTCCTAACCCAGATCATTTCAGGGCTTAAGCTGTGCTTGTTCCATGGGAACTGAACCCAGGAGAAGAAGTTCCTTCCTCGGGATGAAACCTCAGCCACAGAGGGAACTGCAGGCAAACCACGGCAGGGAAATTCAGCCCAAAGAGGAGAATGACAAGAAGGAAAACGGTAAAGAAATGATGTCAAGCCTTGAACATTCCGTGTCTGTGAGCAGCACCGACCTCCTGGGCTCACCCAGGGTGGAAGGAGCTGCCTGATGGTGCCCTGGCTGCTCTGGCTGCTTTTTCCCCCTAATGCTGCCAAATTCCACGTTTACCTTCAGCACAGCCTGAGCTCCACGAGGATGTGCTTTTAACAGGAGAGAATGAGATTATGACAGAGAGGAGCTGAGAACTGGATTCAATTAGCTGAGTGCTCGGGGAGGGAAGGGGAAGGAAGCTTTCCTGGCAAGCTCTGAGATGGACAAAGATTGCACTGACAGCGATGGGGTGGGGCTTTTACAGCCAAGAACAAGGGGGTCTTCCAAGTATCAAGTGCCAGAGAAGCCTGAGAGGTGGTAGGAGGGCTGGACCTGAGTTTTACAGGGAGGGAGATCTTGCAGCAGGGGGTGGTGGCACTGTCTGTCAGCAAGGTAGGGGTGTCACTGCCATCCTTCCCAAAAAAGCAACACGTGAGGACCGAATCAGAGTCACAGCAAGGTGTGCTTGGAGTTAAACGAGTGACTGTCATTGCAGCATTGGGAGGGGGGAGGCTGAGGACGGGGCTGTCAGAGGGCTGCTGTGATTTGCTTTAATGGAAGGCCAACATCAAGGGGAAAGAGGGGAAAGCAGCTGTGTAATCCCACAGGTCCTTGATGGGAAATGCCACTGCAGAGGTTTGTTTTTTGGTTTTTTTAAATTCATTATAATCTGGTGGCAGCAAACACGTCACCCAAGAGGCATCACTCCTGTGCCAGGGGCAAAGCTGTGCTCCTCCAGCAGAACAGCAGCAAAGGCTTTGTCTTCAACTGGAAAGGAGAATGCTGGGAATGTGAAGTCCCACCACCTCCAGCCTCGTGTGATCCTCTTCCCAGAATCCCAGAGCCTTTTCCCTGAGGTTGGAAAAGCCCTCCAGGATCTCTGAGTCCACCCTGTGCCCCATCCCCACCTTGTCCCTCAGCCCAGAGCACTGAGTGCCACATCCTGGCCTTCCTTGGACACCTCCAGGGGTGGGGACTCCAAACCTCCCTGGGCAGCCCCTGCCAATCCCTGACCACCCTTTCCATGGAGAAATTCTTCTTGATGTCCAACCTGACCCTGCCCTGGCACAGCCTGAGGCCGTTCCCTCTCCTCCTGTCCCTGTTCCCTGGGAGCAGAGCCCGACCCCCCCCAGCTCCCCCCTCCTATCAGGGATTGCAGAGCCAGAAGGTCCCCCCTGAGCCTCCTTTTCTCCAGGCTGAGCCCCCCCAGCTCCCTCAGCTCTCCTGGTGCTCCAGACCCTTCCCAGCTCCTTCAGCTGCTCCTCATGGGACTCTCCAGCCCCTTCACCAGCTACTTTCCCTCCTCTGGACACAGTGTTTGTCCAGACTGAGGAACTTATTGATTTCAAATGTAGAAAACCTCTTTATATCGAGCTCTTTCTGCTGTTTCAAAGCATCCTTTGCTGTTGGGAGGGGCTCTGAGTTAATCAAAGTCAGAGGGCCATGTCCTGCAACCACAGTGCAGGTGGGATATTTCTTCCTCCTCTGCCCTCAAACTCAAGAAACCTTCAGAACAGCTATTTGCAAAACACAGAAGAACCATCCCCCCACCCTCTTTCCCCCCCCCCAAAAAAAAAATGAACAGTGGTTTTTTTGTCCAAAGCATTCCTGATGGCATATGATTGTCAGCGGGGGCCGAGCACTTGTGTCAGCAGATCCAGCCAGCAGAGAAATGGATGTGCATTTATTCATGCACATCCCACAGTGCCAGGGCTCAGGTCACCACCAGCCTCTAGCACAGGGATAAAGGTGGCCCTCATCCTTTAGTTTCCAGGAAAATATCAGTCGGAACCTCTCAATTATGGAAAATATATGCAGAGTCTCCCAGCGGGAATCAGCCAAGGATATTGCTTTTCCTCCCCTCCTTTTTTAATGATTCCCAGCCCCTGGCTGGCCCCTCACTCCCCCCACAGATCCCAAAGTGGGTGAGAAGCAGGGGAGAACAGAGAAGAGGCGGGTCCAGGTTGGGAATAGTTGTCCAGAGGGATAAGTCTCATGGTGGGGTGGGGGCTGTGGAGCTGGAAGGGATTTCGGAGTCAGGAGAGGGTCTGCAAGGAGAAACAAAACTGGGGATGTTCCACAGCAGCTGGAGCTGTGCTGGGGAGAGTCTGAGCTGAAAGATCAGCTCCAAGGTCTGGGGGCAGAATGTTCCAGGGGCTGCTGTGCCCGGGATGTGATCCCATCCCGAGGCAGTGGAGCAGTTTGGGGAGGCACAGCAGAGCTCAGAGCGGGGCAGAGCCAAGGCCAGCACCCACTGGGTGTCTCTGGGCAGCATCTGACATGCAAAACACATGTAGATGTGGCACCTGGGGACAAGGGTCAGTGGTGGCCTTGGCAGTGCTGGGTTAATGGTCAGCCTCAATGACCTTAGAGGTCTTTTCCAGCCTTAACAGTTCCATGGAACACCAGCAGCTGCCCTCCGTCCCTGAGTCATCTCAGCACGTCAGGGGGTCACTCAGGGGACTTAAGGCTTGCCAAATTTTTGGACACCAAGTAGGATGTGCCTGGGAGGGGGGTGTGGGGAGCTGCTCCCCCTCCCTCTGCCAGCTCTGCCTTGCTGGGAATCCCATTCTCCCTTCTGCACTTCCCAGCAGAGCCCGGGGAGTTCTCCATCACTCGGCTGGATCTGAGCACAATCATTTCAGTTCCTTGAAAGTCACCTTTCAAAGGTGACCTTGAAAGCCCAGTGCCCCTGGCAGGGGTGGCTGCTCTGGTGTTTCCCTGCTCCGTGGTTTTCCAGCCATGCCCTGACAGGCAGATCCCTACAGATCTCCCACCGGGAATACAGCAGGAGTTGAGGCTGTTTGGATTCACAGACGCCTGAAGTGCCTGTGGGAGCCAACAGGGGAGTGGTGTTGGGTGGGCAGCGAGGGAAGCCCATGGCCAGGGAGCTGGAAAACCGCTGAGCCCGGAAAATCGCTCGTGCCGATGACCCCGGGGCCAGACGACACCTCCCTGCAGGCTGGGAGGCCCTGTGGGGATGCCACCCGTGCAGACACCACCTTCCCACTCCCAGTCCTGCATCCCGTCACGGACCTGTCCCCTCCAGCCCCTGTGGCACAGCCTGACACGTGCAAGCCCCATCCCCGCGGGAGCGCAGACAGCACCGAGGGGCGGGGGGGCCACGAGCAGAGCCATGGGACACCACGAGCAGCTTCTCCACCCTCCTGGAGCCCCCTTTCCTCCAACGGGGGACCCCCAGCCCTTCCTGGGGGTGCAACCTGCCGGTTGTCTCCTGCCCAGAGGCAGAGCTGGGGGCGGCGGGGGGGGGGTTGGATGCGGGTTTTCCATGCAGTCACGGTCCAACCCCGTCTCCCGCCACGGGAATGCCGTGATGGATGGGACATGCCTGGGACGCGCCGGGGCTGCCGCCCATCTCACCTGAGCTGGTGGTAAAGGTTATGTACGAGTGCTCGCTGGGGCTAGACCATATGGGGAACACCCACAGCTTGTACATCATCCCCGGCGTCAGATCCGCCAGCTGCACAGAGGAAGGGGTCTGAGCTTTAACAGGGATAGATCTCTCTGTGTTGTTACCTGAGAAACAGAAACCGCACATCAAAGGCAGCCGCGGGAGGCTCCGCGATCCCCGCGCCGACACTGCGGGCGATGCTTTTCCTGCTCCGGGAGCTGCGAGGGGATGCTCCCTGGTGGCTCACCGAGAGGGACCAGGGATGCGGGGATGCAGGGCTCACCACGCCGGCAAACAAACAAACAAAAAAATACTGGGAGCTACTCAGCTCTCTCCCTGCTTTTAAGACCTGGGTCTTTACCTGGCCCAGCCTCGGGTTTGGGGGTTTGGGAGGTTACCGTAAAAAATAAAAGGTAAAATTTGCCTGGTCGTGCTCAGCTGGATGAAGGTGCCACAGGACTTGGTAAAGGAGCTGGTTCCTGTGCTGTTGGGGGTGGGACCTGTGCACCAGGTGTGCTGGGGGGGTTAAGGATGAGCTGGATAGTGCATTAAACTGGAACTGCTCACCCCAGCTGGCACGCTGATGCTTTTGAGGGAGGAGTTCAGCCCCCTGACTCAAGAAGGGCTGCTCGTGGGCTGGTTGCTCCCAGGTTCTTTCCAAGAACAACCCGTTCTTTGCATTGTGCTGGGAACCATTTGCTGATGAGCTTAATTCTGGGCATTATCCACGGAATTCCAGCCAGCCTGCAGCGGGGCTGGGCTTGGTGGCTCTGGAGGGAGGAGAAACGTGGCTTTGAGGGTTCACTTGCATCAAACACCACCAAAAAAGGGTGGAGGAGAGCCCTGACTGTCCAGGAAGGGCTGAAATCTCCAAGATTTCCTCCTTGGTGAGGGCATCCCATAGGATTGTTGCTGCTGCTGGTGCAGCCCAGCCCGAGCCTGGGCTCAGCACGTGGGCACTGGAAGGGGAACGCCTGTGCTTGGGGCTCCCAGTGATGGGGGAAAAGAGGGCTGGCAGAGGGTGGTTTGGGAGCTGGATATGGGATTATTTAGGGCTTGGCAAGCTGATGTTACCCTGACTTTTATGGAATAGGGGGCCTGCTGCAGCCCTGTGGAGCAAGACCAGGCACTGGCCCCACATGGGGAGAGAATTCAAGGTCATCACTTAAGGGATATTTTAAGTGGCCAGAAGTGGTTCCCTGACCTAACTGGTGTATTTTAAATGCCCCTTTCAGGCTGGCACAGCAGCTGCTGTGGGGGCTGGGGTGGCTGGGAAGCAAAGGCAGAGATAAGCACTCAGCACTGCCTACCTGGGAAAACCCCAAACAACCAGCAACACGCCAACATCCTTCTAAACAAGAACTAAGGCCAGAGAGACTGATTTTCCAGACTAAGTACGAGCCTTACAGCGTTAAGAGACAATGATATCCGATATGACGGGAGGTTTGGGATCATAGAGGATTCTGCCAACTCCAGGTTCAAAAAGCCCGTGTCCAAAGGCATTCAGAAGTGCTCTCCAATTTCCACAGATTTCACGTTTATAGACGTTTTTAAGGCCCTTTATGCTGACCACATGCAGCCCAGCTCGCAGTTCACAGCCTTGCCCCATCTACATCTCACAAACAAGGAGGGGGAGAATCCCCTGGGACCCACCAGGATTCACTCTGGTCCTCCCTGAGCAGCCACATCCAGGACCTTCTCCCCTCCCATCCTCCACCCAGCCATGGAGCATCACTCCACACACACCAATTGAGGTAAGTGAATCAAGTGGGAGCTGGCAGGATCTCTAATGGCACCACCACCCTGTAGAGTCCCCACGTGATCTGATGCTTACTGGTGATATACTTAACCACAAAGGCAGTTCCTGCAGAGTAATTGTGGCTCCAGGTGATGTTTGCCCAGTTACTATTAGCCATAGCTCTTATGTCCCATATGGACGATCCATTGGTGGCTGGTGGACAGGTTAGAACAGGAGTTGTTGTTAGTATTTTGGATTATAAGGAGACCTCATCTAGTGCTGGTAAAACCCTCGCAGAATAACTCCCGAGCTCAGTGCTTTGAGTGTGCCTTGTCTTTTCAAGATTCTCAGCTCTTTTTTGGTTTTTTTTTGGGGGGGGGGGAATTTCAGTAGCAGAAGCTCACTGTGAATGGTTATTTGAGTCCAGCTGCCCTCAGCTCATCTCTGGAGTGTGAGGAGTCCCTGAGAAGGAGCTGGGACCAAACTCGCGCCCGGGTGGAGGCGGGGGACACGTGCATGGATGCACACGGGCTCACTGCCACAACCAGCAGCCGAGGCTGGGGGAGATGGTTGTCACCTGACTGGGCCTGGGGACAGCCAGTGGGGCAATGAAGTCACTCGTTTCTGATGTTGAAGTTAAGGGTTGTCGACGTTGCTTTGGAGAGCGGATGAACTTGGGCTCTGGTGAGGTGGAGCTAATCCTGCCCTTCAGTGAGTGTGAGGGACGGGGGCTAAGTTACACCCTGGGGGGGGTCTGATGTTTATTACTCAGGGTGCAGCTCCTGTTTCCATTTGGTAGAATGCAGATCAATAACTGCAGTCCCTGTTGTGACTTTTGGGGCACCTGATGCTTTGGGGTGACCTAAAATCCTTCTCACACATGCTGTGCTGCAGCCCCACAGCAGGGCTCAGCCTCTTCCCATCCCCTCTCCCTGCTCTGTGCCTCACCATTAGGCAGGACCTCCCAGCATAAGGTTTTTGGTGGTTTTTTAACCACCCTGAGCTAATCTTATGCAAGAATATAAAGAAAGGGGATCTGAACTGAGTAACAGAATCATCCCAGAATGGTTTGGGTTGGAAGAGACCTTAAAGTTCATCTCATTCCACCCCCTGCCACGGGCAGGGACACCTTCCACTAACCCAGGTTGCTCCAAGCCCCGTCCAACCTTTAGATTTTTGTTTGCATTCCTGGCTCGACTCCCTTTTTAAGTGAATATAACTATCCATAATTATTTGTTAACTGTAGACACCATCATAGCAGTGCTTCAAAGACAAGGCTCAGGGAGATACACCTCTAAAAGACACACTCAGTTGGGAATATGCCTCCCCCAAAGCAGAGTCTGATCACCCTGTTCCAGCTGATTGCACTGGAGGCCGATCCCGACCTGGCAAATCCCTGGCTCGCACCCCCTGTGCTGTAACTCCCACACTGCCCAGCTCTCCTGTGGGCTGTGGCATCACAGAGAGCAGGAGCACCGACCCAGAGACTCCTATAAGTGCTGACAGGTCTCTCAGCCAAGGGCTGATGTGCTAAATCTGAAGTGACACCTTCTGCCAGCCGTCCCAGAACCCCCTTTTTTGCGGCCCTGAGATGGGGGATAACGCTCTGCAGGGTTTGCCACCTCCTTCCCAAACACTGCTGCTCGTCCAGCATCGCCACACCCCAGGGAGGGCTGTGTGTCCCCCCAGAGAGCGAGACCAGGGGGGTGGCACTAAATTACCAGGAGCCACTTGGTGCCCTGGCATTCCTGACCCCGCGGCACCTCCGGCTCCAACCCCCCCAAAAGCCTCTCCTGGAGCGTGGGATGCCTTAAACCTGCCCTGTGCCCGGACTGAGCGGGCTCTGAGTGGGACATGGGGAAGGTGGCAGCAGGGTCCGAGGGGTTAGAGGAAAAGGAAAGCTCAGTACCCAACTCCTGCTTTGTGGTGGCTGCCGGAGCCCTCTCTGCAGCTGCCGTGGTGCTGACGGCGGTGGTGGCGGCCGCGGTGGTGGAGGTGGTGGTGGTTGTGGTGGTTGTGGTGGTGGTGGTTGTAGCTGTGGTAGTTGTAGTTGTGTCAGTAGTAGTTGGGGTGGTTGTGGTGTCGGTGGTGGTGGTGTCGGTGGTGGTGCTTGGGGTGGCTGCAGGGCTGGTTTGCTCCACTGCGGTTGGAGGCGTCCCAGTCGCGGCTGGGAGAGGGAAACACTGGCTTTGGATGTCTCCTGGGGGGCCCTGCCCGTCCTCCCCCACACTGCCCGTGCCAGGGGAGGGCAGGGGAGCGGCACAGCACGGGGGGGATGGCAGGGAGGCAGCGAGTCCCACCGGGAACACGAGGCTGAAGGGCTCGTCCCCACGCAGGGATGGCTGTGCCTCCACCCGGGGGGCTGGGAGAGGCGCTGGGGGTGAGGAGGGGGCAGCAAAGGGGGGATAACCCCCAAAATGTGCTCCTGTGCCCCCAGCCTGATCCCCACCCCTGGGCTGAACGACCTGCTCCTGCTCTGCCTTTGCTCTGCCCCGGTGCCCCTGCCCATCCCGGGCTAAAACCCCCGGCAGGAGGGAGCTGGAGGTGGCTGGGGATGCTCAGACTGCCCTCAGCCCACCATTCCCCTGGCACAGAACTGTGCTGGGAGCACTGCGGGCTCCCTGAAAAATGAAATGGGATTTAGCTCTTAAGAAAACACGCTAATCCCATTTGTCGTGGGCCAGGCAAGCTGCAATTACATTAATTCAGCTGCCCCTGGACTACACCTCCAGCATTTCTGAGCTGCCAATTCAGCCTGCAGCCTCCCAGCTCCTTCCACCCTGGCTGGTCTCTGTGCTAATGCTGCTGGTGATGGAGCAGCTTCGGCATTAAGGTGGATTTTAGCTCGTGGGCGAGTGATGGATGGTGCCTCGCCATCACTGCCCCTCAAAATTTACATTTAAATTAAGACCCCGGGGTTGCAACACCCCAACATGTCCAGGGGGGAAGTCTGAGCAATTTGTTTTCTAAATAGCTCCCGTGTCCACGTCTCACCTGAGCTGTGTTTCCAAGGGAAGGGGGAAATGTGCCTTTTCCACCCCCACCCCAGAGTGTGGGTGAGAGTCCCACTGAGGGGGGGGTGCATTGCCTTGGGCCTGCAAACCTGCCAGAGGAAAATGCAGCTGAAATGCTGCTTCAAATACCAAAGGTAACTGAGAGGAGGTTTGCCCTGGGATGCTCACATTAAATTATATTTACTTACTCTTCCTGTAGATCAAGGGATTACAAATCCCTCTTTTAGGCAAATGAAACCAGCTATGATAAAAATCGCCCACAAACAAGAACAGCTCTAGAAAAGCACTTGAAAAGGTGGCCCAGCACCAAGCCAGGGCTTTCTTTCTCACCAAGGCCATCCCCAAGGGAGACCCAAACCCTAAAACCTCAGCCCTGCCAGGGATCCAAAAGCAGAGAAGAGCAGGAGGTCGCTCAGTCCATCTCCCCACTGCCCACAGCTGCAATAGAACCACAGTTACAGCACGTCCAAAACCCCAGCCCAGCCCCAGGAGTGCACCAAGAGCAGCCACAGTCACCCCAAACCCCCAACCCAGCCCCAGGAGTGCACCAAGAGCAGCCACAGTCACCCCAAACCCCCAGCCCAGCCCCAGGAGTGCACCAAGAGCAGCCACAGTCACCCCAAACCCCCCAGCCCCGCATCCTCTGCAGGTGGTACCCGCAGCATCCCCGACAGCCTCATGCAGCCCCCAAGGAAAGCCCCCCGTGCACAGCCCATCACTGCCCCAGCCCAGGGGAGGTGGTGGTGACAGGGAGGGGACACAGCCTGGGTGGGCCAGGGCACAGCTTTGTCCTTGGGAGTTTGTGGTGTAGCAAAAAGGGGGGGTTTTGGGGTTTTGCTGGTCTGGGTTTCTTTTCTCCTCCCTTACTCGTGAAGGACTTTGCTGCTCTGAGGCCACACTACAAATCCTTTCTCGGGTTGGGAAGCGTCAACATCCATCTCTGGTGATTCACAGAGGGTTTTTGGGAGGTTAAGAGATTGGTGTCACTGGGTTAATGTCCCCATTAACGTGATGGAGCTGCAGCTCCTCGATGGCTTGGCCGTGGACACAATCAAACAGCACCGGAGACACTGCTTATCAGCTAATGCAGTCTCAGCACTCCCCTGTGAGTCCCTGGCTCCCCTCGAAGGAAAATAAGACCCTGAAAGGCACAGAGTAACTTTCAGCAAGGCAGGGGCTGATGGAAAGCCGGGTACAACCTCCCAGCTTCCAGCCTCTGCATCAATCCTCTCCCACCTGTCTGCTTTGCCCAGCACTGCTGGAATGGCTTTAGCAGAAGGAGAGGTTCAGCTTTAATGCTCCTCTAGGCCCTCAGATGGGAAGGGATTATCTGGGATAAGTCCAAGCCTCGCTATCCCCGATGCAGGGTATCATCTCTGTGCATTCCTTGCAGCCCCACACACACGCCAGGACCCTCCTGGATGCTGCCCCGGATTCAGCACCGGGCTGAGCTGACGGCAATGCCGGGCAGGATTGGCCCCAGCCCTGCAGCAGCTCCGGGGGAAGCGACCCCCGGGAGCGGAGCTATCACTTTGCATCAGGATAACACGGGCCCAGCCCCTGAGCCAGACCCGGCAGGGGGAGTCGGCACTGGGGATAAAAATCATCTTGGCAGGACTAGGACCGGGTGAAGAGCGGGACTGGGGGAGCTGGAAAGCAGCAGTTCAGAGAGGGGAGGATGGGAGGGCAGCCCTGCAGCCGACCGGGGCTCCCCCAGTCAGGGGGGAGATGGATTTAGTCCTAAGCTGCCCCGGGATGCAAAGCTACGGCCTCATTAGTGTTTAAATATGAAATGGATGTGGGAGAAAAGCTCAGCTGGGAGATTGGGGGCAGAGAAGATGAGGGGTATTTGCTGGGCTTTGAAATCCATCCCCTAATGAGCGGCGGCTGCAGCGTGGGGGGAGATCAAGGCGGGCTTTGACAGAGATCAGAGCGATCCGGAGCGCCCCGAAGGAAAGGGCACCTTGTCACGGGGAGAGAGAACCCCTTCCCGGGGCTCCCAGGACCCCCAGCCCTGCCCAGCACGGTGGGGGTGATCAGGGATCAGATCCCTGCTCCGAGGGGCAGATGGAGGGCCAGGCAGGTGTTCCCAGCCCCGCTCCCTTTGGAAGCCCTGGGATCGCCCCCCTCCTCCCCAACCCCGCGGTGGCTGCAGCAAGGCAGGACCTTCGTGGGCTTTGCAGGGCAGCTGGAAATGTTTTCCTGCACTTCTCACTCGGGGACAGGAGCTGCCTCCAAGTTTAGGAGCGGGACTGAGCATCTGGAACTCGTGGGATGGGGAACAAATTTCCCCCCTCGCTGAAAGCAGGGGATGGTGCAGGGGAGGAGGAGCTGCCACTGCCCCCATCCCAGGGCAGAGCAACCCCCTGCAAACCAGTGCTGGGAGCACCCAGGACAACTGGGAGTGAAAACCAGCAATGGCCATTCCCCCTGCTCCCATCCCACCTTCCTGGAAACTCCTTAAGGACCACTCAGCTCGTTGATTGCCCCTCTCTGCCAGGCAGAGATTGCTTTTCTGTCTGCAAGATGCATCATTTCCTTGCAGCATGGGGGGAGATGGGCTGAGAGGAGGGGTTGGGGATTGCAGCAATTAATAGTTCCAGTGATGAGAGAGGCTGAGCTCTTTGCTGCTGCTTTGCTGCTGTGACTGGACCAGGAAAAAGGAGCCCAAACCTTGCACAAAAAAACCCTGTTTGAAGCTCAGATTAGAAAAAAAAAAACAACAAACAAACAGAGAGTAAGAATCAGAACAGCAAAAGGGGATATTTAAAGAGGGAGGTTCTGCAGAGAGGACTCAAGTCCTGCTCTGAGTAGTGTAAGTTCAGTGAGTGGTTGCATTTATTTTTGCAAAATACAGGAAACAATCCCCATCTATGCTGCTCTTTAATTATTTAAAGTGCTTTTAATGTGTTGTTAGGCTGGAGTAACAGCTTTCCCTTGGGTGTGTCTGCCAAATAATTAGGCTTGGAGAAATTGGATTAATTTTTCATGATTTTTGATGATTGGGCAAATCAGAGATTTATTTTTTCCCTCTCGCCCTCTCAGTTTGTAACAACAGGAGGAAATTGTAAAGTCTTTACCATAAAAGTGCTGCAAGTCTGATGTGAAAAGATAAAGAGATTCAAGAATAGAAAGGGGTGATTGAGCAGCCTCCAAAAGAGAGGGGTCAGCAGTTCTCTCTGTTCCTAAAATGAACAATAGGATCTTTCTCCTCCAATTCCTAATTATGGAACAACATGAAGAGAACGGAGAAAAGTCTTTTTTTTCCCCTTCAAGTCTAAAACCAATACTCTTTATGATTCCTGATGATGTTTTCCCACACACACACAGGGGTGGCAGAGGATCCAGTTTTGATTTTTTCCCCTCACTCAGAGCATAAATAAGAGCCCTTTTAGATGTCTTCTCTTTTCCCATATCACTTCTCCTCTCACCCAGGTCTGGCTTAGGAAAGGTAAAGCCTTTCCTAAGGGAAAGTCCCTGCACTTCACTTTGATTTCATCAGCCTGGTGCAGTTCCTCTACCCACACAGCCCAGCCCTGACCCCGTCTGGGTGAGGTTACCCCTGGAAAAAAAAAAAAAAAGACCTTTTTATTCTCTCTTAGTGCCAGCAGCCCATGGCAAAGAGCGTTTCACTGCGATTTAAGGCAACTCTCGCCGCGAATCCACAAAAATCCCCCGAATCCAGGTCAGTGAGCGGGGCTGGGAAGGGTCAAGCAGCATTTCACTGGAACCAGGACTTGTTAGGAAGAGAAACGGCCTCTGGAGCCCAGCACTGCTCACACTGTGTAACAGCTCCTGTGCTGAGGCCTGAGGAGAAATGACAGCCAGCAAAGGAGCGGGACAGGGATGTGAGAGGGATCTTCCCTGGGCTGATTGTGCTTGGATTGCCCTTGGTGGGGGATGCTGAGAGCGAGCCGAGGCAGCACTGGGTGACCTACTGCTCCACTTCCTCATCTCAGGCTCCCCTCAGCCCTGGCCCACCCCTCCAGTTTACTGTTTCTCCTACTGGAAGGTGGGAAACAGAGGGATGGGCTCTGTGCTTGGAGAATGACCCTTGAAATAGCAGCTAACTCGTCTGGCTTCTGGTGGGGCAAGAAACGAAGCCCGAAGCAAAACGATGCTGGAAGGATAAAGAGATCAGGTCGTGCTTTCAGAGTTCAGCAATATCCACTGCAAGCAGGAAAGTCCTTTAGGTGATCCTGATCCACAAAGAAAATCTGGATTCTTGTGGATGAGCTAAACCCTGCGTGGAGGAGGAGCTGTAGCAGCAGCACAGCCCTCCAGGACTTGGAGGATGGAGATCCTCTGAGCCAAAATATGTCCATTTTCAGGTCCCCACCACACAAAGCAGACCAATCTGTTACCTCCTTTTCTATTTTTTTGGGGGTGGGGGGAAGAGGAAAAGAGGAAAAGATTGGCATCTGTTCAGAAAGGGGGGACAAATGTAAAATAATGCTGGGTAGAGACACCACTGCAACAAAACAAAAGAAGGGGGAAACATCTACGAGGCAGGAAAGCAAAACCTACAAGTGCAGAGAGCTGGTCCTGCACTTGTATCCCTCGGGAAGAGGCTTCCCTGGGACGCTGCTCCTCCCTGGGCAGCCCCAGGGCTGCGTCCAGCAAAGGCAAAGCAGGCCCTCTTAGAGAGCCCTCGGTGCAGGGGAACAAGAGCTGCTGCTCCACGCACACCAAAAGCTCCTCCACGGCGTTTTTGGGGCGGGGTTTTGGGGTGGCTGCACCCCCTGGCTCTGCCACTGCCACCCCCATCCCCTTCTGAGCTGGGAACAGGCTGTGCCACGGCTGAGAGTGTGTGTTGTGAGTGGGAAGTCACGTCTGGAGCAGGTGTGAGGGGGGTGGGAGCCAGAAGTTGTGCTCCTGGCTTTGCAGGGCGGCGCCGGTGTGGGGGGGAGGATGGTTTGGTTTTCCAGGGAAGCAGGAGGAGGTGCTGCCCCCCCAGCACTGCTCTTCTCTCAGCTTTGCTGCTGGAGGGAGAGCCCCGAGGGCCAAGCCAGCGACAGCCCCCCATGCAGGCATGCACAGCTGTGGCACAAACGTGTCCTTAACCCTTTCAATGGGCAGCCGGGGGATGCTCGTGCCCCACAGCCCTGGCACAGCCCTGGCACAGCCACGGGGAGCTGAGTGGTGCCTGTGCACCAGAAACCCCCCAGGGCTGGCAGCTGCTCCAGCAGTGACCTGGTGGGGGCAGATAAAAATGCAGTTCAGGTCCCATGAGGCAGGGCACAGGTGCTGGGTGGGCACCAGCGAGTCAGGGCTGGCTGGAAATACTCTGCATTTGGCAGGGGGGGGATGGCGAGGCTGAAAAAGGGAGAGGGGCTCTGTGCAGAGCTGGGATTAAAAAGCTCTTCAGCTGGGGAGAAAACCCCTCTTTAACAGAGGAGAAAAACACTCTTTGTAACAGAGCAAAACCCCCTCTTTAATAGGGAAAAAACCCCTCTTTAATGGGCAACTTGGCTCTCCTTTGGGCTTGTTCAGTGTGTGGCCACTGCAGTGAGTGGTGGCTTTGGCCATCATTAGGCATCTGGGAGCTTTTAAGCCCCGCTCAGGGACATTTTGATCTTTGCAGGCCCCGCTGTGGAGCCTGCCCTTCTCCCTTCTGCCTGTGGGGGCTTTGTTTTCACCTGCCATCCCTCTGAGTGCCCAGTTTGGCCCCCTCGGGGCTCTGCTTTGCCATTGAAAGGGTTAATGGAGCTCATGCTTGATCGGCAGCACAGAAAGCACCTTTTGCCCCATGCCTGTTACCTCCAAATACGGTACCTGGGGTTGGTGTGGCTTCGAGGGCAGCGCCAAGGGTAGAGAGGGGGGTACGGAGAGAGCACGGCAGAGAAGGGGAGAGAAAACACAGGAATGCATAAAACAACCAGAGCACACCAACAGGACACTGGGGACCACCTGCACACAGTCACCAGAGAGCTGAGAGAGAGGGAACGAGGGGACCACGACCTGGCACCCTCCCTGTGAGCAGGGACGGCCCCTTGGACACCACGGGTAAACCACACCAATAACACACACCCCGGCTCCAACACCCACCAGCTCCTCAGCAGAGGTGCCAGTGGTGTCCTTGAGCCAGGTGCTTGAGCAGGTGCTCAGATCTAATGCCAGCTCTGGCACTGAGTTTGCCCCCCGATCTCCCCCCAGTGTCACTCTCGCATCCTGTCCTGCCTCGTGGGGGTGTTTGATCTAAACCTCCCCGGTGAAGGAGCCTGGCTGGCAGAAAACAACCTCTGAACGCATTCATGGGTTTAATTTTCTTAAAGTGCTTATTTTCTTCAGATTCCAAACTCATTTTTTTTGGTGTGGCTTCCCATCAAAGTGCCTACCTACCTGGCGTGGGCAGAACTCACTGATACAAATCTGTTAAGTTTTGTACTCCAGGAGCTGGTTGTGGCTGTTATTTCACTGTTCACTGCCAACAGTGCCCAGAAACAAACCCAGGAAGGCAAATGTATGGGAAACAACCAGAAATACTGACTATCAACCTCAATCCAACTCCTGCCCTCTAATAGCTCAGCAAAGCTCCTCTTTAAAGCCCCTCTCATGATTGCCACGGTGTAACTTGGCTGCTTTTTCCCCCCCAGCCCCATCTCCCATCCTGCTGCATCAATTAGTGCCACTGGAACCCACCTAAGAGGTGTTGGGAAGCATTTCATTTCCACTGGGTCAGAGCAGGAATTACTTTTCCTACTCAGAGCCATTAGCTGGGGAGGGGGAGATGGAGGAAAGGAGACAAAGCCCCCATTAAATCAGAGCACTAACCCAATCAAGGGTCTGTTAGAGAAGGATAAAGAGAGGAAAGAGCCGCCTTTTGTCTCCCCACGTTCCCTCGGGGCTCCTGAACTTTCACTTGGTTTGATGGATGTCCCACAACGGGCATTTTATCTGATTGTGAGTCTGAGAGTCAGGGCCTCGCTCTGGGTGGGGTGACTGGGAGGTGGCAGCTGCTTCACCCTCTAAAAACCACCCATGTCTGCCTCTGATTGAGCTCACCCTGAGACAACAGAGGGGCAAATTAAATCATCTTCAGGAAGAGGGGAGTGAGATCACAGAACCACAGCACGCTTTGGGTTGGTTGGGATCTCAAAGATCACCCAGTGCCACTCCCTGCCATGGGCAGGGACACCTTCCACTGGCCCAGGTTGCTCCAAGCCCTGTCCAACCTTGGACACTCCCAGGGATGGGGCAGCCACAGCTTCTCTGGGCACCCTGTGCCAGGGAAAGGCTTCAAAACCCTCTGAGTGAAGAATTTCTTCCCAATACCTGGTCTAGCCCTGCCCTCTGGCAGCATAAACCCGCAGTGCCCTCCTGCTCCAGGGCACGTGAGGAACCCTCAATACCTGAGGGGGGAGCACCAAAGTGGCTCCCTGGGGCCCAGCCCAGCCCCCCAGGACCCTCTGCAGTGTTTCTGCTGCAGCACTCGGTCCTGAGCCGTCCCCTCCACCCCTGCAGCAGAGTGGCTGTGCTGTCCCTGCTCAACCTGCTGCTCTCACCCGCGTGTTTTTTGGCTCATCCACGTGTCCCGTCACCCCCCAGCCCCTGGGCAGGGCCAGAAGCTGTCACTGCTGCTGCTGCTGCTGCTGCACATACCTTCATCCAGCAGGGCTGGGGACTCCTCCACCACGGGCTCTCCTTCTCCCACCTGGGTGCGGGCGCGCAGCACGAAGCGGTAGCGGGAGATGGGGTCTGTCCTCTGCAGGGTGAACCTGGTCTGGTTGGGGGAGAAGTTCTCCACCACGGTTCGGCCCGTTTTGGTCCCGTTAACTGGGGAGGAAAGCCAGGGGGTGGTGGGTTCAGGTGGTCTCCCCCTCCTCGCCTCGCCCTGCCCTCGCCGCGGGGGCCTCGTGCTCGGAGCTGTTGCTGCTGTTAAAGACTCTTCCTTTGGGGCGCTTGGGGACACTCTGGTGGGGACATCCAGGTGGGCAGGGAAGGCTCTGCTGCCCCTGGCATCGTGTGGGCTCTGGGCAGCCTCTTACACAGCAGCAGCTTGTGTTTGAGAGAGCACAGGAACTACTCAGACTGCGCTTAAAACAACAGATCAAACCGATTTCCCCTCAATAGCTGAGGCTGAGGAACTGCTGAGCACCCCCCACCCTCCTTGGCTAACCCCACGTGTTCCCCACTGTGCCAGGACCCCTCTCAACACCAGCTTGGCTCATCATGGAAGTCTCCAGCTCCTTGTGGAGAGATTCCTGGGCTGGGGGAGGAGGGAATCAGCAGCAAGAACACACTGATTATCACTCAGAAGAGAGCGTGGAACGTACAGGGTTGATATCTAAGGCTGTATCCTGTGAGGACTCCATTGGGGTGCTCTGGGTGATCCCACTCCAGATTGATGATTTCCAGGTTTGGCTGCCGGATTCTCAAATACCTGGGGGAGCTGGGCACTTGGGAGGGGAGGGAGAGAAGAGAAAACACACAAGATAACACACCTTACACTGCTGGACACGTCACAGGGTGACCCACACGCTCAGGACACTCGGAGATGCCCACACAGACACACAGCAGGAAAGGACTGAACAAGGGTGTGTGCCAGAAACCAAGAGCCAGCCCGGGGCTTGCAGCAGTCGGTGTGTGCAGGAGCAGAAACCAGAGCAGCTCTGCATGCAGCCCCATCCCCACGTGCCCCTGCCATGCTGGGAACCCCCCAGTGAGGCCCCAGAAGGTGCTGCAGCTGAAGCAGAGCTGGGACTCGGTTCAAACCCCACTTCTCTCTGTTGTAAACAGACTTTTTTGCATCCCCCAGCCCCAAGGTTTTCATCTCATCGGGTTTCTCTCTCAGAGCCATGAAAAGCAGCACAGCAGCTTCTCTTGTCCCAAAGTGTGATATCAGTGCCTGGAGATCTGTGTGTCTCCAGTGGTCCTTACCCTGAGCAATGGCTGGGTTATCACTGCTTGTTCAAAGCCAGTAAAGGAAGGAAAGAATTACACAGCCTTGAATTAAATTATTCTCCTGGTTGACTCATAATTGCGGTGCCTTAATTGGGGAAAGAGCTTGGCTTGCTGATCTGGGAGATTAGGGGTGTATTTATTTTTAACCAGCAGTCGTGCAGAGTGTCATTCAGTCTCCTAAATGTCAATATGTAGTCAATAAAATAGCTTGGTGGTACAGGAAAAACAGAAATCAACGTTTTCCTCGTGACAGGGGTATAATCTGCTGTAATTGTTTCAATTAATGTCATCCACGTGTCCTTATAGCCACCCCAAATGCCTATAGCCACCCCAAATTATCTCTAGCCACCCCAAAGGCCTTATCACCCCAAATATCTCAAGCCACCCCAAATCCCTGTGCCTCCAGCACAGGGATAATCACAGATAATCACCTCTCACAAAGCACTTCACTGCAAAACCTGCAGGAACTGAGTCCTTCCTCTTAAAACAATCTTAATTAAGGCTGATCAACAGAAAATCCTTAGAAAAGGGTGGCAGCATCCAAGAAAATTCTGAGGAAGAGGCAGGGCTGCAGCAGGGGTGGGATGAAGAGGAAGACCAAGAGGAAGATCCCACTGGATTCTGAGACAAGACTTGCTCCTAGCAAATCTCCCCTTGTGTTTTTGTAGCATCCTGTGCCAAACCCCCCACCCCTTGTGCTGTAGAAGAGTCACTGCCAGGCTCTGGAAGTGCAGCTCCCAACACAAAATCAGCCCTGTGCCTATAAATAGCCCCCGTGACAGCAGGAAAATTAAAACCTCAAGTTCATCCTTGACAGGAGCTCCTCAAACAGAGCACTGAGGGTGCTCCTGCCTGGAGAGCCAGGGGATGAAGGTAACAGACCCTGGGAGGGGGGAAATATTGCTGAGATCTGGGCACCAGTTCACCAGGAATGCAGAATTTACAGACCATGAGGGCACTTTGCAGAAACCAGGGGTAAAGAAATGACTAAGCAAGACAATCCAGCATTTGTGCTGCAACTCTGCCCATGTTGGGGTAAGAAAAAGAGTGAAATTGCTGCCTAATTAGCATGAGGAGTGAGAAATCATTAACCAATGGAAGATAGGGCCATTTCCCGTCAGGACTGAGGACACCCCCAGCCCCCTGGGAACGTACCTCCTTCAGGAGTGGGGAATTCCTTCACCTCACTGCGGGGCCCATCTCCTCTGCCGTTGGTCACAACCATCTCAAGTTTGTAGTTGCTGTAAGGGAACAGCCGGGACACTATGCCCCGGTTTCGGTCTCCAGGAAAACTCACAAACTGCCGTTTTTTGGAGACCCACAGGTTCTTCAGCAAACTACTGTCTCTCCAGAAATAGGCCTTCAAGAAACACGCATGGCAAGTGAAGCTTTTCCCACGGAAATGCAATTTTTTTGTGTATAGATATATTTATATATATTAACCAAGAGCAGAACTTCGCCAAGAGCAGCTCGGAAGCCTTTTAGAGCGATTAGTGTGAAGCTCCACGTCCCCCCCAGCGAGACAGGTCAGGGGTGTTACCCAAGGAAGAGGGTTAAGTGCTTGCCAAAGGGCACAGAGCAAAACCACTAAGCTCAGACTAAAAGCTGCCTCTGGTTCCCGAGCCTTGGACGTGGAGGGATTCTCCCCTTCCACCCGGAGCGCAGGGAAAGGTGGGACACGCCCAGGCACAAAGGAAAGCCTGGATTTGGAAAGCCTCCCATTCAGAGCCCTTGACTGCAAATCTTATTTCATGCAGAAATAAGATTCATTCAGAAAACAGAGCAGAAGAAGAGCAGAGGCAGAAACTGGAGAGGATCCCAGAGGATTATTGGATTTGGGGTGCTGGGACTGTTGGCAGGGCACGTGGTTTTGGTCTTAAACGCCGAGAGGAGGGCCCTGCTCAGACTTTGGCTTGTTTTGAACAGGGTCCATCCTCTGTATACACAAACATTAGTATTTTACCCCAGCAGTAAATAGCAAATATTAGCAGGAATCCCCAAAGCACAGCAGGATCCAGGCTGCCTGTAGTGACCAGTTAGTCCCACCCACTGGGTTTGGGCTTTGCAGGGCTGGTGTTCATTAAAAGAGCACGTAGGAACTTCGGGGATGACACAAAAATGCCCCTGTTTGAGGTCACTCCCCCCAGAGCCACCTTCCTGCGGGGGTAGGACCCCCCAGCCCCTCTCATGGGGTGCACAAGGACAGTCCTGTTTGCTTTGAGCCCCCTGGATCCCACAGGGATCCCACAGGAGATGTCCCCAGCCCCACCCAGGCAGCACAAAGAGCAAACCAACCCCTCCTTGCTGCCCCAGAGCAGAGCTCAGCCCCTGTGCTCTGCACCCAGAGCAGCCCAAGTGGCCAGGGCAGGGTTCCCTCTCGTCCCCATCCCCGGCAGCTCCACCCCTGGAGCCAATTCCAAAGGGGAATTTCATTAGCAGATTAGATGTGTTAAGTAGCCAGTGCCCAAGAGGTTTGGGGCTGCTCACTCTGTACTCCTTGAGCTGTCCCTGGATGGTGTCCAGGTGCACTCTGGTCCAGGTCAGAGCAATGGCAGTGCTGTTTAGGACTCTAATCCTAACGTCCGTGGGTGCAGCCTTGGGATCTGGGTGGGCAGGGACAGAGCACAGGGGTCATCAGAGCCCCCCTGGGGGTCAGACAGACAGACACACCGACACCCTTCTGCCCTGGCCCTGGGTGTCCCATCACAGCACTGCTGGGAGCAGCCCCATGGCTGCTCTGCCTCCTTCCACGGGAAGGGGGAAGGAAACGAGTCCTATTTCACTCATCCAGCCATCACAGCAGGTTTTCCTGCTGCAAGGAAGGGGTCTGGCTCCCCTCCCTCTCCCAGTGAAGGATCCAGCACATCCAGCCCCCTCCTGCCTGACCTTGGCTGGTCTCAGACCCCAAAGTCCCCCAAACTACCTTATTTCCACAGCCATTAATCTGAATTTGGCCAGAACCTGCTGTTGATGTGTGTAAAAATCTGCAGGTATTTATCCACCTTCCTTCTCGCTAATCCTGAAGTCCCACAGCCCCAGAGAAGACCCCCAAACCCCAAATTAACATATATTTCTTTAAAGATAAAGCAGTTGGCAGCAAACCACGTTATCCCAACGGGGCAAGGATAATCATGGCTGAGAGTCTCGAGTGCTGCAAGCACAGAAAGTTTTCCAGCAGCCCAGGAAAAGGTGAAAAGAGAATTAAATGAGCTGGGTGCTGTTCTGAGTGACCAGGGGAGAGGTTTAAAGGAAGATAAGCTGAGCCAATGGGTTGCAAACAGGAGCCCAGGCTGGGGCTTAGCTGAGGCTTTATCAGAGAGGCACAAGAATCCAGAGCAGGGTGAACTAAGGGGCCTTTTGGCCATTCATAAAACCTCTCCTCGGAGATGAACTCGGTGCTCTGCCCGTGCTGGGGGCACAAAATGTAATGCCACTTATGGGAACGCAGCCAGAGTTCACCCTGAGTGGGATCCTGCAGTTTTCCACGCTCCAAGTGCTGCCTGGGTGTCACAGAGAGCAAAGGGAGGGGATGAGGGTTGGGGGATGGTGACTTGGGTGGTGCAGGCAGAGCCCAGAACAGGAGCCAGCGGCCAAGCCTTGCTGCCAGTCATGGAATCGTGGAATGCTTTGGGTTGGAAGGGACCCTGAGGCTCATCCCAGTGCCACTCCCACACCTCCCACGGACGGGGGTCGCTCCAAGCCCCGTCCAAGCCGGGACTGGATCTCTGTGGCAGGGACAGACCCCATGTCCAGGTGGGCTCCTCCCCAGCTGGGCAGGTACTCACAGTCCTCCCCGGAGTAGCCGATGTAGGTGTCGGGCTCGGGGGCTCTGCCGAAGTCGTTCTCGGCCTGCACTTTGATCTCGTAGGGGACGTAGATGGGCGTGTTCCACACCACGTGCCGGGGGCCCTTCACCGTCTCGTTGTGCCAGCTGCCCCGCGGGTCCCGGCGCCGCCAGCGCACGATGTACCTCAGGTTGGGCCCGTAGGCTTGGGTGGCGTTCAGGGGCTTCACGGACCGAAACAGAGACAGGGAGTGAGAGGGAGAAGAGCGGCCTGTGTTTCTCTCCGAGGTTCTGCTCGGCGGCTGGCTCTGATCTCGGGGATCCACCAGCAGATCTCTAAGGAGGGTCGGCTGCTCTTGCTCCCAAAAGGGAGTGGGAACAAGAACGTACCTGGTTCTTGCCCTCTGGAGCCATGAACATTATATTCCTAGAACCATAAAATCCTGGCATGGCCTGGGTTGGAAGGGACCCTAAAGCTCATCTCATTCCATCCCCCTGCCGTGGGCAGGGACACCTCCCAGCAGAACAAGGCTGTTCACATATATATATTATGTATAATAAATCAAATGTCTCCATAGTATAGAGTGCATACAATACATATTCCATATATATTATCCTTGTATTCCAGCCTGTATTCCCACTGCAATCTGAAGCCTCCTCACAGCTTCGTGGCTTGTTTGTGGATGACACCTGGTGGTGCACGAAGCAAAGCAAGAGCTGCTCTGTAAATCCTCTGTACCACCAAGAGCCCGTCCTCTCCGATGATCCTCCCTGACTTCTGACTGTCATTCACCACGTTTTGTCTTATTTACATCGTTGAAAATTAAGGTTTTTTATCTCAACCCTTCTTCTAGGCACTAACAACGGCCTCTCCTGTGCCTTTTATTTCATCATAGAATCGTCAGAGACCGGCCTGGGTTGGGGAGGTACTAAAATATCATAGAATTATCATCCCATCCCACCCCCTGCCACGGGCAGGGACACCTTCCACTAGCCCAGGTTGCTCCAAATTCTGTCCAGCCTGGCCTCAGACACTTCCAGGGATGGGGCAGCCACAGCTTCTCTGGGCAACCTGTGCCAGGGCCTCCCCACCCTCCCAGGGAGGAATTTTTCCCCAATATCCCATCTAACCCTGCCCTCTGTCACTTTGAAGCCATTTCCCCCCTCGTCCTGCGACTCCAGGCCCAAAAGGCACCCAAGAACTCACCGTCCAGGTTATCTCCATGTTGTTCTTTTGGGTACCTGCACCTTGAACTCCCGTTGGGTTGATTTCAGGACCTGAAATTCACATTGTAAAAAAAAAAAAATAAAAATAAGTAATAATAAAAAAAGGCATTTTATAACATTGAAAAAAATGATCCTCTGAGTGGTTAAAAACCCTTTAACTGTGCAAGCCAGAAGGACTTCCAAGACAGAAGTTAATGGCCTGATTTTTCCAGAAGTTCCCATTCAGGTTAATGGAACATGAGGCTCTCGGTACTCTTGGAAACCAGGCCATTTATTTAGGAGGCTCTTTTTTTTTTTCTTTCTCCCCCCCCCCCCAAATGTCCTAAATCTTTGAAAGGCAGCCATTGAGAAGCAGCCCCAGGAGCTGAGCCTGTCCCTTTGAAACCCGAGCAATGTTGGGAGCCAACACTAGATGCCAGCAGATCCTGCAGGAATCTCTGGGCAATGGGGGGAAACAAGAAACGCAGCAGAACTCCTGAGCTTCCCTGTGAATTCCCCGTGGGAATTTTCCCATGTGTTGTCCTAAAAAAGCAAAGCACTGGGCAGACAAAGGGAAGACCCGAGTGTCGGTTGTGGGTTGGTTGTGTTGACATCTGCATCATGGAGTGGTTTGGGTTGGAGGGACCTTAAAGATCACCCAGTTCCACCCCCTTCCACCAGCCCAGGGTGCTCCAAGCTGGCCTTGGACACTTGCAGGGATGGGGCAGCCACAACTTCTCTGGGCAACCTGTGCCAGGCCCTCCCTGCCCTCCCAGCATCAGTCTGGGCTCCTGGTCAGCTCTGACAATGAACGAGCAAGTTGGGAACAAAGTGCCTTTTGCTAGTGGCTGGTCTACACTCGAGCCTAATTTTCCAACAGGCTCCTGAGCTTCCTGTGGTCAGAAAGGATGAAAAGCTTTCTTTAGAAAGCTCCTCTTCAGGCTGAAACCAGGGTTTCCCTTCAGCACACTCCACCAGAGCGTGCCCTTTCCGCAGGGGGTGGGCTGGGGGGAACTCACGTGCCCCGTTGGTCTGGTAGCGCTCCGAGGGCTCGCTGGGCACGCTGCTGCCCACCTCGTTGACGGCAATCACCCGGAACTGGTAGTTGACGTACGGGGACAGGCTCAGCACGGCCGAGTTGACGCTCCCGGGGTACCTGGAGTGGTTGTGCCACACGCCCGGCTGGAGGCGATCCTCCTCGAACTGCACGATGTAGTCTGTGGGGATGGGGGGAGAGGAGGGAGGGCTGGGTGAAGGGCTGGGCTCACAGGGGGTGAGTTTTGACCCCTCCTGGGCAGGGGGCAGTGGGAGGGGGGTCAGACCTGTGATGGGGCTGTTGTTGTCGTCACCGGGGATCCACGTGAGCCGCACGCTCCGCTCCGCCAGGTCCGTCAGCTCCAGGTCACGGGGCTGGTCGGGCCGTCCTGTTGGCCCAGGGATGAGACAGATGAGGCTGGGATGGTCCTGGGAGCTGGGATTCCCAGTTCCCATCGCTTTTTCCCTGGTTGGCTTCACCCAGACCCGTGGGGGACACGTGCTCTGGGGCACTGATCACATCCTCTTAGGACCAGTGCTAATTGTTCCTCGCCTTTAAACACTCCCTGTCCCTGCACCACTGGCGCTGCAAGCACCAGGCAGTGGCCCAGCAGGGGGTTGTTTGACCTTACACACAGCTGTCCAGAACAGAAATGCAAACAAATAGGATGCAAAGGACACAAAACCTCAATGGAAACACAGACTTGTTGGAAATTCCCTGGTTTCTTTATCCGGTCACAAGAACCTGCTCGTGCAAGAACAGCAATAAATTCTGTCCAGGTAAAGGTCAAGGGCTCAAAAATTCAAGGTGAATCTTTTTCTCCCATCAGGGCTCAGCATTTTCAAGTGCAGGTAAAGTGATTTTTTTTCACTTTCCCTCAGGAAAGCGTCCCAAAGGCACTCTGGGAGCACAAAATGTTGTGGCACAGGACCTTTGTACCCAGGGCCATCTGGATGGGTTTTGAAGGACAGCTTGGAGAGAGGACTTGGAAGCATCAGCTCCCAGATTTGTCAGCTCTGCCCTTTCCTGCAGGCGTTACTGGCGAGGCAAACCAAAACCAACTTAGAAAACAAAACAAAGGCAACAAATTAGTGCAGATTACCTTTGGGTAAGTCTCTCAAACGGTTAGCAGGGATGGCTGCAAGGTAAGACAGTGCTTGTTAACCAGGTTAGTTTAGTCATTAAGCTTGGGTGGCCAAAGGAGCACCTGGCAAACATAAAGTTACACACACAGGAACAGGTTTCAGAAGGAATCGATCCTGTCAGGGGAGCAGAGCAGGGACATCCTTCCCCCAGACACCTCCAGCTGTGCCCTCACAGCTCTGTGCATGTTTGATCAGCCTGATGTGGGGTTAATGAGCTATTAGGGGGACAGGAAGGGGTATAAATCAAGACCAGTGCAATTATTAGGGATCTGGGGTTGCTGTTGCACTCCAGCTCTTGGAGGGCACTGCGGTGGCACTGTCAGGCTGTGGCATTCCCAGGAACCTGAGGTGGCCCAGGGGATGATAAATCTGTGTCTGCCAGGTAGATTCAGTGAGCACAGGCTGAGGTCTGTCCCTCCCTCTGCTGAGAAGGGGACACACCGGGCCAGGATCAGCCCCAGCTGGGTCACCCCCAGCTCCCCATTGCTCAGCACCCCAACAGCCCCTTAAATTCACTTCCAAATTTAGGACTGTTCTCACAGAGCCTCGACATGCACACTGGGGTATTTTTGGCTGTGTGTAATAACTCCTCTTCTATTTTTTCGCTCTCAAACATGAGGGTTTTTTTCCGACTCAGGGCCGGTGCCTGGGACGAGGCAGCTCGTCCTTGCCGAGTCCTGCGAGGGGACAGCGGCTCTGCCAGCCCCTCCCTGAGCAGCCAGGGGACAATCTGGTGAGCCTGGCCTTGAAGGGGCTCTGTTCTGATAAAAACACCACCCTCAGGCGTGGGGAGCTTTACCGAGCACGGTGAGATAAGCCTTGGCCGAGTCCTTGTCCAGCTCCGTGCTGGCCACGCACGTGTAATCCCCTTGGTCCCTCTCAGCCACGCCAAGTATCGTCAGACCATCGTCCTCCTTCTTCATCCTTCAAGAAAGCAAGGATCACACAACTGTTCCAGGCAGCAGCACTGAGGGCTGACTGTCCTCTGCCGGGATACAGCTCAGAGCCCGACCAGAACGGGAGAACGGCCCTGCTCTGAAGGGTTTATCAGCTGAGGACGTGCCGAGTTATTCTGGGAAACCTCATTTCCTAAGGAATCAGCAGATGTGCCCTGGTGTGTGTCTGGGGAATAATCACACCTTCAGGACAACAGCCAAGCCCAGGCTGGTGCCCCGGGATCAGATCTCCCTTCACAGGGAGGGAGTCAGCCGTGGAAAGGAAATTAAAGCTGCACCACTCGCAGCAGATAAACGTGAATTTTGAGGCGGGTTGTTATTAACTCACCCACTTTATCAAGATGTCCTAAAATATCTGTAAATAAAACCTACAGCAAGGCCCTGATTTACTGATACATCAGCTGCAATTGCTGAGCAGTGTCTGTTGGAAGGAGCTGGTGAATGAAAAGTATCAAGAACGTCAAATGCTGCCTAGATGGGAACTGAGCATTTACCCACATTACCCCAAAATGTTCTGTACAAAGCCCAGCGACCCTGGGAGAGCAGCCCCATGAAACTTTTGGAGACACAGACCTGCTTCCCAGGTACAGGGGGGCGTCGTCCTTCAGCCAGGTGACCGTGAGCCTCAGCGTGGGGTCGTGCTTGATGCGGCAGTGGAGGCGAGGCATGGAGCCCCTCTTCACCACCTGATCCTCAGGCCCCCTCACAATCCTGGTGGGGTCTGCACGAGGTCAGGAAGGAAGGGTCAGGCACCAAACCCCCTGGTCCCTGGCTCAGGAGCTCGGGAGGTTTGGTGGTGCTTGGAAAGGACACCACACGTGTCGTGTTTGTCCAGCTTGATGGATGAATGGCCTATGATGCAACTAAATTAATTTAACAAGCCATTAATCCATGCTGAACCTTTAAAAAATAAAAAAGCCCCAGTTTTCTGAGTCAGCAATCAGATTTGCTGAACAGGGAAAGGCCTGGTAGAAACAATCCAGAAGATGTTTTCCTGTCCTCAGTTAACCCTGAGGAACACTTTGCTTTGCTGTTTGCACTGCTGATGGCATCTCCCAGCTCAAAACCCACACCCAGCCCTTCTACAGCTCCAGTGTATCCACAGCCTTGCTTTTTTTTCCAGCACTGCAAAGGAATTTGCACCATTTTCAGGATTCCAGCTCTGAACCACACAGTGCCTGTCCTGCTGACAGCCTTGGGTGCACCAACCGTGCATTCCCTGAACCGAAACTGTTATTTCTGCTGCACGTTTCAGAAGACCCAAGAGCCCTTCATGTCCCTACCTTTGACCTCCAGGCGAACCTGGGCCTCTGCTTTCCCCAGGATGTTGGTGGCAACGCAGGTGTAGATGCCTTGGTCCTCCTTCCGCGCCATGAACATCTCCAAGCTCCCGTTCTCGTGCGCCTTGTAGTTCCCTCCATCCAGCGTGTTCCCCTGGCCGTTCTTAAACCTCACAACACCACAGAGTGCTGTTGTAAGGGAAGAAAGAGCAGGAAACACCACCCCCCTCCCCAGCCCTCAGCCTGGCAGGGCACGAGCTGCAGCTCTTACCATCGCAGGGTGGGGATGGGGGAGCCGAAGAAGGGGCAGTCGAGCCGGGTCCTGTTGTTCTGGATGACCTTGATGAGCTGGTTGCGGGGGGCCAGGATCCGTGGGGGCACATCTGCAAACAGCACAACAAACCAGTGGGCTGGGTTCTGCTGCTCCTTTCCAGCCTTTTCAGTCCACCTTCCCTCTTCTTCTGCTCGCTTTTTGCGCTTTTGGCACCTCCAAAAGCCAGTGGAGCTTCCCCAGTCCCTCTCCTGTCCCCCTCCCTGCCAGCCTGGCTGCACGACTCAGCTTTTGTCTTAGGACTCGCTCAGCCAGGCCTGGCTTGGCAGGCCCAGGGCAATGGATTTCTGCTCCAAAGCCCATCTGCAGAGGTCAGGAGCCTTTGTGGAGCAGCTAATGACAGAGAGGAAGGCAAAGTGGAGAACTTCTGCAGGGAAAAGGGGGGCTTGCAAAAGAGTGAGAACAACTATTTACATGGGCAGGTGGTGATAGGACAAGGGGGAACGGTTTTAAATAGAAGAGGAGAGATTTAGGTCAGATGTTAGGAAGAAATTCCTCCCTGTGAGGGTGGGGAGGCCCTGGCACAGGTTGCCCAGAGAAGCTGTGGCTGCCCCATCCCTGGAAGTGTCCAAGGTCAGGCTGGACAGGGTTGGAGCACCCTGGGCTGGTGGAAGGTGGCCCTGCCAATGACAGCAGGTGGGAACTGGGTGATCTTTAAGGTCCCTCCTGACCCAAAGCAGCCTTGGGCTGTGTGACAGCTGGGTGCAGGGGGCTGTCCTCACCCAGCACGCTGACGAAGGCGTTGGCCAGCAGGTAGCCGTGCTCGTTGGAGGCGTTGCACTGGTACACGGCGCTGCTGCCGATCTGCGTGTCCCGGAACACGATGGTGTCCCCGGCCACCTCCCGGCTGGGGTTGTGGGCGGAGGCTGCAACACAGGAGAGAGCTCTTTAAAGTCTGTTTTAAGTTCAGAATTCACCCTTCAGTGTCACTGCACATCCTCCCATCCCGGCCCGGGCAAAAGCGGGTGATGGCCCTAATTAGCAGGAACAACCCTAACCCAGCAGTGAAGACTGTAAACCTAAAGATACTGCTCTAAACTAGCAGTAAAGACTCCAAACTAGCAGAAGCTGCTCTAAACTGGCAGCACCAACCCTAAACCAGCAGAAGGGACATGTGTGTGATGCTGGAGGCCCCAGCAGTGCCTGGCACCGCAGCAGCAGCTCCAGTTCGTGCTCAGCCACGATTCCCTGGGTTGGATTTGTTGTGGAGGAGGCACAGCCCCCTCCCAGCTCACCTTCGATGGGCTCCCCGTTCACCAGCCACTGGATGGAGGGTTTGGGGTTCCCGTTGGCTCGGCACACCAGCCTCCCGTCCTCCCCGGGGGCCAGGATGAGGTTTTCGGGTTCATCCAACCAGTATGGGGCAGCTGGAGGACACAGCAAGGCACCAGTTACACGGGCAGCAGCTCCCCCTCCTCCCAGATCCCCTCCACTGCTCCCTGGGGATGTCAGACAGTGGGAATGCCGTCCTCTCCAATGGGATTCTCCAGGTGTGGGCAGGGTGGGGGTCTCCTTCCCCCCCCATCCTTGGCCAAACAAACTCCCACCCACTTATACCAGTGAAGTTCAGCATCTCACGCTGCTTTTAGGTGAGTTTGGACAAGGTGGCTCCAAACTGAGAGCAAGTTTAGGTTGGATATGAGGGAGAAATTCCTTCCCTGTGAGGGTGGGGAGGCCCTGGCACAGGCTGCCCAGAGAAGCTGTGGCTACCCCATCCCTGGGAGTGTCCAAGGCCAGGTTGGACGTGGTTTGAAGCACCCTGGTCTAGAGGAGGGTGTCCCTTCCAACACAAACCACTCCGTGATTCCACCAAGCCCCACGGATGGCTGGACACGGCAGAGAACCAGCCCCTCCAGGAAGCCCCCAGTGCCCCTCCCAGCAGTCAGAGCACCCCCCACCCCGTCCCCTCCCAGCTCCTGGTGTGGAGGTCCCCGAGATGGGAAGGTAAAGGTGACGTACCCTTCACTCTCACCGAGATCGTGTGGCGGATGCTGCCCATCTTGTTGGAGGCCAGGCAGAAATACTCCCCGGAGTCCTCCTCGGACACGTTGGAGATGCGAAGGGCCTTGTTGAAGTTCTCCAGCTTGGTTTTGCCCACGGGCAGCTCCCCTCCTTTCTTGTACCACATGATGTCTGGTGCTGGTCTAAGGAGAGGGGAGCAGGTAAATGCTTTTGGCAGACAAGGGAACGGCTCCGAAGAAAGCACTTGATAGTCCTGCACTGGGAACCACTCCCAGCCAGGGAAAGGGCTGGTCCAGCTGCTGGGCCACCCTCCTTCAGACCCCCACCCCCCAGCCAGGACCCTGAGCACCAGTAGGTGATCAGGAGCAGGGTTCAGCTCATGGCCTGTGCCTGGGGGATGCAGAATCAGAGAATCCTGGAATGCTCTGGGTCAGAGCCACCCCATTCCAACCCCCTGCCATGGGCAGACCAGCAGGGCACTGGTGTAGAACCCTGAGCCCAGGACCACAGCTGTCCTCACCCACAGTGTGGTGGGGAGCTCCCAGGGGATTCACAGATCCAAGGACAAACCAGTGGGGAATCATCCCTGGACAACTATCTGGAGACACCCACTGGCCTCAGCTCTCTGTTCCCTCAATGCTTTTGTGCCTCAGGTACGTTATGAGAGTCTTGTTAATGGCAGATAAAAGGGAGGAGTGACCCCTTTTTCCCAGACAAGAGGTGTTTCCATGGTGATCCAGCACCCTGGTCCCAGTCCATCCCCCTGGGAATGACGCCCCCCTCCACCCCAGGGTACGTACACTCCGGATGCAATGCACTCCAGCAGCAGATCCACCCCTCGGAGCACCATCTGGCTGCTGGAGGTCCCATAGGGATACATGAAGCTGGGAGTTGTTTCCGTGATCCCTCGGGCTGGAATCAGCAGGAGAGAAAAAAAAAAAAAAAAGAAAACAAAAACAAAGAAACAAAACAGGGGGCTTTTAAAGGTCTCCTTTCGGGGGGCCGGGAACACCCGGGAGGCGTCGCCTCCCCCGCCAGCCTGGGACACTGAACTGCCCCAGGAACGCACCTGGAGAGGAGAGGAGGGCTCAGAACGGTGTTTAAATTAAGAAATGAAAGGGTGGAGAGAGGATGCTGGGTGGGCAAGGGGGTAGGGAAGCAGCAGAGGATGGGCAGAGGGAGCTGAGCCATGGGAACAGTCCCTGCACCAGCAGCTCCCACCTTTCCTGCCCGTCCCTGCCTCTGGAAATGGGCAGAAATCGGGCGAGACTGGGGAATACTGATGGACAGACACGTAGGGAAGGACAAAGTGGTCACAGGAAGGGTTTACTCAGGCAGCTGGGACACTTGGACACAGAGATGTGGGGAACATGGAGCATCCTGGAGCTGCCTGGGGCACCAGCAGCACCAAAGTGCCCTTTGGAAAAGAACAACTCAGCGACCAAAATGACACATTTCAGAACTGGACAGGGAAGTTTAAGAGGAGAAAGTCAGGGGAAGACACGAGGCAACATCTCTACAGATACACACGGTGAAGGTCTCTTTGTAGGGGGGAACATTAATTTTTTATGGAATAAATTCCATTAATAAGTGGAATTATTGACCTAGATCTGGATCAGTGAGGACAAAACAGGATGAGATGGGTTTGAAAGCAGCAGTAGCAGAGATGGAAGTTATGAGATTAGGAAAGGGGGTGGAATGGGCAGGGCTGGCACAGGGACACTACAAATACTGGGGTGATCCATGGGCAGAGCCCACCCCCGGGGCAGGAGCAGGATCTTGGGGTGCAGCCCAAACCCTCCCCTGCTCCCCCAAAGCCTCTTTGGCCTCGTGAGCAGGGGCAGCCGGGTGTGCCCAGTGCCACGAGGATTTTGGGGGGTGCCCACCTTTCTTTGGGAAGCCTCCAGAGCTGTGCCAGGGGAAGAAGGAGGGGAGAGAGCACAGGGGCTGTCCTGGAGCTCCCAGCAGCCTGGCACCAGGGAGGGGAAACCCAGCCTCAGGAGTTAATCCATGCCTTGGGAACGCCTCCTCCTCAGCCAGAGACACCTCCCGCTGTCCCACACCCCCAGCTCCAGGGGGATCATGGAGGGTTAGTCAATTATTCAATTAATGGATTACCAGGGCAGGGAAAGCTTTGCTTTATCCAGAGGGGTTGGTTCTCTGGGCAGGCAGATCCTGCTCTTTGCATCCCTGACTCTGGAAGGGGTCTCATTCCTGGGTAACCCTGGCTTGGAGCCAGAGTTCATCCCAGCTCCCACCTCTCCAGCCTCATCCAAGAGCTTCTCCCATCTGATTAGGGCAGTGGGATATCATTTTATGGGCTTTTATCAGCCAACAGGCTGCAGGACTCGCTCCCACCACGGCCCTGTTGGCTCAGGGGCCCAGGGCAGAACTGGAAGAGCTGAAGCAGCAGTGCAAGCCAAATTTTATGAGCCATTTATTAATGATGACAATTAAAAATAAGGGAGATAAATTAGTATCCTACCCACTCGTTTAACAAACCTAACAACAACACTGCAGGGCTGATAAACTTCTTGCCTCAGTGCAACACTACTAATAAATATTTTGCTGTTTCTAACAAGGAGAAGCCAGAAATTGTCCCAGGCAGAGGTTCTGCTCCGGCTCTGAACCTGTGGAAGCTCCAGCTGGAAGCTCTCAGCCATCCAGCAGAGTCTCACTCATCCCTTTGGATGGATCAGAACTGGAAAAACAAACCCCCTGGCTATTTCCTTCTGCTCCAAAACAGACTCTGCTTCCAAACTGTGTGGTCCCTGCCTCTGGGAAACTGGAGCCCAGAAACATCCACTGCCCTGACCTGGTGGCACCTAAAAAATTCCCCATCCACTCCAGTGTCCAGGGCTGTGCACACCCAGACACATCCCAGCTGCCCTCCTCCTGCACAGCCAGCTCCAAACACCCCACAGCTTTGCCAAAAAGGACAGAGAAAAAAGAACAAAACAGACCTTCATTTCCATTAAATAAATTAAAAAAAAAAAAAAAAAAAAAGTGAGAGGCTTCTTCTGATAAAACATCCAGTTAATCCCTTTTAGCTCGTTTTCCCTGGATAATTGCAGCCAGTTTGCCCACACAGTCCAGCCTGGCAGCAAGGAAATCACTGCACTTGCTCAGGGTGGGATGTCCCATGGGCTCTTTGGGATGGCTGTCCCACCAACCTCACGTCCATACAGCAGGTCCCACGTCCCTGAGATGAGGAACATCCCAGGAATGAGACTCCCAGCCTCTGGAGATCCCTGTGCCAGCTGGCTCCAGTGCTGTGCCCGTACCAGCACCCTCAGGGCAGAGGGGCTGAGAGCCCCAAGGTCCCCAAACACCCCAAATCCTTGGGATGCCCACGTCCCTCCCCACACCCCAAAGACTCCTTGCCTGCCCCAGCTGGTTCCAGTGGCCAGCACAGCCAGCCAGGACATTCCAGGGAGAAACACGGGGTCAGCAGCAAGGAAAAAGGGCTGAGGGTCACAATTGTTCCACCAGCTCATCAACTGTTAATTAATGAAGTGCTGGGCTGGAGTTCAGGTCTGCACAGGGGTGTGAGTGGGTGACTGGAATTCACTGCAAGCCACGAGGTTTTCCAGGGGGGTGTTAAGTGCAAATAGTCCTGGCAATGCAAAGAGCAGGAAGTTTGTCCTAAAATGGAAATAGAGCAGAAATCCTTGAGGCTGTGCAGACAAAATCTCATTTTCCTGACTGACTCTTCAACATCCCCTTGCCCTGAACAACGATGAGCAGTGGGGGATGAGGAAACCCAGGAGCACCCCAGGATTTCTCTGTCCCTGAGAGAGGCATCTCCTCTCATTCCTGTCTCCCTGAGGAACGATGCAGTTCGTGCAGCTCCCATGGGAAGCTGATTTTGCTGACAGTCCCTTCTCCCAGCCATTTCTCCAGGTGTTTTCAGGCTGTTCCCAGCCCCTTTGCTGCCACCAGCACTTCCAAGGCTGGTTCTGCTGCAGAGCCTTCCCCAGCATCCTCAGGAACCTCCTGCTCCTGATGCCAAATCCCCGTTCCCTGGGCAGGGAGGGAGCTTGCCTGGCACATCCCCCTCTTCTCACACTCCAGCTCTGTCTGCTCTTGGCTGGCAAAAGCCCTCCCTGTCCCCAAAAGTCCCCGTGGCACAATAAAGAGTGCCCTGGGTCGTGCCAGGCCCAAGGGAAGCTGTGGCTCTGTGGGAAGCTGTGGGATTTCCCTCCAGGGCTCTCTGGGGACCTGTGTGGGGCAGCTCTGGGGTTGTGCCCACCCTGCTGCCACCCAAGCCCAGCCCCAAAAGCAGCAGGAGGGGTAGGGAGTGGGTCCTGCCCCAAGGCAGCACCTGAGCTGGGGGTCTTTGGTGGGGTGTTCACAGCCCTGGCACTGCCTGGGCTCTCTGCACCACCCCCACCAGCCCCATCTCCCCGCTCCTGCCCACGCTATCTCATCACATCCACGACAATTCCAACCCATCCCCAGGGCAGTGATCCTGATCCTGCCCCAGGAACCTGTGTGGTTTTGTGTGGGAAGCATCAACAATGAGTTTGGGATGGGCTTCTCCCAGCAGGGGCAGGATCCAGAGGGAATTCCCTTCCCAGCCTCGGGAAAGCCTCCAGCACATGTCCAACCTGTCTGCACACAAACAAAAGCTCTCAGATTTCAAGAAAACCAAAAACTCCGCTTTTCTTGTTTGTTTGTTTTGTTTTCCTCTCCCAGTCACTGCCTGGTTGTAGCTGCAAATAACACGCTGATGCTCTGACGAGCTGCAAATGCTCTTTCTGGAGATGCTCCTTCTGAGGACACACAGAAGGGGGATGGTGGCTCTGATCCCTAAAATCTCTTTGCCTTTGCTGAGGACGAGGCACGAGGGAGCAAGCCGGGCTCGCTCAGCCACGTGGGCCAGATCCCATCAACCCAAACACCTCCCAGGCTGGGCTCTGCAGATCCTCTTGATTCCCTTAAACCTCGCTCATCCCAAAGGGTGAGAGCTTCGAGGGGGGGGCCCTGTGGCCCTTTGGTCCCTAAATTTTGGCAAAGCCGAGGCCACAAAGCCCCGGGGGGGCCCGGTTAGCGCGGGGTCAGTCGGGTTAGGCAGGAGGTTAAAGCAGGGGCTCCAGAAGCCAGGCTTGACTCACCACTGTACATGTCAGTGTAATTTCGTAAAGACGTTTCGTTATGGGGCTTCTCTGCAATAAACAAAAGACTGTGAGCGTTTGCAGGGCCTGGGGGGAGGGGAGGGGGGCACGGGCAGGACAGCAGACAGAACAACCTCCCCACACGCAGCAGCAACGGGAGAGGGCAGGGAGACGAAGCAGAGCTGCCCTGCGGGGCAAACACAGCGAGAAGGGGGGGAAAAGGGGCCGCTCTCCTCCTGCGAGGTGGGAAGACAGCTCAAGGTATGAGAAGAAAACGTTTCCTTGAAGTGTTTTTGCTCTTGTGTTGGTGCCTCTTAAAAAACAGAATCACTTTGGAGGAGAAGGTGGGTTTGTTTGGTTTTTTCTCTCTGTTCCTTAACCACAAAGAAACCATCTCCCAGCTGCTGTCCCCCAGCACAAAGCAGAGGCTGGACACAGCTGGGTGAGGCCATGGGGAAAGGCGTGGTGGACAAATCAAAACAATAATAATAATAATAATAATAATGCTCTAAAAGCACAACCTGCTGTAAAATCCCTTTCAATTACAAGGTGATGAGAGCAGGTTGTGTTCCAGCTCCTCAATAAGATGCTGCTCTTGTTTATGGACACCCAGCCCAAGCCATCACCTATGAAGAATGACCATCACTCTGAGAGGAGAGGGGAAGATTCATCATCCTGACCTGAGACTGCTGCAAGATCTGCCCTTCCCAGCTCACATCACTTCCCCAGAGGGCGTTAAGAGAGCCCAGAAGACGCCCAAGAGCTGCCTGGACCTGGATCCACCACCAAACTCCCCCCAGGGAAATGCACAGATATCCCTCCCTGCAGCCTTTCCATTCTCCTTCTTGCATCCCATGGCAATCCCATGCCATGATTTCCCAGCAGCTGGTGAACCCTTTTTTAAGGAGCCAGAGCTCCTGGCTGAAGGCTGAGGTGATCAAAGAGCTTGAGACAACCTCAAGCTCAGCCCCTGTGAACAATGTAAATATAAACCACTTCTTTTAATGTAATGACAGGTGAGAAACCAGAACCTCAGTTCTTGAGACTCTAAAGAGCTCTGGGGGGGCTCCTGGGAGGGGAATTTGCATCTGATCACAGAGCAGATGTTTCCTAAGGAAAAAGGAGAGAGAGGGTCCAGTTCTGCAGGGCCTGGGAGTGAAGGGTGAGTGCAGCAGGAGGGGGAGCTCGTGGCTGTGTGCACACAAACCTGCCAGGCTTTCACCCTCACTGCTCCTGCACCTGGACAAATCTGTCAGGCTCTGGAGGCTCCAACCACCCCAGACCTCGGTCTGCCAGAATTTCCCCAGCTCACACTAACTGAGGGCTCAGCCCTCCCCCAGCGCTGTAAACAGGCAAATAATATTCAGAATTAATGACCTGCTCACGCTGCCCTGCTGGCAGAGAGCCTGCTGGAGTATTTCAGTTGCTGATTCTCTACTCGAGCTTTGCACAGAGGAGGAGCTGCTACAAGGAAGAGTAAACCTATCCCCTCAGCCAGGCCCTGTCTGAGGCTCAGAGCACTCCCAGGACCCTTTAACAGCATTCCTGCTCATTTAAGCTGCTGGGAGATCAAATTAACCCCCACACACACTGGGAGTCAGGAGCTCCTCCTCCCTGCTTTGCCCCCCAAAACACAGCCAGCACCCTCTGCCTCCCAGCTGGACCTCACTGGGAAGGGGTGATGGCTCCTGGCTGATGACTGGGGCCAACAGAGGATGGGTTTGTACTGATTTTTTGGGTGCTCTGCACACACCCCACACCCACAACCCACCCAAGACAGAGCCCGTGCTCTGCAGGACCTGCATCGGCTCAGCAGCCTCGTGTGCTGCACACTCAGCTCAGTCCCCTGTGCTGGTGTCCCCACAGCACACCAGGAGCTCACATTTTCCTTCAAACCACCTCAGTTGTGGAGCAGAAGCTGCTGGAGGCTCTGCAGAGAGCCCTGTGCCTGCCCCTGGTGTCCCCCCACCTGGTGACACCGAGGTGCCCACCCTGCCCTGGGTCAGCACCAAACCTGGGGCAAACCGAGGCCACCTCCAGCTTCTCAAACAGGGGAACGATCACCCGATATTTTCCCTCTCCCTGGAGGTGTTGGGAATGCCCCACCTGTGCTGGAACCCCTTCCAGTTTATCCAGGACACACGGATTTAGTGGTACCTGCCCCAAGAAGCACCAGCCCGCCCTCCCTGCCAGGTGAGGCACCCAAGGACTGTCACTGCTCGCCCAAACCCGTTCCTGTGCTACCCTAAACAGGCAGAGGAAGCCAATCCTCTCCCTGGGAGGTGCCAAGGAGGGGAACAAGGCAGGAAAACCCTGTCCAGGGGGAGCCCCGGGCCCAGCCACCCCTTGTGACACTTACTGGTTTTCACCTTGAGGGTGTAGGGGTTCTTCTGCTGGATGGTGTGGGTGAAGTGGAAGCGGGCGTTGCAGCTGTAGTCGGTCAGGGAGTCCTGCAGGATCACGTTGGAGAAGTAAAGGTCCCCGTTCTGCCCCTGGGACACTCGTTTGTCCTGCTGGATGGGCTCCATGGCTGCGGGCACAGCGGGCACTCAGACGGGGCACAGCCCAGCCCCAGGGCAGGGGGGGCTCTGAACCAGGGGAAGGACCCTAAACTAGCAGGAACTGCCCTAAACTTGTAGAAACAACCCTAAACTAGCAGGAAAAAAACCCTAAACTAGCAGGAATAACCCTAAACTAGCAGAAACTACCTTAAACTAGCAGTAAAGACCCTGAACTAGCAGTAAAGACCCTAAACTAGCAGAAACTGCCCTAAACTAGCAGTAAAGACCCTAAACTAGCAGAAACTGCCCTAAACTAGCAATAATGCTCCTAAAATAGCAGTAACAGCCCTAATTAGCAGAAACAACCCTAAACTAGCAATAATGACCTTAAACTAGCATGAACTACCTTGAACTAGCTGTAACAACCCCAAACTATCAGAAACTGCCCTAAACTAGTAGGAATGACCCTAAAGAGGGTTGTTTGAAAGGCTGCAGGGGGTGGAGGGGCTGCCCAGGGGGTGCAGGGTGGGAAGGGGTTTCCCCCACTCACAGCTGCTCATCCAGAAGATGACGGGCGGGGGGAGCCCGGGGGGTGGGTTGCACTGCAGGCTCAGAGGGGCCCCTTCATCCACCTCGATCACATCCACCTTCTCCTTGGGCCACAGGGGAGACTCTGCCACGGGAAACAAGGGCACGTGAGGCAGGGAGGGCAGGACGTCCCCAGAGCTCTTCCCACTGGGCCTGGCCCGCTTTCAGTGGGGTGGCCTCGATGCAAAAACTCCATTTCTGCGTGTGCAGGGCTCCCTGAAATCCATGCCCTTAAATCCATCCCCTTGAATCCATCCCCTTGAATCCATCCCCTTGAATCCACACCCTTGAATCCATGCCCTTGAACCCATGCCCTTGAATCCATGCCAAGTGCTTCCCTGTTGGTTACAGCCATAACCTCCCCACCTTCATCTTGGTCCTGGATACACCTGGACACAGGTAAGAGCTGGAGAAGGCTGGGAAGGGACCCACAAGGACCATCCTGTCCAACCCAGAGGATCATCCAAACCCTCCTGAAGCTCTGGCAGCCTTGGGGCCGTGCCCACTGCCCTGGGGAGCCTGTTCAGTGCCCAACCAGCCTCTAGGAGAACAACCTTTTCCCAATATCCACTCTAACTCTGCCCTGATGCAACTCCAGGCCATTCCCTGGGTGCTGTCCCTGCTCCCGTCCTTGGTGAAGCTGGAACTGCCATGAGGTCTGGACACACCAAGTGCCCTCAGCCACTCCTCAAGGCCCTTCCCCATCTTTATTGCCCTCCTTTGGACTCTCTCTGGTGGCTCCACATCTTCCCTGACCGAAGCTGTCCCAGTATTCCAGGTGAGGCCACGCCAGCTCCCCGTGCCTGCTCCCACCACACAGACCCCCAGACCCCCCCTGTGCCCTCCTCAGGGGCCGCTCTCTGGTTACTCACTGGACACCTGGAGGTGGATCTTGCTGGAGAGGGCAGTGCCATAGTCATTCCTGGCAAAGCACTGGTACTCCCCCTCGTAGTCCTCGGGCCTGCCCCCGCTGTGGAAGTCGATGACCAGGGTGCCCGAGCGGCGCCGCATCGACACCTTGGGGTCCTTGGCCACGTTGAAGAACTTGCCGTTGCGAGTCCAGGAGAAGCTGGGGGCACACAGGGGGTTGCACACGGGGTTTGCAGGCTGCTTTTGCACCAGGGGAGGGCCTTACCTGGGCTGTGCAGCCCGCAGCTGGGCCAGCTGGACGGGACGGGGGCTGCTCCAGGGGCAGGGGGGGCACTCACGTGGGCACGGGGTTCCCTTTGGCCTCACACTCGATGAAGATGTTGTCCCTGGGGTCCACGATGTAGTCCTTCACCGACTGCTTGGTGATGGTGGGGGGCTGGGGCACTGTGGGGCAGAGGGAACGCCCTGAGCGGGGCTGTGCCCATCCCCTCTGCCACCCCACAGCCTCTCCCCCAGGCTGCACCCACCACCTGTGCTTTACAGCCCTGGGGACACCCCCACGAGCATGGGGGTGGGCTGCTCATCCCCTCTTGGGCTGTGCCACTGCTCAGGGTCCCTTTAGGTACCAAACCCTGCCCTGGTTCTCACTTGGTGGCTTGGGTTGAACAAATTCCACAGTTACATTTTCCTGCTCCCACAGACTGAACCCCACTAAAGCCATCCTGCTCCTCAGAGAGGGGCTGCAGCTGGGCCAGGGACCCCCAGACATTTACAGGGTCTCTGTGCAGGAAAGAGGCCCTAAAGCCCCCAGGTTGGCCCCAGAGGAGCTCAAAAGTGGTGTTTAGAGGGGCACACCAGCCCAGAGCTGCTGTAGGACCTGGCTCTGGCCCTGGAATTGCAGATCCCAGCCCCATGGCTGTCCTGGGAAGAGGGTCTGAGGGTGTTTGCTCATCCCCAAGAGCCAGTGATGCTCCAAATGTGTCAGGAGGTGGGGCTGAGCTGGGCACACTGTGCTGGTGCCAGGCAGAGGAGCCCACCCTCCCCTCAGGGCTGGCAAAAGCCATAACAAAGCCCTGCAGAAACAACATTCCCGTGGCAAGGGCAGCCTGGCTCCTGCTCCAGGGGCAGCACAGAGCCCAGGAACACCTCCTGAGCTGCTCCAGCCCCTCCCAGCTGGGCAGGACAAGTGGCTGGTCCTGTCCTGGCCACTGGGCAATGCCCCCACACACACACACCCAGTGTGTGCCCCCACCAGCCCCTGCTCTGTGCAGACCCCTCGTGCCTGTGGTGGCCACGCAGAGGACACGGAGGGAACACTTACATTCACTCTGAATACTTGCTGTTATCCCCCAAGTGCCAGCAGAGAGGAGAGAAGACAAGAGGTGTTAGTTGAGGAGCAGCCCTGTGCTCCTCATGCCCACGAACACAGACACAGGGGGTTGTCCCAGGCCTTGCCAGTGCTCCACACAAACCATCCCATGGCTCAGGCCTGTTCTGATCTTCCCACTTACTGTCCCCGGGGCAGTAACACAGGTAATTATCCCCCTCTGAACATCACAGCTTTCCCACCCTTTTCTCTTCAGCCATTTCCGAATTTCAGCCCAAAGCCACTGCCTCCAGTTTTTCCTTCCCACTCTGCTGCCCAGCCAGGGATCAGCTGAGGCACCACAGCTCCACCAGCACACCCAGGGCTCCACAGGGCAGGAATTTCTCCTGTCCAAGGTGGCCCCAACCTGAATTCAGACCCCCAGGAGCCGTGCTCTGCCTCCCAACACTCTGCTCTCCAGAGGATTCCTGTGCCTCGTGCTGTTGGAAGAGATTCCCTGCAGCCAGAGCCTGATGGGTATTTACAGCCACTCCAGGAGGAGGCTGGGACACAAGGAAATTACGAAACTGGTTTCCAGAGCAGTGGCTGAGCAGCTCCCAGTGAGAGCCAGTGGCCCTGGAGCATCCACACCACTCATGCAGCTCCCACGTGCTGGCCTGGAGATGCTCATTCAGTAGGAAAATCAGCCCATGTCCCCCCTTCCTCCTCTTTCCATACCCTCTTCCTCCTCTTTCCATACCCTCTTCCTCCTCTTTCCTACCTCCTTCCTCCTCACTCCATATCCCCCTCCCTTCATGCCCCCTGTCCCTCTTCCTCCTCGCTCCACGTCCCCCAGCCCTTGTGCTTCTGAATAAAACACAACTCCCATCTCATAATTAATCAGAAAGTCCTGGCAGAGAGAGAGAGAGAAAAAAAGCCCCATTTCCCTGCAGGACCTGCCCAGGTCTCCAGAGCCCTCGAGGTGTCAGCTGGTGGCAGGATCTGCCAGGCAAGAGCTCGTGTCCTCCACTAGAGAGCATCCCAAAGCCTTCCCGTGCTCTGGAACACCAGAAGGCACAGAATCACAGGATGGCTTGGCTTGGAAGGGACCTCATGGGTCATCCAGTGCCACCCCCTGCCATGGGCAGGGACACTTTCCACTAGCCCAGGTTGCTCCAAGCCCTGTCCAGCCTGGCCTTGGTGCTCCTGGGACGCTCCACTGAACAGGCTGGAGACTGCTCAGCTTGGCTCAGGTGCTCAGATCCACGTTAAGGTGTGTTTTCCAGTCCTCTGCTCAGTTTTTCAGGCAGATTGGCTAAACCAGAGAGGACTTTGGTGACTTTCTGGAGGGCAAGGGGTTTAAAAAACGCAAAACAGCTACAAACAAAGGAACAAGAGCGAAGGAACCCTGGCTGTGGAGCAGGAAATCATCCCCCCCCTGTGCTGAGCAGACCTCACTCCACCTCCTCAGGCGGTTCAGGGGGAGACCTGAGCAGGGGAAAAGCACAACTTACGATCCAGGGGGACCTCGATGGTGCTGACGAGGTGCTGAAGGCAGAGGGCGAAGGCGATCCCTGCAGGGCTGAGGTGGGGCCTGGGCATGACCATCTTGGAGGGCTGGGCAGAGGCGGCCCCTCGGCGTGTCCCCGGGGCAGCAGCACGTGCAGGGGGATCCTCAGCTGCAAAACAAACCCAGGCCACCGTCACAGCTCCAGAACTGGGGGTTTCCAGCCCAAAAAGTGTTCGTGTGTGGGCAGTGCCAGGGATGGGCTCCAGGCTCTGGTGGCCCAGGTATGAGCCCGTGGGCACAGCTCTCCCACCCCTGGGTTGTTCTGCTGGCAGAAAATCAGCTTTTGGGGGGGGTTATTTGCGCTCAGACCCTGGAGGGACTCCTTGGATCACAGAATCACGGGATATGCCAAGTTGGGATGGCAGGAGAAGGGCCTGGCTCTCCATCCCTGGCACTGATGGGAAGTCACTCAGAGCTACTGAATACAGAAGCAATCCCCAAAGAATAAAATAAAAAGGATGATTTGCTGATTAAAAAAGCGATACTAATTGTATTTTATGGTCAAGAAATGCCTCGAAATATCCAGTCCCTCAGCCAGGGCACTGGGATGAGCCTGGGGACAGCCTGGCACCGAGCTGGCACAGCTCTAGGAGAGGGGGCACAGCGGGACCTCTCCTGCCTGGCCTCTAAACAAGCCCATTTCCCCCCAGCTCCAGCTGTTTCCCTGCCCAGACACTGCCAGATGTGCCTCTCACCCACAGCCCCAGAGATGCTCCTGCCAGGATCTCATTTGCCACACACCCCCCACTTCCATTTTCCTCCTGACAACCCCCCCAAACTCTCTGCAGCCACAAGGGAGGAGAATTCCTCCCGTGGGGACAATTCCCCCTGCTCAGGAGAGCACAGGGGCTGCACCACACGAGTCACTCACTACTCACTGTCCAGAACAGCTGCAAAAACGGCAGCAGCTCCCTCAGCTGAGAGCAAAGAAACGACACCAGGGGCAGGAAAGAGTGGAAAATCCCCAGCCCTGCTCCTGCCTGGCCCTGGCAGGGGCTCTGGCCGGGGATGTGGCGGGGCAGGAGCAGCACAGGAGCCATTTGGCGAGCAAGGGGAGCCTCCTGAAACACAAACCCCCAGCGTCAGCTCCGGGTGTGCTGCCCCTTCAGCTGTTCCCGAGCTCAGGAGGGAGGGAGAGGGGAGCTGGCACGACAGACAGAGCCCGGGAGCAGCCAGCGAGGAGCAGATGTCACGGGAAACAACCAGCCCTGACACGTGGCCTGGGAGGCTCTGCTGAACCCCACGCAGGCTCCCAGCAGATCCCGTTACCCTCCTGGGGAGCATGAGGTGCTGGGGGTACCCTCCTGTCCCCCCTCAGGCTCCCAGCTCCTCACTCCAAAGGATCTCGCTGTCCCAGTGCGTCCCAGTTGCAGCAGCTGACAGACTGGAGGCTGGGAAGGGGCTCGGAGGGGAGAGTTGCTCTGATCTATTTTGCTCGTTCTGAGGATTTTCCAATCCAGCTGTTGCCATAAAAATAGTTGAAGGACAGAATAATTATAGGTCCAGGCCAGTAATTAAAGTCATGTCCAGCACTTGTGCAGCCCTGGGATCAGGTCATGCTGAACAAGGCTTTTCAAATTACTCCTTTAGCTCCCTGTCCAAGAGAAGAGATCATTTTGATCTGCAGCCTTTCCTTTTTTTTTTTTTTTTTAAAGCAGTTCATTTCTCCAGTTACAGCTTAAGATGAGTAATGGACCTGCTGGTTTTGTGTCTCCCTGCCTTTGGGAGGGCAAATGCCAGGCTCCTCCAGGCTCCTCCAGGCTCCCCCAGCTCCTCCAGGGCCCCTTTGTCTCGGGCAGATGTGGGTGCAGGAACAATCCCGGCCGTGCCTGTGTGTGTAGGTGGCTCCTGGGGACAGGCAGTGCCAGAGAACACAGCCCACATTGTCAGGGCTCAGGGACAGGGACATCTCCCAGCACAGAGAACTGTGGGAACACAAAATTCCAAGCTGGGGGTGCTGAAGCTGCGTGATGTCCATCTGCTGCTGAGGCTGCTTCCACCCAGACCGGCCAAGGGGGCAGATGAGACCCCTTTTCCCAGACTCAGCATTTTTTAACCACTGCTCCTGGCCCTCAGAAGAGATCTGAGTCCTGCCCAAAGCACAGAACAAGCCCTCCCACCTTATCCCTACAGCCCAACAGGGTGGCCAGAGCTGGGGGAGAGCCATCAGGGCTCTGGGAACTTCTTCCTGCAGAGTCCTGTGGGGCAGAGCTGTTCCATGATGAGGATACAAATTATATTCCAGCTAGTTCAGCAATTTAAAATGAAGATGGAAAGCTGTGTAACAGCCTGAAAACCCTCCCAGCCAGAGAGGAGAAACTCTGGAGTTTCATTTCTCCCTGAACATGGCAATTTAACATGCATTTTCCTCACTCCCTGCCTTGAGATGGGGGAAATTTCTCCCCTCCACAGATGGTGGAGCAGCACAAGTGAATCCTCACATCCCAGCCCTGGAGCTTCCCTGCTTGCCCCCTCCATCTGCTCATCCCCAGCAAGTTCCTGGGGTTTGGGTGGCTCAGCCAGGAGTGGTGAGGGGGGTGGTTTGTCCCTGACCAGCAGGATGAGGCTCCTCAGCAGCAGGACATGAACCACATTCCACAAAATCCATCCCGTCCCCTCCGGCTCCAGAGCCAGAATCAAAGGATATGTGGAAACACCTCCTCTTGCTGCAGAGATCCAGCTCTCAGCAAGAACCCACTGCAGGCCCAGGCAGCACAAGCCAGGACGTGGATCCCCCTCAAGGCTGATTTGGCCAAAAATTTGGCTGGCAATTCCCAAAACCCCCATCCCTGCAAACAGCAGCACGTGGGATGTTCTGCCCCGCTGGGGTTCACAGGGCAGAGCCCCAGGGCTTCCCTGGGGGCACAGATGGCTCTGGGGAAGGGCTGAAATTAATTCCCTTCCCAACAGTTGAATGAAACGAGACCCTGTGGAATAACAATGGAGACAAACCCCTTCCCTATAGCCCTACTGCTGGAAAACAACCCCAGCTCTCCAAGGCAGCCAGGAGGGCTGAGAGCAGCCACAGGAACAGTAAGCAAAGGCAATCTCTGGTTGAAGTTAAATAAAATTAAAGGGGTCCACCATGAGGGATTGTTTTTAATCAGCTCATTAGGTCCAGCAGGATGCTTTCAGCAGCAATTAGACATTTATCCTTATTTACGGCTGTGAGAGGAACAGTAAAACTTGAGGAGCTGGTGTTCCCAGGAACATTCCTGCAGCACCATTTATTGCATGTCAGCTGCTTAATTGATGCTGATTGAATAGCACAGAGCAACATTTCCACAAAGAGAAAACGCTCTTGGTTTCAGATAATGAAAAACATCGATTTCAAAGGCACGTGTGGATGTGAATCCCTCTGCTCTGGAGCCAGGCTGGGAGAGCTGGGGGGGAAGTCAGAAGGGAAGGTTCCAGGGACACCTTGGAGCCCCTTCCAGGGCCTAAAGGGGCTCCAGGAGAGCTGGGGAAGGACTTTGGTGCAGAAATAAAGGGAAAGAAGGAAGGAAACGATCACCAGGGCAGGGGATGATCCCTTGGCATTCCCAGATCACCAGGGCAGTGGATGATCTCTTGGCATTCCCATCCCAGGAGATGGACATGCCCTTTCCCTGGGGCAGGGCATGGGGGGACAGCACTCCCATTCCCTCTGCCCCGAGCAGAGAGAGGAGCTTTGTGCCTGTTCCTGGGTCCAGCTTTCACAATTGTTCTGGGAAACAACTGTCACAGCAAACACCAGCAAAGCCATTTGCATCTCATCTTCTCCTCCTTAAAATAAAAATCACCCTTTCCATCCACTCAGCAGTTTGCACTTCAGAGCTGAGGGAAGTGGCCTGAGCATCCTCTGCTCCCAGGGAAGAAGGAAAGTCAGGATTGTCATGGGAAACGGGTCCTGAGCTGAGATATGAGGGTTCAGTGTCATCTTTACGCCTGCTGGAACCCCAAAGGGACACATCCTTTTTATCTGTCCTTGAAGAAAAGGACATTTCCCCCAACACAACCTGCAGCAGCAGAGCTTGCAGAGGCACCATCCCTGCCAACGCTCCGGAAAAACCCCAGGCAGACCCTTTTGTTCGGGATAATTCACTGCCCATCTAGTCGAGCCATTGCGCTTTCAGCACATCTTTAAGGGAGTGTTTTTAAAGAACACATCTTTAAGGAGCACATCTTTAAGGAATGTGTTTTTAAGGAACACTCACAGGCCGTTTCTCACCTCTGCTTTCTTGCCTCCCTCCTCCACGGGATTTTTGCCCTGTGCTGCACTTTCCTGGATCTCTCCTGCCTGGCACGTGGGTGAGCTTCAACCCCAAGCCCCGCGGGCCGCAGAGCATTTTGAAAGCACGGAGAAAGCTCCGTGATATCCCCGGGAACGAGGACGGCTCCCTAAAATCCCCTTCCCAGGCAGCGCCTGTGGATCCGCACGGGGCAACACGAGGGAAGCGGGAATGAATCCCTCAATCCCCGAACTTTCGAGCTGGTGCTGGCACTAAGGAGATTTGTGCTTGAGCTTCTCTCAGAAGCTCAGCTGACCTTCCCGAGTCAGGACCAGCTGCACCCAGGCTCCTCTTCCAGAAATACTCGGAAACAGGAGGAATGGGATAATTGCTCCTCGAGCTGAGGCTGCGTTTTGCAGGGCTTGAGCTCAGATAGTTGTTATGGTTTCAGGAGTTAAATCACCCCCTCACGGAGCAGCTCATCACCACTGAGAGCACCAGCAGCTCCGGGGACAGGCTTTTCATCTGTCACGGTCATGTCCACATAAATGTGGATTCGTTTATCATCCTGTCCTTCTGCTAATGTAAGGAAATAGTGTCGTTCTATTAGCAGAGGGACTGGAGCCTGCCGAGGTTAAGTGTTACCCCAAGGTCAGACAAAAGATATGGCAGGAGTGGGAAATGAGCTGAGATCACCGGAGTAACTCGGCTTAATCAGAAAATACCATTTAACCTTTACAAACCGGTCACAGACAGGGAGGGGGAAAGAGGAAAGCACAAAACTTTCCATGGAAGGCAACGATGTGGCCACTGCCAGCTGGCTGAGCCCCCACAGCAGCTGGGAATTGGCCCCACGGCAGCTGATCCATGGGCTCGGGGCCACCCCGGGGGCCAGCGG